ACATCGACATCAACATCAACATCGACATCAACATCAACATCGACATCAACATCAACATCGACATCAACATCAACATCGACATCAACATCAACATCAACATCAACATCAACATCAACATCGACCTCGAGACCGGTTTGTCTCGATCCTGCAATGACTTAGTCAGTCAGATGAAGCAACCCCGTGGTCGGAGAGTCCGAATGTCTGTATATCAGGTATCAATCTTTCTCCAGGCGCCTTTCCCCACCAGTGGAGTAGGCATCGTTTCCTTCGGACTTTGACATCCAAGTCATCAAAAGACAGTTCAACCTCTCGTCACCTTCAGCGAATCAGTCAATGTCCGTGTTGCTCTTTATTCAACTCTATCACGAACCCCGGCCCGTCAAGAGACCCCGCCTGAACCCTAGGCACGCGACCCCTCAAAATGCCAGAGGGGTTCTTCTGACTTCGGTCGTAGCTCAGAAAGCCCATCTCGAGCGGAGCACTACGGAAAACTCGAAGAGACCTCCTGTCTGACACAAGAATAGCACGAAACACTTGCAGAGCATTCTGAGATGGCCACGGAACAGCGTACACCGGCAACAGCGGCTCCCACAGGAGCCAGCCATCGTCGTACCAGCAGCGGTATATCTGACGATGCTGCCAAATCGGCACATGAGTTCATGGTTGGCAGTATGCGACGCTCGAGCAGCGGTGTCACAGATGAGGCTGCCCAAGCTGCTCACGACTTTATGCAAACGTCCAAAGCCACCGGCCCTGGGTTGAGTGACGATCTCACCGACAAGGCTCACAAGTTCCTTGACGGGCCTGCGACACACCGCGAGAGTCACAGCAAGTATTTGCCAGACGTGACTTTGCCTGGAGTCACAGACGAGATTGCAGAAGAAGCGTTGGAGTTCGTGGAAGGGGCCGAGAAGACGAACAAGGCATGAGCTTCAGTGGACGCCACAAGCCGTCAAGAGGTTGTACACCCAAATTGACATATTATGGAGTGGGTTATGTTTGACTCACTGGATATTCGATTTGCTTATATGAAGTGGGCATCCTCAAGTGCGTTGGAGAGGCGTCCACTCAGAGAGGAACGGCCAAAGTCGTTATGCCCGTGTATGCGAGCATATCGGAAAAACTGTTGTACGTTCTCGCCAGGCTCCAGGAGCTCTGATATTGCAGCATAGGACATAAGGTAGTGATTGAATCCGGAGCACTTTCCACCAACTAAGTCGCCTACTTCAGCTGGCGGTAGGCACACTTTGGAGAGCCCGTTGCATCCATCAAGCGTGATGTGTCTAATTGCTAGGTGATGATGCTTTGGAATTGCTGGATATCGGACGGGGATCTGAGAGGAAAGATGAAGTTGATGGTTAGTTCTTCTGAGTGATATCTGTTCTCGTACATCCTCCATCCGACATCGTACCTCGTACCTCGTACCTCAACCTCGAGAGCGGTCACGTGTCGGTGACGCACCTGCTGGTGAGCACGTGCAAAGCGACTGCGACTGCGATTGCGACTGCGGCGTCCATCAACTTCAACGCGAAATGGCAATCTTCGAGACGCTCATCCAAGTACGGTCGAACAACATAAGAGCCCGTGGACAATGTCTTGAACCCTTTCTGTATAGCGCTCCATGGCGCTCGATCTAGACGAGGGGTATGTATCCCGGGGTCTCGCCCAAGGGGATGTCGAGACTACCTTACCCATATTCAATGTCGAACGAGTCCAGCTCCAGTTCAACATCGCTTCCGACTTTGTGGCCGGTCAGGTTGCGAATAATGTTCTAATCCTGGCCCTTGCCACGGGTCGCATCTTACGCATAGACTTGGAGTCTCCTTCGGACATTGATGGTCTGTCCTCGATCCATTGCACATACGCACTCCGCAGCCCATGCTAACTACGAACAGATGTCGACCTCCCCAAGAAGACCAGCGAGGTCGGTCTCATACGGCGCATGTTCCTCGATCCCTCGGCATCCCACTTGATCATCAGCACTACGCTGGGAGAGAATTTCTACCTACACAGCCAATCCAAACAGCCCAAAGCACTGTCGAGGTTAAAAGGAATCATAATCGAGTCCATTGCGTGGAATCCGTCTCAGCCCACAGCTTCGACGCGAGAGATCCTGGTCGGAGCCATCGACGGCAATGTGTATGAGATTTACATCGAGCCATCATCCGAGTTCTACCGACGAGAAGAACGATATTCCGCACATGTGTGGAAGACTCCAGATGGCGCCGTCACAGGTCTTTGGGCGGAGACGATGGAAGGTAAACCCGACACACGGAGGGTGATGGTGGCGTCGCATTCTCGCCTGTGTCACTGGATAGGCAAAATTGGTGGGAGAGGGAAGGAGGGTTCTGCATCAATCTACGCAGATTTGTTTTCTAGGGAGGCGCCGGTTGTACATCAGACAACTGGTGCATCCTCGACCGCACCGTCGTCTTTATCTGTGTCGCCTGAGCCGCAGGATCCTGGAGGCGACCCCGACCGAAGCTTTGCCTGGCTATACTCGCAGGGCGTTCTTACCGGCAAGCTTTTGACCTCACCAGCAACATCGGCCCTCGGTTCCAAAATACTGAGTGAGGCGAAACTTCACCCGCGCTCCATTTTCCCCGAAACCATGTCTGCTCGTGGAGGGCGGAAGCTGATCCAGGATCCCATTGTTTCGGCGATTCTGTCGCAGTGGCATGTTTTGGCGTTGGCGGAAGGCCGCGTGGTTGCAGTCAATCGTCTTGATGGAAGCGTCGTCTACGATCAGACAGTGCTCGAGGCTGGCCAAAGTGCACTTGGACTGGTGGCAGACATCAAAAAGAACACCTATTGGCTCTTCACCAATCAAGAGATTTTCGAGGTCGTGGCTAACGACGAAGAACGGGATATCTGGAAGATCATGCTGAAGAATCAGGATTATGACGCTGCTCTTCGCTACGCCAAAGGCGCCGCACAGAAGGACTCGGTCGCAACGGCTTCGGGTGACTATCTGGCAAGCAAGGGACAATATCTGGAAGCGGCGAACGTGTGGGGGAAAAGCAGCAAAGCTTTTGAGGAGGTTTGCCTGTCCTTGATCGACAACGGTCAAGACGATGCTTTGCGCAAATATTTGATGGCCAAGCTGGCATCATATAAAAAGTCATCGATCATGCAACGAGTCATGATAGCAACGTGGCTGATCCAGATATTCATGGCCAAGCTCAACTCTCTCGACGATATGGTGGCGACAAAGGCCGAGCTGTCGGAAGATACAGATGCGGGCGGGGCGAAGCGAGATCTGGAACAGACGCGAGCTGAATACCAAGATTTTGTCACCAAGCACAAATCCGACCTCGATGCACAGACGGTATACGAGGTCATTGCGAGTCACGACAGAGAAGAGGAACTTCTCTTCTTCGCTAACAGCATTACCGACTACGATTATGTCTTGTCGTACTGGGTGCAACGAGAGAAGTGGAACGAAGCGTTGTCGGTACTCAACAAGCAAACCAACCCTGAGACGTTCTACAGATATAGCAACGTACTCATGACCCATGTTGCCACTGGACTGGTGGATATTCTCATGCGGCGGAGCAACATCGACCCTCAAAGGATGATCCCAGCCCTCCTCAGTTACAACGAGAACGCCAACGTCCCTTTGACCCAAAATCAAGCAGTTCGCTATCTGAACTTTGTAGTATCCAACAACTTCGACGTGCCTGCTTCTGTGCACAACGCGCTCATCTCTATCATGGCCTCACATGGCTCGCCCTCCGAAACTGCGCTCCTGACATACCTTGAAAGCCAACCCACTCCTCCGTTGTACGATGCGGATTTTGCCCTGAGGCTCTGCATTCAAAATAACCGAGTTCAGTCCTGTGTGCACATCTACAGCGCGATGGGCCAATACCAACAGGCAGTCGAGTTGGCTCTTGAACACGACGACATTGACCTTGCGGCCATTGTTGCAGATCGGATCGAGGACAACGACAAAGTGAGGAAGAGATTATGGTTGTTGATTGCCGAGAAGAAAATCAAGGAGGCAGCATCGATCAAAGAAGCCATCAATTTCCTCAAGAGGTGCGAGTTGCTTAAGATTGAAGATCTGATTCCGTTCTTCCCGGATTTCGTCGTGATTGACGACTTCAAAGAGGAGATCTGTGAAGCCCTAGAGGAATATTCTCGACACATCGACAGCCTCAAACAGGAGATGGATTTGTCGCAGCATACGGCCGAGCAGATCAAGGCCGAAATTGCCGCTTTGGACCATCGATACGCCATTGTGGAAGCGGGTGAGCGGTGCTGGATCTGCACGCTGCCCGTTCTGAGCAGACAATTCTTCGTCTTTCCATGTCAGCACGCGTTTCACAGTGACTGTCTGGGCAAGCGAGTGCTGGAGACCTCGGGAATCAGTAAACGAAAGAGGATCAAAGATCTCCAAGCCGAGGTGAACCAGGGGTTGAGCATGGGTGTTCAACGCCAGAAGCTTGTCCAAGAGCTGGACGGGTTGGTCGCTGATCAGTGCGTGCTCTGTGGAGAATCAGGCATCAAGCAGATCGACGAGCCTTTCATCCATAAGGATGACGATGTCGATGCATGGGCGATATGAACGCGTGGCCCGCAAGCATGTTGAGGACCTCGACTGAAAGGTAGGAGAGGTTGCTTCGGCGGAAGGAAGAATTGCTACATGGGACTGTTCACTCACATTCCATAGAATGAATGGCTCGCTTGGCCGAGACGAGAGGCCCAGTAGTATAACACGGCAATCAACAACGTATGTAGTTTATATCACTTCACAATACTCCTCAACAGACAGTCTTTTGTTCTCCCACATTTTCGGTCCTTGTGGAAAAACAAGTCAATGACATGAACACTGACTGTGTCCCAGCCGTGGAAGCCACCGCCTTGTGAGAAGGAACCCAACACCTGTCGACATCGCCAGTGGACTGTTCGAACTGGTTGATATTGCACAGAAAGAATAAGTATTCAACCAGAATTCTGACTTGGTCCAAGTTGTAAGCAGACTTCAAAACCCGACCATCATCCAAACTCCTCAAGTCGATAGTAGACAGGTGCTTCGTCATGCCCCTTGCATCCACCCAGACACTCTGCTTTCAAACATTCAAACAGAGCCCCCCATCAAGCAATACTCCTTCCTTCCCGCAACGCAGGGAATGACATTCGCGGTTCTCATTCTCATTTCAAATCCCTAGCCTGGAAATTCAGACTGGCATGGTTCTGATTCAGGGTTTTGGCAAACAGGGTCTGAGGTTTGGCATTCCTGTGTGTTTCAAATTGGTTAGGAACCTGTCTCTAGAGACGCACGGCAAGGGCACTACTACCCCCATGCTACAAGGTGCTCACAGAAGGACTTACATGAATCGGCGCCCCTTGATCTCACTCAACTTCTTCGTCGTGGGACTCTGCATGGCGTCCGACGGCGAGATATATGTCTGATTTTGACTCTGACCCTGACCCTGACCAGCACTTGCTGAAGCTGATGCGACCGGATATTTCTGCGCAGTGTGGTCGAATCGCGGCATCTGCTTCCCATCCATCGCCGAAGTGGTGATTTTGTCTGATGCCTTGGGTTTCGAGGGCGACGCGGTGTTTGGAGAGCGTTCGGTCAGAGGGTTCGTGTTCGAGACTGAGTCTGCTGAAGTGGCAGAGGTGAGTTTTGTAGGAGACATCGCTTGTGTGTCTGTGGGGAGCTCGGTGGAGGAGGAGGGTGGTATTCTATGGCGGGTAGAGACCGCTTCCTTGGATTTCTGCGCGCCTGGAGGATCTCAGGTATGACCCTTTGCTGGTAAGATGTCCTGGAGTTGATGACCGCACGCTGTCTGCTTGTGGCGGTAGGGCACAGGTTCGTGTAGGAAGCGCGGCGCAGGTATTTTGGTGTTGTTTCGAAGAAGTAGAGGATACAATTGGTGGTGTGCCGCTGCAGTCAAGTGAATGAAAGATTTTTGTCTTCTAACAACGGTTGCCAGGTGAGCAGAGAGCAACCGAACAGGTGAGGTATATTGCGAGAATGTTGTGACAAGATCCGTGCACAACTGACTCGTGGCCGCTGATGCTCAACTACTACCGTACTGAATGAAGCAGGAACAGAAAGGTCAGCCAGTCAGGCAGTGAGTGAGTGGTGCGACGTCCACTGTACTCTGTAAAGCCTGAAGTGGTTGCAAGTGAGTTGGAAAGGACAGAAGGGGTGGACTGTGATTGGCTTGGGTTGTGACCTGGTTTATTTTCGCCGCATTCGTCAATGGCGTTGCTGTCGACCGGGCAACAGCGAGGCTGGCTCACGTGATCGCGAAAGATACCGATACCAGGCCTGTACTGTGGTGGTATAATATGGTACAGTAGTACCAACAGTAGTGCCTATACGGTATATATGGTACGAATGGTGTACAGCTGAAGAGTACCTACCTAAGGTACCTATGATTCATGCAAAAAGGGCGGTTCAGTCGACGCAATCCAGGAATGACATGATTGCTTATGGGTCATACTCGAGTGGGACCCGAAAGACGGTGAACTATCATGATGCCTGGATAGGGTGAAGCCAGAGGAAACTCTGGTGGAGGCTCAAACTCTGGTGGAGGCTCGCAGCGGTTCTGACGTGCAAATCGATCGTCAAATTTGGGTATAGGGGCGAAAGACTAATCGAACTATTAAGAAACAACTACTAGGTGGTTAAGTGTAACCTCGAAGTGGTTGCAAGTGCCTGATTCCGGCGCGACACTATTCATTTTCGGGGATGTCCTAAAGCTCTGGCGACCGCCTTATCTGTGAAAGCAGGTGTGAGGCACTAGGTTCAAAGCCTCGAGTATGGTAACACACTGCAGTGGTAACACCGCCAGAGATGCAACAATCAGCACGCGATACGTGACTTCCGCCCGTGCAGATAGAAGAACCTCTTTGCCATCTATGCAGCATGACCTCGAACTGCGCCATCTTCGACGGCGACCTCCCCATCACCGTAATCCTCCTCTCGCTTTTGATACAAAAAGAACTGCACGAAGATGGCCATATCCAACAACAGTGTGCCCAGACTGCCCGCGATCCAACTGGCGTTGACGGCAATATATCTCAGATAAAGCGTCTTAGCCTCTCCCGGCCGACAGTGATCCGGCTCGCGGCAGACAGGCGAATACGCAAAGATGGACATATCATAAGTCAAATTGCCGATGCAAGCAAAGAGGAAGAAGAGCAGCGAGACGCCCTCGGTGCTTTTGCGCTTGTAGTTGAGTAGGAGCTGCGGGACCCGCGATCCCAGATACAGCACGGCGCAGAGATATCCGAAGACCTGGCCGAGCATGTCGAACTGCAACGGCTCCCACGGTTGCTCTTCGTCATGGTGTCGGCGGCGCGGCTTGTGCACGCCGATCCACCAGCCCAACACCCCAGCAGCGCAGACCAACAAGATTGTAAACGTGTTGAACAACACGGCTTGCAGTGTGCTCGTCGGTCTGGCGTTCTTGACGGCGACAGGGTAGTCGCTGGGTTTCGGCGGGTCGAGGAGCGGTGTCACGGGCGACAGGTGAGATGCGTCGATCGAAAGATGTCGTCGCAGGCGAGACACGGAGCGCGTCCGGTCGGTGTGATGGTCCTCATCCTCCCGAGACGATGATGGCCGAGTGCTCGGATCGCCGCGAAGTAGGGGTCTCACATCGCGGTTTTGGTCGTTTAGGAGCGGTCTCGTCTCGTCACGACCTTCCTCTTCATATTGTCCTCCTCCCGACTTGATTTCATCACTGAGTGTAAACCCGCGATAATAAAAACATTGGCCCAACAACACAATATCCGCCAGGGTGTAGTACACGGCCAGAATGATCATGGTCGGCAGTACACCTTGCAAGATGGCGCCCAGAATGTTGAACACATCACCCGCGAGCCAGACCACGATGAACACGATCGACAGGCCTTCGGCGGAGCCGCGGCGGAAGTTCTCGATGATTTGAGGCGAGAACACCACTACCCAGCATGCGATGGAGATGGATCCGCAGATGCCGGAGAGAGCGTCCAGGTCGAGGGAGATGCCTTGCTGTGGGGGGAACATGGTTTCGACGTCGGACTTTCACCACCAGGAGTACAATGAGAGGCCCAGGACGGGTCTTGTAGGCACTGGCACTGGATTTCCTGGACGTGATATCTTTTCTGGCCCACACACAAACGTTGCCTCTTTCTAGCTGGTCTCGATGTGGTTGGTTGGTCTCTGTATAACTCAATATGCTCGATATCTCCGTGTGCTCAAGGTGAATTATCTCTATCCGTTTCTCCAAGTGGTCGCCCCGAAGCTGCCTTCGAAGTGGCTGAATTTCAGTCGTCTGTAAAATGTAGGGTAGTTGATCCCTACAGCTGTCGGATTCGTGGGAGACAAACAAAACGCCGCCCTTGCCGAGTACGTCCTCGATGTATGTCGAATGCGCGTGTGAAGATCCGAAAAGATCCTCAATCCTCAATGCGTAGTCTCTAGCGAGTCAAGTCGTCTTGCCCAAGCGAGAGTGAATTGCTCGTGCTGCGTCGGTTCGAGTTCTGTTCAAGACTGGAAAGAATAAAGCCGCCTCTTAAACGATAGTAGCACACCTCCACTCGTCAGCGCCTAGGTAGAAATGAGCTGCTGACCTATTTTTTGCATCATGCTGTTGCTGTATGAAAGGAACAACTCGATCAGTGAACAATAAGGCTCGATCAAAGCTGGAGGGGAAAACTCTGCACACGTGACCCCCGCAAAACTGGAACCCCTTGGAGATTGATTACCTAATAGTCCGGGGAAGTGGATGGCTGCGATCCGAAATACCGATACAGCAATACGCAATACAGATTTACGATACAGATTGGCAATACCGTATATAAGGTACCTGTATCTTACGGTTCAGGAGTTCAGGATAACGACAGAATCTGGACACCTCGAATATTAGTACCTGTCTTTTCAGGCGTTCTTATGCAATCCAGGGGCGAGGGTAGTTGCTGACAGCGGTACACCCGGAGTAGCTATATTCAAGTGCTCTCGACGGAGGAGTACATGAAGTACAGGGGACAAAGACGCCATCCCTAGCCATGGAAGATCATCATCCTGGATGGTATAGGTACCAATATCGCTGAAATCGCTCCAACCCAGCCCAATGCCAATGCATCAGTCCGTCAACCAAACTGCATGCGTCCCATATTCCGCACGAACGCTCCATTAACAGCCACCCAGTCGCGCAAAACGTAGTATGTAGGTAGGTACTCTTGCGGCGCCCAACCGGGCACAAAAAGACATCATCGTATCAGTCGTCACGGCATCACTTTCGTTTCCCGGCGCAGTTGAAAAAAGACTTCCATCCAGCACCACTGCTGCCAGGATCGCCTGTGGTCGAGCTCTCTGGAGATACTTGCTCCTTCTCCTTCTCGTTCTCGTTGTCGTTCACCGCAAGGCTGCTAAGATCCTTGCTGTTTTCCAACCACAATAGATCCTGCTGGATTGAAATGCCCAACCCGGCCTCCGCACTCGTTGCCGGCTTTTCGAGCCACTGCTTCAAGTCCTTGCTGGTCGTCTCGCTGACCTTGTTGGTTTGCATCTTGCTCCACGTCGTGAACATTTGATCTGGATCTCCGTTAGCATAAATGTCCTCTGCATGGCAACCCGGCAATAGGCGTGCTCTTACCATATTCGCCGACCAGTTTCCTCAACTCTCGCAAGATCTTTGCCTTCTGTAACATTCTTTCAGCGGGACTCTCGCATGATGTCGAACTTTCTAGCTTCAGCAACTCTCCCTCAAGCTGTGCTATCTCGTCCTGTAGGCACAAGAGCAGCCGCACGTGGACGTCATCGAACCGCCGGAATACTATCGTGTTCTTCGCAACCATGAAGGATGCCAACTCTGCATGGTCAGATGGTCCAGTGTTGGTGAAATTGCTAGCGATAGGCCCCTCTGGCAGGGTTCGGGCTGGCCTTGGACTTCCATGCTCTCGCGTTGGTGGCCTTCGGACTTCGGGAGGTAATTCAGGAAGTGGAGTGGTGGGCGCAGGTGTCGGGACTTGTGATTCATAGATCGTACATCTCGGAGTTGTTGCTCGCGAGTCTGTGGATTTCCTGGATTTCGGACGGACAGACACTGGTTGTGTGACAGGCTCCGCATCGTCGGATCGGGACCTGTAGTGTGCTCGCAGTGATAAGTCCGACGGGTGAGAGTGCAACGCCCGTTGCCGTCTTTCCGAAGCAGTAGATTTTTCTGGGCGGACGTTTGAAGTCGACTCCAGCGCGGGAGGTTCGGCTGGGCCCATCCTTGGGGACACCAGAGCCTGTACAGCCGGACTGGGAGCCAGGCGTGGCGATTCTTGCGGGGTTTGGGGAAGAAGACCCGGTGAAGGTCGAATTGATGAGATTGATGCCACAGGCTTGCGATTGTATTTAGATGTGGGTGGAAGCATTGCGGTCCTCCGCGTGGATGTCATAGAAGAGCGCGTCGCCGTGTCGACCTGCTGCGTTTGAATCGTACTTTGTTGAACTGAGTCTCCTCCCTCAACGCTGGTCGGTTCCTCGGCTCCCGTGGCGCTGACATCTTCTCCCAACGATTGTGCCCCTTCTGTCGTCTGTCGTTCGCTCGATCCCGTCCCAGTCGTCGGTGAGCGACGATGCTTTTCAGACTCTCGTGTCCCAATGGAGTGGGCGGCAAGCCATGCAATACTGGGTAAAGGCTCAGCAATATGTTGTGCACTTTGCGCTCTCAAGGCAGACGTCACACTTTCGGGTGCCAGGGCACTCTTGGAATAGTGGTGGGAGATGCCTTGACGCGGCTTCGGAGAGTTGGAACTTGTCTGGCTGGGAAACAGGGAAAATGACGCAGGCGGGGGAGCAGAAACCTCTTTGTTGGCCAGTGAAGCGGTGGCAGCATTGAACGCTCTAGTGTCCAAGACGGGAATCCAATTGGGATTGTAAATATCGGGGCCAGGTCTGGGATTATTATACCATGACCGTCGTCCGGTAGGCAACTCGACTGGTGCTATAATAGTCGCCATACTGGAGGATGTCGTAGGATGTCCTGTTCACTTCACCCGGTCGAGGTTAGATCCTGTATAGACGAAACACGCGAAAGAAGAGACGACTGTGGGAGTCCCAATGTCGCGCGCATGGGAATCGTGGCGAGACGATGGCCCAGTAGTACGTCCCTGGTTTCCGTCACAACGAGCGACTCGACATAGTCGGCGAGAGCTTGGGAGTTTTCTCACAACAGGCCATCAGGCAAGCCATATCGAACCGGACACACAATCATCATCCTTCGGTTTTTGGCCCCTCCTTGGGGTGGAAGGATTGCAGAGTACCCATGGCGCCGGCTCGAGCTGGACGCCACAGGGGCGGGAATGCAGGTACAACGGGGCGATCAACGGGAACTACCAGACCAGAAGTGGACAAGGCGGAAGAGGCGAGATGAAGCAGCCAACTGTTCTGGACGGAGGTGTTGAGCACCACTGCACTGCACGTAGACAAAGGCTGCTGTCGACATTGTGGATGTCACTTGCTGTGAAGTGTGCAGGCGCAGGCGCAGGCACAGGAATTGAAGTCGCAGGCAAATTCACTCACAACAACCCACCTTCTTGATTAAAGATGAGTGCCGTTTCAAGGTCATCTACCCCGTAAGAGATACCTACCTACGTCAGTACACCTGCAGTGTACACTGATATGGACCTGGCCGTTGATCACTTGTTCTCCAGATCTGGCCTCCGTCGGCACTCGTAGCCTATGAAATGCGTCGCTGGCGGTGTCAGCCAAGGTCTGCTTCGACCACCCTCATTGAGTGCTAGGACTGTGACAGCCGTCAAATCCGCCGTCTTCATCTCTTACGACTGCTCTTGCTTACACTGCCACGGCTAACTTATAACATGACATAGAACAGAACACAACAAATCACTGTGGCACCAATATACCCGCCTCCCATCCCTGTCTCCGAACCTCAAAGAAGACAGACGTCTCAACGGCTTCAAGGCTAACGTCGAGCCCCAGCCTTAGTCCGAACCCGGAGACGCCTTAGGCTCTTTCGAAACCACCGACCACCGAACATCCAATTTCTTTGTTCTATCGGCGAATCCATCCGCAATTTGCGCCAAAAGGAAAAGAAGACAAGAGGCACGCGCTCCATAAATTATGTTGTTGGCCTGATTGCTCAAGGACCCATCTTCGCTGAAAAGAACCTTGATATAAGATAACCTTGACTGTACTCCGTCATGGCGAAAAGAATGATCACTGATAAGCTAGCCTGGATGCTGATGAACAATCTACCCATCTACCCATAACTCGACTTTGCAAGAATACAACGCAGTCTCGACCGATCTATATCCGTCCCACAAAGGATGTTGACACGCCAGTGAAACATTTTTCGCCTGAGAGCATTCCGTAATGTGTATGTGCCATGCTAGTCCGTTCGAAAGAAGAGAGCATCCAAAGCCAGAAGGGTATCGAGTGTTGTCGTTGTCGTCGTCCTCGTCATAAGCATTTGTGTCTGTGGTTAAGCAGTGTTCCCACCCTTACGCCGACCATGCATCCCAAATGTTGCTCCCTGTGATCTTCACGCCCAAATTTTCATCTCTCCAAACTCCGTGCAGCCCAGATCAAACAACAGAACTCCAGTAATCGTGACGAGAAATCGACCAAATCAAGATAGGATATCGCGCCGGACTCATCGAACGCACAGAGAGGCACGAAACCCAACCGGATTCCTGGGCGTTGGGGCCCACTGAGTAGCGACAACAGCATCAATGGACCCATATGGCGAAGAGGTTGAGCTCAGCGTCCGGGGCCGAGATGTTAACCCAGATTGTGTTGTACAGAGACCAGTGCACCGCTATTTCGACTCGCGTTGAGCGGCCGGACTACCTTCGCCATCGGCACTGCTGCTCGCACTTGTGCTCGGCAGTTCGGAACTGCGATTGCTTGTGGTTACGCTGGACGGACCGTTTCCATTGAACAGAAGCTTTTCCATTGCCATGACCTGTTTCCCATAACTGGTTCGTCTCAAGATCGGGTAGTTTCGCTTCATCTCGACTTCCAGCGCGAGGAGCTCTGCATCGTGGAGCTGAGCGTGCACTTTTTCTGCTCTTTGTTAGTGGCATCGACATAAGGATTGGAAGAATTGACACTTACGCAGGACGTAGTTGCCATATTGGTCCCGCATGAGTCCAAGAACTGGGGTGGCACCCTGGTCGTCGGCCACCGTCAAACCACGAAGAATTGCTGCACGTTGGTCTTCATCCGCGTAATCAATGCTCTTTTCCACAATGTTGCTGGCAAATTTGTGCTTCGAAAAAGTGAGAAGCTGCTGAAGGACAATGTCAACGACATGGCGCCGATCTCGTGGTTCTCCATTCTGAATGATGTGCTGCACAACATAATTGCCATAGGAGTCACTGATGAGAGGCAGAATGTGGTCCAGGAGTTCATCCAAGATGAGTCGCTTGGCGTCTGGTCGACAGTATTCGAGCATGCGTTGTACCACACGACAGCCATACTGATGCGTCGACATTTTTGCCACCTGTCCTCGGTGGGCGTCCACTATGAATTGAATGTGTTCGCCGGGAATCCGTTCAATGGCCTTCTGCACAACATGATTGCCATTCTGGTCTCTGACGACTTTGAGTATCTGCAGACCCGGGCCATCCAGCTCTCTGACCAAACTGGCTTGCTGATCGGTCAAGACGTGTTCGAATGCCTTCTGTACCACACGGCAACCGTACATCTGCGTAGACAAAACGAGAACGTGGCCCTTCATCTGGTTGGCCAGAACCTTCTTCTGCGACTGGTTACCGTGTTCAAACATCTTCTGGATAACATAGTTGCCGAACACGTCCGTCATGAGTTGGAGGACATTAGGTTGGATCTCTCTGAACACCTGTTCTTTCTCGTCGCTGTTGGCCGTCTCCAGTTTCTGTTGAATGAAACGGGAGGCATGCTGGTCGCCGCTGAATTCGACCACATGATTGTAAATGTCCTTAAGTTCGAACCGTCGGTTGGTCTTGCTACTCGCCCGAAACTCCTCAAGCAGCGGACTTCTGACAATTTGACTTTGGTCAGGCTCGCGGGTCGAGATCCGAGATGCCGCAGGATAACCGTTTAGACCGGGATGGGCCGATGCAATGTAGGGGTGAGCAAGAGGGTTCATCCGTAATGGTTGGGCTGACTTGTGGAAGTCATAATTAACTCCATTGTTGCCCATTTGGTGAACTGGATTCGGCACAAACGAGAAGTGGTCGAATCCGTAAAATTCCGGATTGACATATTTGCGGTCCCCAGTTGATGGATCGTTGTGAAATGCACGGCTCGATATACCGCTTGCAGGAGTGCTCCGAACAGACTGCGGTCCGGTCGGGGGCGTGCCGGCCGCTGAATACATTGGACTATGCAGGTTGCTCCTGAATTCATTCGTCAACGGGGAGAGAGCAGCACGTCCGCCGTAGGAAAGACCGCCGTAGTGAGGAACGACCTGATGCTCCAACCGATTCCCGGAACTCTGTACGTCACCTACCGATGAATGGATTCTACTTTCCACAGGATTGAAAATGCTGGGTGGCGTCGAGGCGTGTGTCGCGACCGGGTGGACTAGGATGTCGCGTGGATGCTGTGGCTGGGGAACCGAAGTCCTCCGTGTGGGGATGGTCTGGACGCCAGCTTCATGTCCTGGGGTCCGTTCAAAGCTTAGCGTCCGCAAGGACCGCATGGCCTCATCGACCTGCTGGGTCGGATTATACTCGAACCGTTCAGCGTTCACCGCGCGATCAAGGCCATTTGCGTACGATGGCGTGGTGGATGGGAACTTCGAAGAACCCTCGACTCGTTCTCTGAGTGTTGGCCCCCTGGTTGCACCATATCCATTGTGCTGCGAGTAAGCAGGAGCACTTCCCTTGGGCGACAGAAGTCCGCTGGACGAGTATTCCCGCTCGTTGATGTACCCAGAGGCAGATGTGAGGATCCCATTTGCCTTGAATTTGCCCGTATTGGTCGTCTGAATATGAGTTTCCACTTGACTTCGATTGTAGTCTGCACCATGCGGCGGAGATCCTCGAAAGCGAGTGGCGACACTACCAGCTCCAGAAGGCTGATACGACTGCTGTCCGGGGAAAGGCTCATCCTCGATATCCGGGGAACTGCCAGCAAACAGATTTGAATCCTCCGTCTCAGCATGTGTAGTTCTGCCTAGAAAGGCCAGGCCCTGGTTCTGTCTCTGTTGTGTCGGCGAGAGTGGTTGGCCTCGTGACCTGGAAGATAGGCCCATGCTTTTTGACACGGAGTTCCAAGGCAATTTCGATGTCAGGGCATTCTCATTGCTGGAATCATTGCCTGCCAGAAAAGAACCTTTGTCTAGCATACCCTGGCTATAATTCGAAGCCGACATTTGACGAACAGGGGAGGCTGATGGATATAGTTAGCATGCCTCCGGTGTTGCTGATGTATCGTACATACGTCTCGTCGGCTCATTGTCAGCATCTGTCTCCAAGAACGATTTATTGGTTCCCCATATACGACTGGTTGTACTCCAAGCACTTTTTCCCATTTCGAAGTCGTTGCCCATCCGGGGCTGTGAGGAAGAGGGAGTCCGGTCGAAGGCTGAAGCACGCCCGTTTGCTGCCTGCTGTTCGACTTGTCAGTGCATCAGTCTCCATGGTATGTTTTGGCCGCACCCACGTTATCCAAGGGAGCGCCGCCCTTCATTATGAGGCCTGGTGAGCGTTGGTCGAGTGGGAGAGGAGGGTTCCAACACCAACGACGAAAGTGCCGGGACGATGCCCGTGATCAACCGCAGGCTCGCCACTTGTAGCGATGACCAGAGACCAAGACCAGATGAATACAAAATATCAACTGCAAGCCGATAGTGTCAGCCACTTTGTCAGACTGGGCACCTCTGAGCAGTCAATATGGTGAAGGCACCTACTTTTTTTTTTTGAAGATATGTAGGGTAAGATGTACACCAAACCCGAATTATAAGATGTCCCGTCACAAATACAAGGAGGAAGGTCGAGGGAGGGACGAGAAATTAAAAGATAAAGGTGAAATCGAGGAAGCAAGGTTTGGCAGAGTCATGTACCCCTTCGTTCGCCAGGAAAGAGATGGTACAATCTCAGCAGGCAGCCGCAGGGCAAATGAAAATCATGGCCGACTAAGCCTGAATCCGCAACGGACGGGAAGCGACAGGAGGACGCAGAGGGGACGCAAGGAAGGAGGAGGAGCATCTGCCAGCAGAGAAGCGGCTCGACCGCGATTTGCGCATGGAGCAAGGGATGGGATGGGATGGAAGTTGGAAGTTGTGGAATGCTGGGTTGCCAGTTTCGTGCAAGGCGAGGCGCAATTCTGGCGGGTGATGGTGGGTTAGTCGAGTAGGGTCTGCGGTGAGGGCGAGAGCGAGGGCGAGGGCGAGGGCGTGAGGAACGGGCGGTGGAGAGAATTCCTTGGACCAGCAGGGGGGCCAGCGGGGGAGCCAGACAAACACAGGATGAATCGAAGGAACATCGGTTACACAACGGATGAGGAGGAGACGGTTCAAGTTTGCAGAGAGAGAACTGCGTGAGGATGCCTGAAAAGGACGATACCGTAGTATATCAGAAAAAAAGTGTTCGTTCGGCTGAGATTATGATGCGCAGGCAGCCCAGAGACCCAGCGTCGAGACCCCAGATCGACGGGCGATATGTTCTCCAAGTGGGCTTAGTGGAGCGTGCATCTGGCTCATCAGGCTGCTGATGGTGCTAAAAGTGCGGGCTAGAGAGGCTTGGGCGGGTTTGAGATGCGGTGCTGAGTTCCAGCGTGGAAGGCTTTCAAGTTTTAGGCCTTATCGGGCACCGTAAGCTGTGGGCCAGTACTAGGGCTAAAGCTCCTCAGGTGCTGTCATAATAATGCTCCAGAAGGGAATGGCTTTTGGTTAGGCTACAAGCAACTTGAACTGCCCTCGACCGGTACCCTAGCCTCTAGGTAATAATTCCAGGCCGCAAGGGGGCCCTTAGGCCCTGAGGCTAATGATTTGTGACTTCGGATGGCTTTCTTTGACGACGGCTGTGGCTTGCATCTGCGCATCAGACTTTGGCGCTATTCAGATTCTGGTCATGATGCTTCCGCACTGCAGGGTTCAATAGATCTCTCGTGACTGAGTTGAAGGTGGTATAGCGGCACTTAGCAGCTGGGAACATCACGATGACCAGATGGGCCGCGGAAACTGCTTGCATGTGGCAAGATCTTGAAAAGCTGTAAATGTTCCATTCTTGACGAAGGTTAGCACTAGCCAGACACGAAATCCCAGCTCATAGCTCTCTCTACCTAACCTAGTAGTGGCATTTGTCCTTACTTGGGCTGACTCGGAGTTTGACTGTGAAGCCAGCAAGCATGTGAATGAACTGTGGCCGCTGCTGCCTGTCAGGCTCGGCCGTTGGTCCTTTGTCTCCGATCTTTAACAAGAAAGGATATTTGCTAACCTACTTGTGCCTAACGAGCCCATTTTTACATCCAGCAATCTATGGGTGGAAATCTGCGCCCCAGCTGACAGTGACGTGGCTGAACGAGACAGACTGTGAGAAACCTTTCTGTGGCATTCCGAGGAGGAGGAGGATGGTCATGCGTTAGTTAGTAGTCCGAGTCGCTGGTCGCAAAATTCTGGCTGCGACTTCAGTAAGGTACCACCTACATGTAAGGTACTACGTACTACTACTAGTAGTCATAGGAGTGACACAAGTCATCGACATGCCACCCCACGATTTCAGAGGGATTGACATGGAAACTTTCATCGTCCCATTATAGAAGAAGAACAACACTTTATACATGTCGTAAGAGCCTTGAGAGACACATGCTGGGACAGACATTCAAGTTGTCGTTGCTAATAAGCAGTAATCGCCCATCAGTTGCATGCAACGCACAACCGAGTACCTAGTACCTCAGGTACCTTAGGTAATTGTTATGCGAAGTACTAATGAATCTAGCTCTGTTCATTGCTAGTGAGGTTCAAGATCTCCATGCAGTGATATGCGTGGCATCGGAAGATTGAATTACGGATCCTCCCTCGCCTTTCCTTGATCATCGATCACTCGTACTTGGAGGAAGGCAAAGGATCGTCAATTCTGCATGGAGGACTTCAAATCCGTATCAGATGCCCATGCTCGCGACTCACTACCTAGACTACTCCCTGTAGGTAACTACGTGCAGGCAGTCACACACCTCACAATAATCCGGCCAAGTCAAGCGTAGAGGTACCAGACAGAGAGGTAGTATCTGGACTTGATGTGTTTGTTTGTTGTCGAATTGCTTTCGCCCACTAGACCAGGTCTTCTTTGCTTAAAGAAATTACAGGCGGTAGAAAGCAGATTGCTCAGCGCCGACATGCCGACCCTGAAAAGCTGCGCCTCACAGTGGGAGGAGTTCAAAGGCTGGCGGACTTTGAGCTGTAGAGGCTGTTGATTGGTAGACTTAAACGGCTTGTACTGAGTGGAAGCAGTCATTGGTGGGACTGACAAAAGAGTCCACCGCAGACAAACAAGCAGCGAGATGGGAAGAGGGTCCTCAAGCCTGGTGGCTGCGGTGGAGCTGGCAGCTCAGAGCAAACGAAGAATTGTCACTGGCCCAAAAGCCTCGTCTGCCTGTCAACACCCGCACGCGGGAGAGATGGCTTAGGAGGCCAACACCGCCAGTCTCACTTTAGGCCCAAGAAGACCTGGGTTGCCGCCCATTGCCCACTGTTCAGTGCCCACCACATGTTGAAGGGGGCAGGGAAGGTCGAAAGGGAGAGAGCTTTTCTCCAAGCACCACCACCACCGTGGCTGCCACCACTACCACCGCTAGTAGTGTACTACGTAGTAGGCGACAAGGCGGTTGCTCCCCCCGGGCACATTGGGACAAGAATGCTCCAACTCCCATCATCTTGTCCTCGTCGGCCTGGATTCTCTTTACTCACCTTGCTCTTGCTACTCTCATTCATCCATCCATTTTCTGGAAGTGAGTATAGCACTTCTTCACTGGCCATCTGGTCGTTGTCTCTCAGGCAGAGTTCAGCTTCACTCTTTTGCTGAGCCCGTGCCGTCCGTTCGTTCTCTCCCTCCAGCCACCAACAAACTCGATCCGCCTGGTGCAGAAACCTCACGCACGCGCAACCGCTGCTCGGACATTGGACAGATTCTGCTTGTGCATATTGGATCCATTGTGCATCATATGCCCACGCGTACCGTAGTATCTTGCCAGCCTTCTACCATCACGATAGGACGCGATTTCTACGAAACTCAGACGAGAACCGAGTCGAGTCTACGGCCCCAGGTCCAACTGCCCCTTCCATCGCATTCGCACGCTCCGATCACCGACCAACTTGGCATCGGCCTCAGATCTCGACATCTATATCAGTCCGCGTCCACGTCCTTGAAGGACGTTTCGCAGCTGCCTACGAGACCCCGATCCCGTCATGGTCTCGTTAAAACATTCTCACCTTCACATTCGTGATTCTTCCGACTCACCAGACGGCCAAACGTCGAGCTCCTTTGCCATGGGTCACCTGCTCTTCGCCTTACTCGGTCTGCTTCTGCTCGGCTCACTTCTTTCTTTGACTCTGCTATACCTACGCCGCAAGCGGATAGCAAGAGAGCAAGCCTTATTACCAGCGTACCATCAGCCTGGACATTCGCATCATCGCTCTCCATCAATAAGCAGCTTCACCACTCACGGCAAGAACGAATCGATCTTTGTCTACGACGAGAAGATGAATCTCATCCACAATTCATCGAGTCCACCGTCGAGCGTTGTTCCTGAGATCCATATTACCTTCCCTGACGAAGAGAGCAACACCGGTGGTAACCAACAAGGTCGTGTGGTTGTGGTGCACATCACAGAGTCTGGAAGCGTTGGAATGGAACCTCTCCACCGTGAACCGCTTCCTCCCTACCAGAAAGAGGACGCCGAACGGTTTCAATCGCTGGATCTCGAGAGGATAGGTGGGCTCAAGGAAAGGGGGGCCTCGAGCGAACGATGGACATAGACAATGGTCTTCGAGGATTGGTTATGCCATTGAACCGTGCCTGCTGTTCACTTGGTTTCGGAACGGGCCTTTGATATCATGCCTACACCACACGACGCGGCTGTTGAACGGCCAGCCTTTTGACTGGATATGCCCATGACCAGGGGTAGCCCCGCGCTACCCATGCAGGCCTCAACACTGCTACGATGTTGGCGAAGGCGACTACTGCCGATTGGGAACATTATTCGTGGAGCCCAAAACGGACATTGTATATATAGTATTAGTTTTTAATCACTTCTGCGATTAGACCGCAATGGTGCTTGGAGATAAGATTGGTGAGAATATCTCGACGATCATCATAACCACAGCAGTCCACCATGCTATCGTGGGGACGATAGAAAAAGTGAAGTTCATTCACCAGGAGTAGAAGCCGAACCGTCTTGGATCCTCTACATACCAATGAAGTAGTTGTACGGCCGTGCTACCTTCTAGGTTCATCCCAGGTAGTACGTACCTTAGGTAATAGTGGTGGGCGTGCCTCCCCAGCCTTACTCATTCAAGTTGGGGATGTACCTTCTGCACGGTGTTAGTACACCCTCGATTGAGGGAACATCGCCATTCTCGCAGTACGTATTTTGCTCATCATTACCGCTACTACTGCCAATGCAATTGACCATCGTTATCAAATTCCCTCGGTCAACGACAACGCATACAATGTGTAGGTTGAGTGGCCTCTAGCCCTCGAGGTGCAGTGTGCGGTGACTGCGGTCGAGAACAGGTTTCTTGTTCACCACCCCACTGGCCCCTGCGCCTGTGCCTGCGCCTGCGCCTGTATCTGCCACTGCAACTGGTGCAATTCAATCATTCAGCTCCCACTTTTGCCCCGACGCGTCAACAACAATCCATCGACCAATCATTCCCCCTTCCACCAAGTTCCCAATTCCTGTGTTGACAACCCCATCTCATGCTCGTCGTGAGCATTTGTCTTGTTATCCAATTCATTCTTCATCTTGACCGTTCGAAGGTCTCCTTAATTCGCCCGTCTGCCGCTCCAGCCGCCGCGAAATGACTATCGCCGCTGCATTGGCCCGTTCATCGTCCTAACCAGTGTTGTTCGACCGGTTTCGGGTTCAAACCGCCCTGCACCTTCGCAGCCATGACTACTGCCGCAATCGCAGGAACTGAAGGCACCTTGAATAACAGCTTGCACGCGTCCATGAACGACTTATCCGATCCATTCGTGGATGACTTCCAGCCACGACATTCGTCACACGCCCACCGCTATTCCAGCTTGGTGGATCCTGACTCCATTACGCTGGGCGCAAGCACATCGCCGTCTCAGGCCAAACGGAGTATAATTGCGCATCTCGCGGAGACGGAGCGGCGTCTTCACGATGCTCAGAAGCTCGGAGAGTCTCTCCTGCTGCAGCAGTCGCAGCTCACGGAAAAGTTGCGGGAGGTGGAAGAACAGCAGGGAGATGCCGAAATCTCGCCAGAGTTGCGGCAGAGACTGGCCGATCTAGAAAGAGAACATGATGATGTTGGCAAAGAAATAGCAAGAGCACTGCTGGGTCCCAAGTCAAGGGCAGTCAGTGGCGAAGAAAAGCCAGGGCCCGAACAATCCACCTTCTCGAGCCAGGCTACTGCGTCTCCAACCAAGGTGACGGCTCCTAGCCGGCGTCAACGGAACCAACCCAGCAATCGTGCTGGGGACTTGCAATTCGCAGCCGACATCAGCACATCGCTTCTGGCACAAGTGAGACAACTGCAGGGCGCCGTAGCCGAACGGGATGAACTCCTCAAACACGCCAATGCCGAACGGGACCAGTTGGAACAGGACAGGCTTGTGTTTATCCAGCGTTTGCGGGCTCTCGATGAAAGTGAACAGAAATATAAGGATGAAAACTGGAACCTCGAGACGCAAACGCATGAGCTTTTGTCCGCGGCTCGCGAGGCTGCTGACCGCGAGAAAAGGCTGTCTGCTGCTCTCGCGGCTGCAGTGGCTGAAAAGAACCGGCTGCAAAGCGAGATGGATGAGATTAGACTGGCTCACGAACAATTGACCGATGAACATGCCACAGCGAAAAAGGCCCATGATTCCGAACTACACACTCTCAAGCGGACCATAGAGATGGGCGACGGCGAGAGAGCTTTGCTGCAAAGCAAGATCGAGGAACTAACCGCCCAGAATCACGAGCTGGCACGGGCAGTAGCTGCACGACTACGCAGCGGACATACTGACACCGAGTTCTCCGCGGACCAGGAACATGACGAGGACTTCAGAGACTACGAGGAGCTAGACAACTCGCCGCCTGCGTCGCCCACGAAAGCGACCCCCCGGCATGGTGGCCTGGAATCCGAGACTCTGAGGAGCTCATTGCATCACGCTCATCGGATGATCCAAAATCTGAAAAACAATATCCACCGCGAAAAGACGGAAAAGATTGAGCTGAAGCGTATGCTCCAGGATGCTAGAGATGAGCTCGAGCAACGACGTGGAGATGGTTCGTTGGGTAGCGGAAACAAGCGACAGAAGACCAAATCGGACGCGTTCAAGAAACCAGCCAGGCTTGATATGCTTGGAGGTAGTAGGCGTGCCCGCACTGATGTCGAACTCGAGGATGATGACTGGGAAGATCATCTCGTGGACACCCCAACTCACCACAGACTTTTGACTGTGCCAGTCACGGCCCAAGGACCTACAACGGATGTGAGTGATGCCTATCAAACCGCCAACGAGACAGAAGGCGCTTTCGAGACAGCAGACGAGCGCCATGCCACGGAAAGTGAGGATTTCCAGACTGGAGCAGAGAGTCTGGCAGGAGAGAGCACCGATGACTTGACCGAGACGGAAGACACAGCTTCTCATATCCGGCGAATGGCCCCTGGCCGAGTTCTCAGATCGAGTCTCACATTCAAACCACCTAGTGACAGGCAGTCTTATATTAGCACGGCCTCCACTTCTGCTGGAGAGGATGAGGACGAGGTGAAGACTCCAGTTCTCGCTCAGTCACACAAATTCCGCCTGAAGAATGGAAGACAATCCTTTGCACGGCAATCAAGAGTGCCTACCGACAGCACACCCGCAAACCTCATTTCAGATGCTTTATCCCAGGAGTCGCCCGCGACTATCACCAGCGACCGCAGCCCGCCAACTGCTGAACAGAGCCTCTTTGCGGAGCTTGGTGGCTTGGACGACGCCTCTAGTTTCGGCACTCCAGGGAGAACTAGCATTGCTTCTGTAGCATCCACTCCCGGCTTCTCAACCTACACTCCTGGGAGCGAGACTGTGTTGCAGAGAGCACCGCTGGACACAGCAAAAACCTCCATGGTGGACTCTAGCACGATGACTGAGCCGTGGCAAGCAGATGAGGAACATCCCGCTCGTGCCCTGGTCGATGCAGGCACAGTCATGGAGCCGCCCTCTCCGGCCCATGAGGATATGCGAACATTGCTGCCGTCCGACTTTCCTTTGCCCCCCACGGTCCCAGCCTCCCCTGTCAAGAACATGGATAATGGAACTCAATACACGCCTCAGAGGACGTTACAAGACAGCCCAATGAGAAATACGGCCTTCATTACGCCTCCCAAGACCGTATGGGATGAAGCTCAAAGTCCCGAGAATTTGCACGCTAACATTGCCTCTACTCCTCATCCTGAAACACCTCGCCAGCTAGGCTATTCGGGTCTTCTTATGCATGGCACCACCCCGAAGTCACCTGACAATATTACCTTGCCGCCGCAAGCGCTGGAGGTTTTTGGTTTCTCCGGCATTCAATCGCAAGCGACAGAACCAATCCAAGCGGTGCCATCACGAAAGTCTGTCGACATTGGAAGCTCGCCGGAGAAAGATTCATCTGAGGTCTTGGCTCGTCCAACCGCAGCAGAAGCACTGGGCGCCACTGGCCTTCTTGCATCTGCTGCAGCTGCTTTGGGTTTTGCCAAATCCGCCGTTTCCGCTGCTCCTAACATCGCTGAGGACGAGACAAGTGAACCTGAAAGACGCGCGGGCGACTTGCGAACCGAAGAGTTCCAGCCGCTGAAGGACATAACTGGAAACAGGACTCCTGCCAGGACTGTCTCGCTACCCAAGTCCAAGCAGCATGAACAGAAGGACACCCTGTCCCTGATTTCCAGCAACGACCAAGGCTCACAAACGCTTCTGACCGCCGAACAGATCGAGGAGGTGCTTCGTCGCAGAAGCAGTATTCCTGTCTTGTTGCCTAGTGGTGGTGACGCTTCGGAGGTCACTGCACATCCCCTCAGTCCATTGACTCCTGCGGGAGGGATGACTGCATCTCAAACGGAACAAGGCGTTGCTCCCACCGTCTCAAATGTATCCCCTTCCAAGCGACCGTTAAGTGTGTCCAACCAACGACCCTCAAGCAGCATGGCATCACATCCGCCTCTGCCACCTGACCATAAGGCAGCAATCGCTAAAGCTGGTGGCCGGGTTGCCTCGCCTAGCCGAGAACCAAGCCTCTCCAGCAATGTACCGGTGGTCATGGGACCACCTGCCTTCCCTGCATCGGCAATGCGGCGTCCAAAAACTCCTGGGGAATCCATCCGTTCTCCGACTCGTGAGAGCAATGCACCCCGGACTTCCAATGTTGGCCGGGGCCACCGTGGAACTGTCACGTCTCAGTTGTCTCATCGTTCATCTGTGTCCTCTTTTGCCTCGGAGATTGACGAGCGTTTTAATATACACCCACAGACTGGACCTCAGAGCTTCGGCACAGACCCCAGAATCATTCAAGCCATCACCCAAACCATGATTGGTGAGTTCCTCTGGAAGTACACACGAAAGGCAGGTCGGTCAGAGATGTCTGAGACACGACATCTCCGATATTTCTGGGTGCACCCTTATACCAAAACTCTATACTGGTCGGATAAAGATCCGCAGGCTGCCGGAAGGAACGAGTTAAAGGCGAAGAGCGTCCTTATACAGAGTGTCCGAGTCGTACCAGATGACAATCCGATGCCGCCAGGTCTTCATAGAAAGAGTCTTGAAGTCATTACTCCTGGCCGACGCGTGAGATTCACTGCAACAACTGGCCAAAGACATGAAACATGGTTCAATGCGCTCAACTACTTGCTGCTTCGGGGCGATGATATACATTCGGGTGCATATGCGACTGATGGAGACCACATCACTGGGGACGACTTGAACGAATTCAACGTCAATGCTGGGGGTTACGGGGCAACCCTTGCCCCCACTGGCAGTCGGATGAGTCTCTCAAGCTACAATTCCCGGACGACTCGTGGGACCAGTTCCAATCGAGCCTCGGCTGCACAACGGCAACCAGCGGCTGTGACTGGGGTTGCCAACACGAGCGCGCCGCGTGCTCCCCAGGAGTCGGTTGCATCTCGCACCGCGCCCAACTCGACTGTGCGAAGGAGCCGGGCCGAGCAATCTCAAGATGTGGATCGGGAGCGTACTGTCAGGGCGAGTAGTGTAAGCCGATTCTCTCGCATGATTGGGTCTGTCACCGGACGAAGCCGCAGGATGAGCGAGACAGCCAATGTCAACCCTGCTGGAGGTGCTCGCAGCGAAGGCGGCAGCATTTACGATGCCAGCGTCGTCAGCGACGGACGCATTGACTCGGCAGAAGAACTTAGAAGGGAGATGTTGAGGCAAGAAGAGATCGGATTCGGCGGTCTTGAGAATGTCAGGGCTTGTTGTGATGGTGAGTTTTATCGATTAACCCCTTTCCGAGAGCAGTTTATTGCCTTGTCCATGTTAGTTCCACGTGCGGGTTACTGATGATCTGTATTTCTTTGCAATAGGCAAACACGACGTCTCGACACTCAGTCACAGTCACCGACATGCCACGGGACACGGACCTCACCATCGAGCACTGAGTATGAGTATGAGTATGAGTTTGCGCGGGACTGCTAGACGAGGCGGGCCCGGATCGACGCCTGGAAAGCCTGAAGCACCGGCCGCAACAGAATATGGCGCAACTGCCACACCTACCAGATCCGGGATGACCGCCGCAGCGACGTAAGAAGAAGAATTTCCATGACATTGTGAGAGTGCTTGGGTTGCGACAGTACGATGGACAGAAGAAAACAATGGAATGGCCCGCACAAACGCACCACTACACCGCTCTATACGTCTTACTGCATGCGATGAAGGAGACTCGCCTTGTCCCATACATTGCTTTCGCCGAGGATTCCGGTGTTTGCAATTGGCTGGTCAGTTGAATCGATTGCTTAGCAGGTTGAACGTGCTGTGAAACTGGGCGGATCAGTGGTCGTGTTTACGGCCGTGGTTGTGCCATTGAGTTATGATGCTGTGGATGTGGATGTTTGATACTACCTCGCCTGAAACCGGTTGTCTCGTACGGGTGCCCTAGAGAATGAAGCAAATGTATGAATGCATCATGCGCATATATGTTATTCTGTCGTCAAGGAGATGTCATCATCTGGTCAAGGTCTGCAGGTTCAAGAATTGTGATGGGTTCGTTCAATCGTTCATTCATACACAGGTACATTTGACTCGTTCATTTGATCCGGTTCAGCTACGCTGCTCTCGCCTTCCCTCTGTGCTGACGTGCAGGGTTAATTGTACCTCATGGCAACATTTTACGAGTACTTTACTTGACTCATCACATAATATACACCTTCTTGACCTGTTCCCAGGGAAAGCTCTCGCCGGTGGTGGGATCTCGAACCTCGCCTTCCTTCCCAATCTGCACATCATGCGAGCCTCCGTCGCCGCCGCCAGCCAGACCGGCCATGGCGAACTTGCGCTGCAACTCTTCGAGACGCTCACGGCCATAGATGCGTCCGTTGGGCAGGACGACAGGGTCTGATTCGACAAAGCTGGTGGTGTGGTGGGCGTAGGGGACGTTCCGGGCCAGCTCGTTCAATTCCATACTGCAGATCGGACAGAGCGAGGTGTTTGTGGCGATTCGCGCGTGGCCCGGCGTCGAAGAGCTCGCGGGGTTATAGGCGCTGTGGCATGCTGGCGTCTTCAGCGCGGAGAGACCGGCAGATAAGGCTGCGTGGAGGAGTGGCTGCACAGGGAGAGATAACAAGCTATGGTGAGTCTCGACGAACAGATTCGATAGATGGTGCCACCGGGATGGGGCGAATAGCGCCCGATACGGCTCGGCTTGGGTGTCTGGCTCCTGGGCGAGCAGACCTGCAGCTTGCATGATGGCCTCTGGACGAGATGAGGCGTGTGGAATCAGATACTGTTGAGCGTACATCCTCGCCTCCAGCTTCTTGGCTATCGTTCCTGCCCGGATGAGCTCGATGTATTGTTGCAGACGGAGTTCGAATTCAAGGTTCGTCGATTTATAGGGGGCCGTGATCAGCTTCTTGAGCGAGTTCTTGTTCTCGGTGATCCAGGCCAGGGCTTCTTTCGTCTCGCCTCGGTTCAGAGACGAGGCAATCTTGTGGCATGTCACGAAGGTGTCGAGGTCAATGAGGTGCGAGATCTGCTTTGTCTCGGCCAGCGAGCCGGCCGTTTTCGAATAGCCCGATCGAAGGAGGTAGTCGACCATCAGCCGGTCAAGCCGCGTCCGCGCCCATTGGTCGTATTTGACGTCCGCGAGCGAAGGGATCTCGTAGAGTTCTTGGAGGTGTTTGATTCGTTTGGCCGAGTGGTCGTGCAAGGTCTCTTCCTCCGCGTGTAGTCTTTCTATCTTACGTTTGAAGGTCTGCATTCGTAGGATCATGGCATCCAGAGACGCCAGTGTCTGCTCGGGCGTCTGGGAGGAACTGAGGGCCGCGTTCGCCGTGTCTTTCAGGGCCGGTAGGATGTGGTCTCGTTCTCGCTCCACGTAGCGTTGTGTGTTGCGGAAGTTTCTCTTGACGAGCTCATGAGGTAGTCGGAGCAGAGGTTGGTCCTGTAGTAGTTATGTTAGTCTGGACTCTGTGGTGAGTGTGGATGCAGAGTGGTAGGTACCAGCAGAACATGGCTGTCTGGGTTCAGTTTGATGCTTGAGAAGTCGACGGCCATAGCGACGCTGGATGGACGGATTTGAGGGATTCAGCTCTCAGAGATGGCCTCTTAGGTTACCTCTCGAGTCGATGTTACTAGGAGAGTTGGAATGGCGAGCGTCAGTAAGCCTAGGAGTCGTCTGGGGTGGTCGAGGAGAGGATGTTGGAATAAGAAGTGGGCAGATGATGCGTGGGAGGCGAGGCCGTGGGTCCGCAGTATCTTTGTGGGGGGAAATACATAGTACGTGGTACTACTAGTAGTATGGCGTCCAGCGCATCCGGTGGTGGCACAACATCCAGGATATCACATATCACATATCACCTACTGGTAATCCACAAGATGTGTGATGAGAACAGTATTTGCCTCACTCAGGCTCTGTCTACACGCGATATCCTCTGCTCGCTCTAGCCTACCAGCGAATATCCCAGATCCTTTCCACTGCCCATGTCGACCAGTCTTCTTCGCATGCCCTCAGCTCGCTCGCCCTTTCTGCCTTCCATCGAGAATTGCGCTCTTCCAACCCATTCACCGACCGCATGTTGCAACACCTGTCGCGCCCGTTCATTGCCATGCCCAGCCAGCCCGACCGAGCCGTGCAAAGTCATACGGCCAAGCTCGCTCGTCGCGTCAATGCCCGTGTAAATGCCGCGATGGAGGATATTGCTATCGTAAAACACAGCATCACCGGGCTGGAGCTCGACGACGAGCTGTCCCGGCAAGTCTGGCTCATGGGGAGCCGCAGCTCGTTCTGTCTCCGTCCTGATGCGGCGATGACTACCAGGCACCACGATCAGGGAAGCATCGTCGAAGAGGGCGATGTTATATTGCGCATGTAGCTGTTGACCGGCAGGACTTTTCTCTTGGAGCAGTTTCTCTTCTTCTTCTGGCGTTACCTCTGGGCGGATATCGTCTCGATGCCAGCACAGTTCAAAGCCCTGCTGCTGGGCCGGACTAACCAGCAGATTGAACAGCTCCATCACCAGCTTCTCATCGCCATGAGGATCATCCTTCAGACCCACCAGCTCTTTCACAACTGACAAGATCTCGTCGGAGAAGTAGATCTCGGCAAAGATGTCCTTGACCCCCATGTCCGGATGTAGAAGATGCTGCACGCCCCAGATGTTGTCTCCCGGCTTCCACTCTTGCCATGGCGGATACTGCTTGGGCACTGTCCTCACGTAGGGCCATTTCCCCTGTCGTGCTCTGTCGGTGGTGTATTTACAACTCGCTTTCAAGGCCAGTAGAAGGTGTGGTGGAACGAGATTGGGAATCTTCACGAACCCGTCCTTGCGGAGGGCATCGAGATAAGGCGTCGAGGACATGATGATCAACCGCCAGGGCTGTCTAGGCTAGGTTTCACTTATGATGAAAGAGGTCAAGGAAGGCCATTGGGAGGAACTTAGGCTCTTGTGATGTGCCAGTGTATGAGATGTAACCTCGGCCGTCTAGCGAGGTAGCAGCACATCGAACACCTGGAGCCAGAATCGGTCTCTTCGCGTGCTGCTACCGTATATCAAAGATACCACTCAGCGGTACCTTCCTTGGCTGGGAAGAGCATCACACAGCCCACACGCCGGCTCAACAAGTTCTCCGCATCGTCGCACCGCAGTCAATTGATCGGAGTATGACTTTGTTTAAGGGGAGTAGTAATAAGGGAAGGTGCTACAAGTATATCTTACCTTTTAGGATGGAGTCAAGTACCTGTACCTACCTGCAGTGTTCTGCTTAGTAGCGCCTACCCTAGAAGGAGCGCCAAGTACCCCTTGGCGCCTATAAAGCCCGCTTCTACTACCTTACGAACTATACAATCTCACAAAAGTGCCTTCCCTCACCTCAGTCTCGCAGCCACCCGGCCTCACAGTCCGATGGGAACAAGACGGAGATGGGCCCCGTGAACAGCAGACCATCTCCCGCCGATTGACGCGAAGCTTCCGAAGTTGAATCAGGGCAGCAGCCACAGTCGTACATCCCATCCCACCTCGGGGAATCTCAACGACTCAATATCCCAAGTCGGGAAGCAAAGCACCGGGATGCAGTGTACTCGCAGCCTGGCACCTCGCCGGATGCAATTCTCCAGCTGTGATGATTGTCGCCGGTCGCGTGTTGCCTGCGACGCCTCAAAGCTTGGCCATCAGCCTGGAGAGACCGGATGGAAAGGCTCCTGTTCAAGATGTTCTCTGAAAAATAAAAGGTGTACATTTGAGGTAGGCCCGTCGACAGGCTCTTGGAATTCCCCTGCACAGCGCCTTTCACCTGAATTGCCCTTTCTGATACGGAGAGCACCGAGCAGTGGATCAAGAGGACATCGGCGAGACCACGGGAGGACTCAAGTGATGTTCCGGCCTCCAATATCGGGGAAAGTGTCGGCATCCGCTCATCTCCAGACCAGGCTGCCCTCACGATCCGACCAGACACTTCTTCCAAAAGAGCACGAGTGTACAGCTCATCGGATGCTCAGACTCTTCGGTGAGTGTTAGACCCACGTCAACCTCCGTCGACAATCCTAACCATGCAGTTAGTCGGGTATCATCCGACTCCTTCAACCTCGACTTCGCACCCAGATCAACCGATGTATCTGGCTCAGGCACCGAATCTGTGGAAGCCCTGCTCACACAGTGCGCTGGTTTGGTTTTCAAGCATGGCTTTGGTCTTATCTTCGGTCATTCGATTGGCAGAAATGGATGTCCTTTTGTGTACGTGGGAATTGTGATATCCTCGAGGCATGAATACCTGACAATCACAGAGATGAGCCGACTAGCGATGTTTGTTATCCTCCAACAAAGCTATTTGATGTGCTTGACGCTCTTATGAACAAGCAACAAGACACGGAAACCAACGATACTTCTGACACAATAGCACGGAGACAAGAAAGGGACGACCTCATTGACCAATCCTTGCAACGAGCGATGCATTGCTATGCAGCACGATGGCTTCCCATATTTGGGCAACAAGAAGGTGTGTCCACGAGTCAGTACGAACACGTAAGCAGAGAGTGCTGGCGCGCCATGAGAAGAGACATACTCAAAGTCGTCAACCGCATTTCCTACCGATCTGTCTTGACACTATATCTCTTCGGCCTGACTCCCGTCCCGAGAGGTATATCCGAGGAAGAGGAAGAAGATGGCATCAGCGGATTGATATGCATTCAGACTGCTCTATTGCAGATCCAGCAGCTCCGGCAGCAGTTACGAAGTTGCCAGGCCGATGTATCGGAGGAAATCGTCTGGCCCGACCCAGGGCTCGGCTTTGGTCTACGGGTGAATCTCTCCGAGACGTATCTAAAGCTGGAGAGTAGAGCTCACTGGGCGGCTGTCATGTGGGACACATCAAGTGCCATGACATTGAATATCAGGTCGTCTCTGACTTCCGGGCTGAAAGGGGCATGCATGGAGCCATCATGGCGCGTGACCCGGGCCTTCCTTGTCGGCTCAATTCCTCCTCAAACAGAAGAGTGGCGGAAGGAGAGCTTTGAGTTCACCGATGAGATAGCCTGCGAGATCATTTCCGCTGCGGCCATCTGTCGGATCTACACCTGGAGGACCATTACAAGCCTAAAAGAAGCACTCAGGGAATGTGTCGAGGACGAGGCTGTTGATTTCGCGTGGGATGCGCTGCTGGATGCACTTGAAATCTTCAAGACGACAATATACCCTCTGCTCAATCACTGCGAAAGGCAACTCCACTTCCTAGGCCAAGCCGCCCGGCTATACTGGTATGAAACCATGTTACACTACTATCTGGGCATCTTGATCCTGGTGGAAGCCCTGGAGACCGCCCGCCGCCCCGACTTCCTTTCACAAATCACCAACACCCGGCTAGAAGCCGAACATGAATGCTTCAACGTCCTCAAGTTTGGGCTCGAGAGCATTTACACCGTTGATGAACCTTCAGCAGGCTTGAATAAAGCTTCGGGCAGCTTACTTGCCACCGGTCGCCGTTCCACGCAGTCCATCAGCATCTCATTCGTCGCCATTGACCCGTATCTACACCATCTCATCGCCGCCGTCCGGCTGATGAACAAGGCTATCATTCGTAAATATCGACGAGACGATATCAAGGACGAGACCTACACCTATCTGACTTCTACCTTGCTGAGAGCTTTGCAACATCTCCCTCAATGTTGCAAGACTGTGGGAGTAGCCAAAGACAGCCTACAAGCATCACTCGACAAAGCCGAGGCGGATTTTGTCGCCGATATGTCGCTTTCGGATTAGCGGAGGACAATATGCTCTAATGGCATATATGGTCTTTATCCTTTCCTGATCACAAATATTCCTTTGTCTAAGAACAGAGCGGACTATCCCGGCTTTGCATCAATCGGGGTTTGAGCGTGGTGCTGGCGGAAGAACAGCACCAGGCCGACGAAAAAAATCATAGCAAATCATCATACTAACAGCTACTTGCTTGTACAATCATGTACTGAATCCATACATTTCTCCATCATTGTCATACTTCATGATGCAGTACTACTGGCGGTTCCTGTCAAGAACGAGAAGATATTTCTGAAGGCCGCGCCAGGTTTGTGCCTCATGGCCACCCAACTCCTGTCTTCTATCCAGTGCTCATTGCAAACAGCTTTCCAGCACCGACCTCACACCAGCCTCATCCAACATCTGCACGCCCAACAGCTCGTTGTCTAGGTGACTCGAAAAATCACAGCCGTATTCGGGGTTGAAAGAAGCGGTTACACAAAACCCATCCATGGCGGTCATGATCTCCCCTTTGTCCAATGCCGCCATACTTTCCTGCCTGATCTCCTCGGTATCTTTGACCCGGGTATCCCACTCCGCGCCATCTTTATCCTTGGCGTACTGGATTAACTTGTTTTGTGTGGTCGTCGTCGAATGAACATAAACCAGACGATTTGCGGTTTCCTCTTGGTTGTGTATGACGCCCAATATTGCCTTGGCCACATCAGCCAGATTTGTGGTACTGAAAGGGACATCGCCACCATTATACAGCGTTGCAGTGTGTTTGGCCGGGTTAACGATGAAGCCCACCTGCAGGCCCCAGTCGAGGAACAGTCCGTTCGCGATGCCTGTCCAAGAGAAACCTGGGTTTGCCTCCGTCTTCTCGCGAAGATACTTCTGTGTTGCCACTTTGGGTGTGCAGACAGGCAATTGTGTGCAGAGTGTGTTCATTGAGTCCATGCCGAATTCCGCGGGAATGAAGCGCTTGACGCCCGCCTTGACACAGGCATCGATCAAAGGATTTTGACTGCCTATGGCTAGGGTGGCGAGGCAGGAAATGACAACTTCAACTCCAGCTCCATGCAGTGCTGCCGTCAGGGACTCGGTGGAGTCGAAGTCGACTTCCCGTATTGTGAGGTTTGGATGCGGCGACAACTTGGACGAGTTTCCCCCTCGACGTGAGAGAACGGTCACAGAAACATCTGCGTTCAGGAGAGCTTCGAGCACAGGGACACCGAGGTTGCCCGTGGCACCTGCAAGTGCTACTTTGATTGAGGACATTGTGAAGTCGATGGAAAACACTCAGAGACCGAAGGCAGAAGGAGACGATGGGGGGATGGGGGCTGTCACACCGAGTCTGGGAATCCATGCTGCTTTATAAACGATCAGAGATCGATCATCGGGGGGCGCGATCGCATCGGCCTTCACGTCTCCACAATGATCGAGGAGATTATCATCGACGCTCGTGAATCAGTCAGAGCACGAGCATCTCAGGTCGGGAGTTGAAGCGAAAGCAGGCCAAACCAGTTCACTTTGCAGCATGGTGGATGTCGAAGATGGAATCCACGCTGGAGAGAGCAGAGAGCAGCGCTGACTACGCTGGAGGGCTCCGCGTTATCGGATCGGATCCGTTTTTAGTGTGTGTTAGGTCACCAACTCTCTGTTATCATTGGCAGACTAACCATCGGTTCCGTCGGATCCGATCACTAGCTGCTCTAATGATGTGTATAAGGCTGTGGACATGCGTACAGGGGCATTGTGACCAAGGTAGAAGACGCATTGCTCTTCTCATAGGGCCTGAAGGATGATCAGAGGTCATAGATATCCCAGCAACCACACAGAGTACGCTGTCCTTGAATATGTTGCCAGAAGGTAATCCAGTCCTCACCTTCACGCTGTCACCATGTACTGGAGGTACCAGGTACTAGGTAGGATCCTATACCTGCCATACTAGTATGCGGAAGTTGAGATTTTGAAGTCTTGCTATGTCATTACAAGACTTGGCAGCCTCCAACACCTTCAAGATCGACAACCGCCACTGCATCGATGACCTCTACCAATGCAGTTGCATACTAAAGTACTAGTATAGTACGAATGACATCCTGCAACCATCTTTCACCTCGCTGCTGGTCCTCGGACGGTATCAAGGTCGATACCGGCAGCCTGACTAACTGGATCACGGAAAAAGGTGGGTGGTGCTTTAGACGCTGGCCAAGTGCCATACTGATCAGGCTGGTCATCGCTACCTACAGCTCTATCTTGAGCCTTTTTGAGAACACATTGACCGAGTGAAGATATCGTTCTACCGCAAGTCCGTGCAGCTAAGTACTTACATACCATCCCAAGCAATTAGCGGTGGTAGGCGAAGCACAACCGTTGGCAACTGCTGAGCTGGCGCTATACTCTTCTCGTCATTTAAGCCGCGTTACTTTGATGGTCGAACGCTCCTGCAACTCCGTCAAAATGTCGTGCGAGCACGCAATCCGCCAGACAACCTTGGGAGACATTCGAACCTGTGCACACCTTCCGCCCACCGCAATGGTCCATTTTATGGACGTTTTCACCCTGTTCGATTCATAACCAAGCCTGGTGTCCTGCTCGGGTCTGGTCCAGGCGCAGATGGCGCAGGGGCATAGGGCCTTCACGGGTACTTCCATACACGGGAGACTCATGCATCCATCGCCTTACCTCCCTTCGAAGCCCTTGACGATAGCGAGGCATCTCGAGGCATCTCGCGGCCCGTTGTTTTCATGTGTTTCCAAGCCTTGGAAGGACCCCGCCACAGATCTATTGTGGAAGCTGATGTGGAAAATGTGGAGTTGACGAAGTTGACAACGTCGCAGCGTCGCCAGCGAACTAGATCACATCATCAACAATTAATGTCAGCCAATATCTTGCAGTAGCAGTCTTCTTGGCCGACATTGCCATGGAGGGTCCCGATCCAAAGTTTTCTCGGCCATCTCTCGAAAGGGCAATCGTGCAGAAGTTCGGTGCCACCTCAGGCCGTATAAAGAGTATGAGCTTTTCGGCAGTCTTGCACCCACCCCAACTTCCAAAGGCGAGGCGTTGTCGCAAGCTGAACAAAAAGAGACAAGCTTCTAAATAACCCAGCCAACATGTCCGGGAAAGAGACCTATGTCCTCAATGAGGCGTCAGGTGGACAGGGAGATGGGCGGCGACGTGAGTATACCTCAATCTGTGCTTTCCAACATCGCCCCAAGCCTTCAACCGTTTGAAATGCTAACATTGGATGCGCTCAACCAAGACATCAAATGGTACCGGTCAACATTTTACAACGCTCTCATCCTGGGCCTTGCGAACTTCGCGGCCCCTGGGCTTTGGGGCGCCATGAACTCCCTGGGCGCTGCTGGACAGGCAGAGCCATACCTCGTCAACGCTGCCAATGCCTTGACATTCTGCCTCATGGTCCTCTCCTGTTACTTTTCCAGCGCCCTGGTTCGATTTGTCGGCATCAAATGGGCGCTGGTCATCGGCACCTTGGGTTATGCACCCTACGCAGCTGGCATGTATACAAACAACCGATTCGGCACGGAATGGTTCGTCCTTGTCGGCGCTGCACTCTGTGGGCTCTCAGCAGGCATCTTCTGGATGGCGGAGGCTGCCATAGCGCTCACATATCCCGAACCATACAACCAAGGTAAATTCCTTGGGTTCTGGTTGAGCTTCCGTCTCGCGGGCCAGATCCTTGGAGGTGCAATCAACATCGGTATCAATGCCAACAAAGCCAGTGCGGGTGCAGTATCATACTCGGTGTACCTTGTCTTCATTGCACTGCAAGCCTGTGGACCTTTCATCGCCCTGCTGTTGAACAACCCATCGCAAGTCCAACGGAGTGATGGACGTAAAGTCGACCTCTCCATTGTCGAGCACCCATGGTTCGAAATCAAGGCGACAACGAAGCTCTTCTTCAGCAAACACTTCTTGCTCATTGTCCCATTCATCGGCCAGGCCGTGTATACCGAAGCGGTCATGTTCACGTTCTCCTCCCTGTGGTTCTCGGTTCGGGCACGAGCATTGGGATCGTTTCTCTCCGGCATCGTGGCCATCACTGCAGGCAACATCCTCGGTCTCTGGCTCGACCGCGCGCGCGTCTCGCTCCGCTTGCGAGCCCGCACGTCATATCTTGCCATCAACGGTCTGCAACTCGGACTCTGGATCTGGGCCACGATCCTGGTCACACGCTACCGTCGCACTCATCCCAACTACGACTGGGCGGACGGCACCGACGGCTTCGCGGCTGGATTCACTCTGTTCCTCTTCCTCGTGCTCGGGTTCCAGCTCAATTACTTGTACTTGTACTTTGTCATCGGCCAGCTCTCCACATCCCCCGCTGAGACCGTTCGGCTCGCCGCTTTGCTCAGGGGCACCGAATCGGGCTGGCAGGCTCTCAGTTACGGTCTCAATGCAACCAACCTCTTCGCCGAGATAGGCGGCGTGTACTTGAACTTTGCACTCTGGGCTATTGCGCTGGCTCCGGCCTGGTTGGTGATTAGCAAAGTCGGCACCCCGGAGCAAGAGCAGGATCAAGAGCGCCGAGCATCGAGCGGTGTTTTTAGCCTTCCACCTGAGGTCAACACCTCATCTGATGTCCCACTGGAAATAGATACCGAGTCTAGGAAAGCCTAGGTGGTGGATAGACAGTCAGAGTCGGGAATGACCGTATCGGCGCCCCGGTGTAAGGGAGCATAAGAGCATAGCTGAATAGTGGTATATATATAGACTTAAGTATCGAGTCAGTATCGAGTTAGTATCGAGTTAGTATTAGGTTAGTATTAAGTTACTTAGTATTAATTAAGTACTAGATAGTTATTAAGTAAATACTTCTTAGTAAATAGATAGATATTAGATTAAAACTTGATTAGAACTAGATTAGAACTAGATTAGAACTAGATTAGAACTAGATTAGAACTAGATTAGAACTAGATTAGAACTAGATTAGAACTAGGTACTCGTGGCTAGCAGTACTCTCTAATTAGCTCTTAAGGCTCTATAAAAAATTGAAAAAATTCGAGTCTTTTTCTTACTAGGTAGTACCTAGTACTACTTAGTACTTAGTATAAGTATACAAGCTTAATATAGTTCAGAACAGGTACTAGTACTTAGTTTAGATACTTATAGTTTTAATTTAGGTTTAAACCTAATTCAACTTTCTACTAGTATTTATAGAAGGCTACTAGGTACTTAGTATACTACTAGTAAGTACTTACTTAGTATACTACTTACTTTAGTATACTACTTACTTTAGTATACTACTTACTTTAGTATACTACTAGTAAGTACTTACTTAGTACTAATATTTACTAAGTAGCTAAGTCTAGGAAGTACTTACTTAGTAGAATTACTAGTACTACGGATGACCTGGTACTTACCTTAGTATATACATAAGGCAATACCAGGTAAGAGTCTACTAGAAACCCATAGGCCGGCTTTGCTTGTCCGTCCTGTGGAGGCCTTTGATGCATAAATTGATCTCCTTATGCTGCTTGGTATTTGTTCTCCGAGTCTTTTTCGCGCAAAATCCTGACAATTTTGTTTGCCGGTGCTTAGTCTCATTGCCCGGTCCGCTCGCTCCGTGAAGAGGTAATTCACCAGGCAAACAGGAATGAGCTTGCGGAGCTTGAAGCCAATGCGCCTTATATTTCCTTGGATTGCCCGCCTAGTTGGACCAGAATCCAAATGGCGCCCCAGGATGATTGATCATCATGATCCCTCCGTAGTGTCGACACGCTCCAGACTCTCAGTGTACATACACTGTAGTAAGCATACTCGCTGCTCATCGCCTTCGGGCTGTCGAATAGCCAAGTCTGTCGCTTACCGCTCGATACTACTTAGGTAGTAGTATTATCGTATGGAAAATAAGCTTGAGAGACCCGATCCATTGGAGGGTGAGGTAAAGCCGAGGTGGCAAGGCACAATCATAGTGTCATCTTTGCCCTCAGAACAAACCGCTCATGGGTTTGCGTGGACAAAATGTGCGCCGTGACATGGCGAGTGAGCTTGCTTGAAAGTTTTTATTCGACCTAACATCCACCCTGACGTCCATTTCCGTTCGTCTGTGGGTAGCTGGTGATGGCCAAGTCGTACAGAGTACCCCAGCCGGCACTCTGTCCCGGAATGCTCGAACTGCATGCAACTTCCGTCTTTCAGGCAAGCCTTGTAGCAATTGTCGAACGATTCAATACTAGTATAAAAGACGTCCTCGGACAGGTTCGACCAGTCTGCGGCTTTCTCTTGCAGATGCGGCTCAATCATGGTGAAGAGCTCTTCAAACGTCAATGGTTTGTTGGGATTCAATCGTGCTGACTCCCATTGTGATAAACTCGTGAAATCGTCTTCTTGAAGGTGGTGCATGGTGATGATGGCCTCGCACCACTGCTCCTTATCAAAGCGAACGGTAGAGGGCTTCTCGCCGTTGAACATGGGCCAGTAGCCTCGGAGTGGCACGCCACTTTTCTTCAGCACCTGCGCCAGCGTCTCGTCGCCACAGCACTGCTTTTTCATGTCCACACCAAAGAAATGGGTGCCGGGAATGTGCTTGTCCTCGCCGAACGTCCTGCCAAGAGCGATGATCTTGTCCATTGCGGCGCGCGATAGTATAAAACCGGTTCCACCATGGGCGAACACGGTTCCTTTCTCGGGCCAGACTGGAGAGCCAAAGTAGTAGGCAGATTTTGGACTGAAGGAAGCCAGAAAACGGTACAAATTGTCGTAGTTGGCGTAGGTATCCAGCTCTATAAAGATGTACCATTGCGACTTGGGCCGCTTGTATGCCGTCCATTCCACCATGGGCAGGAACTTGTACTTGTCCAGCCTCCAGCCATCGTCCGATTTGTTCGGCACGGTCTCGGGGCCGTCCGCAGCTTGGATGCGGTCGTATACATCGAAGTCCGGGTTGTTGGACCTGTATTCGGCGGGCAGGTGGGCAAGGGCATCGGCTATCTCGAAGCCGTTGTAGTTGTCTTTACGATCGGAGAAGATGAGCAGGTCCTGCTTGCACCTTCCCCGTTGTTTCAGGTAGGCAGGCAGCCTTGTCACCGCTTCTCCCGCGCCAATCTTGAGCACCAGGGTGACATCGTCCAGAACGCCGGCGGTGAATGGGGAGCATTCCTCGCCAAAGTGTACGTTTGGTACTGGTCGGAATCGCGCAGAGGGACGCTCGTGGAATGTGTCATAGCCGCGTTCGCGGCGAAGGAGGCAAGGGATGAAAGACGAGAAGAAGAAGGTGCACAGCGCCACAGCAGCGCACAGTAGAAGGCGCAACGGCGTCAATCGCACCATCACAATGGCATGCAGTGGTGCCGGTGTTTGGCCTGCATTGGCGCTGCTTGGCCTGCAGACATGATGTTCAAACCCTGCAAGTTTTAGATAGGGAAACGCCTAAGGAGCCGGCCCTAACGCACCAATATGGAGCTAGTGAGTTAGAGAAGCTTGGCGTGAGCGAGCATAGGGCGGCATCACCCTCGTCTCCAAAGGGGGTGAGAAGCGAACAGAGGGCCCACATTACCCTTTCTGGGTTCCTTCTCAATATGCAGGCAGCAGGACTGAGTAATGTCCACTATACATACCTACCTACAGGTACACACCTACCTAACACATCTACTCTTTACTTCAGACGACTGCGTGTGGCCAAGCTCCAGTGAAGGTGATTTGACTTGACAGAGTGTACACACCACCTAATCTGTTGAGACACGATTGGCGAGAAGTGAAATATGTACTTTGGAAGCAATTTACATTGCTACTTAGTCAGCATTACTTGGTCGGTGCTACATACTACCCACTACTATTCCCATAATTGTGTTCTCTGTTCACGCTTACGGACATCATTTCCTGGATATCTGTCACCCCAGTCAACTTCGGATCGTCTGTGGCCCACACCCTGGAACGATTTACGTGAACAGGACGCTAAATGGGGCTCGGCTATGGCCCTACGGGGCTGTGTACCAACTGAAGGCTGGCTTCGACGACTAGACTACTACTAGTACAGCCAACGACGATGCAGAAAGACCAGGCTCCAATATCTCCTAAGACGCCATGGGGGATTGATGTCTCACCAAAGGACAAGGCTACCAATTGCTACTTCGTATTTTGACGAGCCGCCTTGAATCGCACGGCTAGAGCTGCCCAGATCGCATTGGGTCCCTCGGACATCCTTATCGACGGTCTCTGGGTACTACTACTAGTACATTTCTTCTTCGCTGTGGGTCTGACAGGTGCGAGGGACTGAAGTTCAAGTTTCCTGCAAAATTGATCATCATTTTTCCCACGCCGCAATAGGGTGATGATATATATGCCTGGTCGTTGAGAACGTCTCAATTCCATAGTGCTAGTCACTCTTCCCTGGTGGCTTCAAGCAGTGCCTGGCCAAAAGCACCCCGCAGGAACCTGCCTCAATGAATCCCCCCCATGGATACCACTGACCCGCGTGTCGGCTCTGCTCGCGACAATTCCACGAGCCCGGGCCTCTCTCGCCAGATCGCTGGTTCCAATTCATCTTCTGGAAGCAGCTTGCTCGCAACCCTTGTCCCTGTCCTTATCTGGGCGGCTCTTTGCATCACAGTCTTCATTGTTCTGCGACGCAAATGCCCACGGGTCTACGCTCCCAGAGCGATACTGGAAAGCCTCGAGCCACAGTATGTCAAATACCCCTCGGTCGATGTCGCGCTTCATGACTGATTGCTGGAAGTGAACGGAGTGCGCCTCTCCCCGGCGGATGGTTCAATTGGATCAAGGACTTCTACCATGTCTCTCCGGCGTTTGTCTTGAACCACTCATCACTCGACGGGTTTCTGCTGCTCCGGTTTCTGCGAGTGTTATGTGTAATGTGCCTGGTTGGCATCGCACTTCTATGGCCGATCCTGATTCCTCTACATGTGACTGGTGGAGCCGGGAACACAGAATTGGACCGTTTGACGCTCGGTAATGTTGTGGATGGCCGAAGACTCTACGCCCATGCCCTACTGGCGTGGGTCTACTTCCGTAAGTCGAGTTTCGAGCGGTTGCACTGCTGTTCTAATCGTCCGTCTCGCAGTATTTGTCCTCTACATGATCTCCAGAGAATGCATTTACTATATCAATCTGCGGCAAGCTTACCTCCTCTCACCCTACTATGCCAACCGATTGTCTTCTCGAACCGTCTTGTACATGAATGTGCCTCGACAGTATCTCCACGAAGACAGACTGCGATGGATACTGGGTGAATCCGTACGCCGGATCTGGACTCCCCAGAAAACCCCTGAACTCGATAGATTGGTCAAAGAGAGAAAGCAGACTGCTCTGCGCTTGGAGCGGGCCGAATTCACCTTGATTCGCACGGCCAACGCTGCCCGGACGAAGGCGCTGCAGAAGTCTACAACTGAGGACGAAAAGGAGCTGTACCACGCCTCGCCTGAAGTTGAGCGTGGACTAGAAGAGACTTCGGGAGTGCGCAGGTCGGCATCACGCGACTCGAAGTCCGTCCAGATCTGTCAAGGCTCGGAATCACCCACCACCACGTCGAGCGGCGCCGAGCCCACTCTTCCAGATGTCAATGGCTCCGTAGCCTCGCAATGGATATCTCACAGCTCGCGTCCTCACCATCGGCCAATAGCCAACTACGGAAGACGCGTTGACACGATCAAATGGACCAGATCGCAGATTCGGAAGCTGAACTCCAGGATCGCACAGCTCCGACGACAGCAACTTTTTGAAACTCGGAACATGATGCCTTCGGTGTTTGTAGAGTTTGAAACGCACACAGATGCACAGAATGCACTCCAAACGTTGACACACCATCGACCCCTCCACATGTCCCAGCGGTACATAGGAGTAAGACCTTTCGAGATTGTGTGGGAGTCACTTTCAATGTCTTGGTGGGAGAGCATCGTCCGAAGGTTCTTCATGATGGGTTTAATCACAGCGATGATCATTTTCTGGGCCATTCCGTCCGCACTGGTTGGGACAATTTCCAATATCGAGTACCTGTCGGAGAAGGTCAGTTTCTTGGGATGGATAGGCGACCTTCCAAGCGTCATCAAGGGGTTACTGAGTGGTATTCTTCCCGCTGCAGCACTATCTTTGCTGATGAGTGTCGTTCCGGGTATCTTGAGATGTGCGTCAGAACACCCCTCCCCTGGCAATGCTGGCTGCTGCTGACATTTTGTCCAGATTGTGCGAAACTTGCTGGAATGCCGACTTTGTCGAGGATCGAGCTTTACACGCAAAACGCCTATTTCGCATTCCAGGTCGTACAGGTCTTTCTGATAACGACGTTGACCTCGGCTGCATCAGCTGCTGTCACCAAGCTGCTGGAGGATCCGACCACAGCCAAGGATCTACTCTCCCAGAACCTCCCAAAGGCGTCTAATTTTTATCTATCATACTTCCTCCTGCAAAGTCTGGCGATCGGTTCTTCAGGACTGGCCCAGTTCTTCGCGTTGTTCAAGTTCCATATACTGCAGCGGTTTTCCAACGATCCAAGGAAAATCTATGTGAGATGGCATCGTTTGCAACGAATGCATTGGGGAGCAGTGTTCCCCGTGTATAGCAACCTCGGCGTGATCAGTCCGTACCATCTCCCCTGGCTATCAGACATTGACTGACCATGCCATGTGCAGCCTTCAGCTATGCACTGATAGCGCCAATCATTCTAGGCTTCGCCGCGGTCGGGGCCGCCTTTTTGCACGTTGTTTACAGATACAACTTGGTTTATGTCTACGACTCGGAAATCGACACCAAAGGCCTCGTCTATCCTCGCGCACTGCTGCAATTGTTGGTGGGCTTGTACTTCTCAGAGATTTGCATGATTGGATTGTTCTCTTTGCGTGGCGCTTTCGTCCCTGTCGTTTTAGTCGCCGCTCTGCTGGTCGTCACGACTTTGGTACATGTGTCGCTCCTGGATGCCCTGGGACCCCTGCTGGCGAGTCTTCCCAAGACTCTGACAGTTGAGGAGGATGAGCACTTGCTCTCCAAGCACCCCCCGCGACACGCGATGGCGAACGAAGAAATGGAGCAGCTCCGACCCCAGGCAGACATCGCAACCGGCGCAGACGCATACAGCAATGAGACGAGTCGAGCTCTAGAAGGCGCAGACGGTGCCATGCATGCATTGGGAGACGGACTCAAGTCCTGGCTCAAGAAGAAGGTCGAGAAAAAGGTCCAGAAGGACTTTCCTGAGGTCAACACGGCTCTGAATCTGCTCAGCTCCTTCTTGATGCGCTGGATCTCTCCTGATCCGACACAGAAATCCAACTTCCTTCTCCGCTGGCTGCACCCCGAGATCTATTCTGACTACACGGTCCTCCGCCGCATGGTGCCATCGGATCTTCCCGACCCGACATACCCGGAGGAGATCGAAGCGGACATATATTATCCGCCTTCGTTCCTGTCGAAGCCGCCCTATCTTTGGATTCCACGCGATCCAGGTGGGATCAGTCGACAGGAAGTGGAGCACAGCGGGAAAGTGATCCCAATCACGGACGAGTATGTTACGATTGATGAGAAAGGGACTATGAGCATCAATCTCGAAGCTCATCGCCAAGTATTTGACGTGGATCGACTACGTTATTGAGAAGGGGCCGGAGGGAATCAAGCCGGATTCGGACACATGATATAGACACCCAGGGTCCTGTGAGGCTTGTTATATTAACGATGTATAATAGATAACGTGCATGTCAATTCCAGCACCGTCTGAACTGTAAAAAGCAAAACAAAGGATTTTCCTTATTTGCCCTGACATAAACTGCTCCCCTTCACCGCATCATACAAGAGAATATACCAGGCAAGGCTGGCAAGGCTGGGTTATAGTGCTCGGGGATCAGTGGTCCGCCGTATTGAAGAGATAGTGAACACTATATCTGATAATGGCTAGTCCCTATATTCTCTTGGCACGCCACTACTGGAATCAGGCATCTCAGCCGAGCCCTTTTTGAGATGCATCTCAGCGAACCTTGAACTAAGAACCTCGCATTCACCATCAGCTGCGCGCGACTGCGCTTCTTCCTTGCGTGTCCAATACCCTCTCAGATATATTCAACGTCTTTCTGATTCAGATCACTCCTTCTATTCTGTTACAATATTCTCACCTTTCCACCGCTCAGACATGCCTTGAGCGTAAAATCCGCCAACCCTTCTGCTTGACACGCACACTCCACTCGCGCTCGGAAGCCGACAGTCAACATGGCTGCAGCGGCTGTCAGCAATGGCAACACTGCGAGAAATTCGCGCGAGGTCACAGGACCACTCAGCGCTGCGTCACGCTTCGCCGATATCCCCTCCGCCATCGATATTCCTGTCTCTGGAGGACTTGATGCTGAAGAAGCAGTTGAAGTGAACCTCGAAGACCATCTGGACGATCCGACGGAACTCTGTCAGCTCCTCGAAAACGAAAAGGCCGCCAAGAACCTATGGATCACAATCTCGCTGGCATATGCGAAACAGGCGCAAATCGACCATGCAATCGAGATATTGGGCAAGGGGTTGGGGTCGTTGTCAAGAAGTGGCCCAAAAGAGAGACTCAGCCTTCTCACATGTGTCGCATGGCTGAACCTCCTCAAGAGCAGACAAGCTCCTCGTGTTTTGCCAGAGTCCCAGCAATCTTCCGAGACGAAGACGAAAGATCACTACCTGCGGGAAGCTACTGCGACCATCAACGATGCCCTTCGGATCAACCCTGCGTATCCTCCTCTGTACCTCACTCGAGGTGTCCTCTTCCTTCTTCGGGCGTCATTACAATCATCTACCAAGACTGGGGCAGAGGCGGAACGGGGCGAATCCCTCAAACAAGCCCTGAAATGCTTTGATGACGCTCTTCGAGCTTCCGATGGCCGCAATATGATGGCTGCAATGGGGCGGGCAAGAACATTGTATCTTCTCAAGCAGTTTTCTCAGGCCCTACAGACATACCAAGAAGTTCTGTCAAAGATGCCAGGTCTGACTGATCCGGATCCTCGTATTGGTATCGGCTGTTGTCTATGGCAATTGGGGTTTCCTGAGAGAGCCAAAATGGCATGGGAGAGATCACTTGCATTGAACCCGGAGTCCAAGGTGGCCCACGCCTTACTAGGGGTCTACTACCTTCACGAGAGCGCCAAGTATCCTGCATCTGACCCCCAATTCAATGTGCTGTACAAAAAGGCGATGATCGACCACACAAAGAAAGCCTACACCATCGACAAGAACTTCCCGCTCAGCTGTGCGACTTTCGCCAGCTATTTCTTGCTGACTGGTCGATATGAGACAGTCGAGCCTTTGGCACGCAAGGCAATTGAGCAGACCGACATCAACGCCATCGCCAGTGATGGATGGTATCTGCTGGCTCGGAAGGAGCACAACAAGGGCGACCTGGTCAAAGCAAACGATTACTATACCAGAGCGGATCAGGCCAGAGGTGGTCTCGACAAAGGCTACTTCCCTGCCAAGTTTGGGCTGATCCAAATAATGGTCCAGACGCGGGACCTCCAAGGTGCCAAATTTCGCCTCGAATCGCTTGGTCAGCTCAATCGACACATAGAGGCATTGACCCTCTTGGGTTGCATATATGCGGAAGAAGCCTTCGCGTCCCAGACCACTTCGACAAAAGAGGAGAAAGCAGCTTCAGCTCGTAAAGCAATTACACTGCTGGAGAACGTCCGGAAGACTTGGAAGGACGAAAAATCTCGGGCCAGGCCCGATGAGTCGGTATTGCTCTACCTGGCGCGGCTTTACGAACAAGAAAATCCTGTGGAAAGCTTGAAGTGTCTTCAACAGGTGGAAGCGATGCAGCTGGAAAAGATTCCCGATGAGGATAAGCCGGATATTGAAGACGAAGCGACGTTTATCGCCACGTTACGGGAATATCTCCCTCCGCAACTTCTGAACAATATGGCTTGCTTTTTGTACAGTCAAGAATCCTACCCTCTTGCCCGAGAGACGTTCCAAATTGCTCTGAACGCCTGTGTCAAGCTCACCGAGAAACAAGAGGCCGAGAAGAAGGCCGTGGAAGAGGACAAGATCAGCTCGGAAGACATGGACAACAGCGACACTGATGCGCTCGTGACTACGATATCTTATAATCTGGCTCGCACCTATGAAGCTCTAGGCCTGACAGCTGAGGCACAGAAGGTGTATGAAGGTCTGCTTGCCAGGCATGCCGACTATACGGATGCTTCAGCCCGGTTGGCGTTCATGACATTGGAATCCTCACCCAGAGAGGAAGGCCCGAGAAAGATCCATGCAGTGTACCAGAGCGACTACGGCAATACTGAAGTTAGGGCGTTGATGGGCTGGTACCATCACAGTGCGAAGAAGAAAACCAACAACGTTGCCGAAGATGTGGAATACCGACACTACAAACATACGCTACAGGGTTATGACAAGCACGACCTCTACTCTCTCACTGGAATGGGGAACATACACCTTGCCATTGCAAGAGATATGCCTCGCAACACCGATCAGGAGAAGGAGAAGCGAAGCAAGATGTATTCAAAGGCGTACGAGTTCTTTGACAAAGCGCTACAGCTGGAATCCAAGAATGCATACGCAGCGCAGGGTGTCGCAATCGCATTGTGTGATGACAAGAAGGCTTATTCAGACGCTCTGCAAATCTTCACCAAGGTCAAGGACACACTCCGTGACATCTGTGTCAACATCAACCTGGGACATGTTTTGACCGAACTTCGCCAGTATCAACGGGCCATCGACAATTATGACATTGCACTCCGGAAAGAAGGCAAGAGCGAGAATGCTCAGCTACTCGCTTGTTTATCAAGAACGTGGCTCCTGAAAGGCAAGGCTGATAGGTCAATTCCGGCTCTGAACACGGCTCTGGATTATATGAAGCGCGCATTGGCCACACAACCCGACTCCCCTCATCTGCAGTTCAACGTTGCTTTTATTCAGTTCCAGATAGCACAACACGTCAATCAAGCCAGGGAGACAGATCGTAGTCTGGACGATGTGGACGCTGCTATAGCTGGCCTCGAACAAGCCATTGAGACCTTCGAGCGAGTCGCTCGGCACAAACAGCCGCCCTATCCTCGCTCTGCGCTCGAGCAGCGAGCGGCAATGGGCAAGAACACCATGAGGAACCAGTTGGAACGACAGCGTGTCAAGCAGGCCACCTATGAGAATGAAAATGCCGCCAAATTAGAGGGCGCCAAACAGAAACGTCAAGAAGAGCTTCGCCGGCGAGAAGAAGCGGCTAGGAGACGCAGAGAAGAGGAAGAAGAGCGTACGAGGAAGATTGCCGAAGAACGTCGCAAGATCATCGAGGAGACGGAACGGCTTGCAGAACAAGTGCGTGCGGAAGCCCTGGCCAGAGAAGCTGCAGAGTACACCGATGATGAGGAGACCGGGGATCGAGTCAGGCGCAAGGCCAAGAAGGGAGGATCCAAACGAAAGAAGAGAGATGATGAGGATGGCTTCATTGAAGATGATGGTGAGCATGATGGCAGGAGTGAGCGGACCGTCTCCAGAACTCCGATTAGTGGTGGTTCCGACAACGAGGCTCCGGCGGAGAAGCCCAAGAAGAAGAAAAGAAAGCTGGAGCGCAAGAATCCCCCCAAGGCAGTCAAGAAGAATGGCAGGTACAAGTCCGCCGCCGTTGTCGTCGACTCAGACTCGGAAGAGCCCGAAGCTGTCCCGACTCCCGAAGCAGGAGCCGACACGCCACCCTCTGAGGCGCCCGATCGAGACGAGGAGATGGTGGACCCACGGGACGACGATGACGACGATGAGGCGGTCCGGTCTCAGCCACGCATGAGACAACGGAAACAACTCAGAACGATCGCTGACGAGGACTCGGACGAAGAAGAGGAAGCCGGAGGCCAAAATGATGCTGTCGAATCGTCGAGACCTCAAGAGCTTGCAGGGGACGCAAGCGAGGGAGATGAGTGACGGACCAATTCGATCAACTGTGTCTTTTTGTGTATAGCGTGTCATTGCATCCGGAGCCGGCATGCTCAAACACACGGGGGTTGGGCTGAGCCGGGGAAAACGGGTTGAGACGTACCATAACATTCATCACCAGCACCGACGCAGCGTCCGGAACTATCATCTTAAATGGTCAAAATGTATATCAATTTTCCTCGCCGAGAATTTGTGTCTGTGGAAGCAGCTAGCGAGCTGCAATCAGAGACGCTGGACCCGGCATGGAATGGCATTATGCCACCCTTCCCCCTCTTGTGCGGAGGATCGTACTTCGCCCTTCCAATGCCCTGCGCCCAGGTAGTTTTAAAAAGTAGGTACATGAGTAGTTACTGTTTATGATGTCAAAGAGATGGCGAGGCTGAAGTTCAGCCTTGCGTCCCCACATTGTTGTGGGCGAAGAAAGTTCCTACTTCAAAGATGGTCGTCCCTTTCATCTTCTTTCCCGCCTGCTACACCATGTCTTTGCCTATCTGAAATGACTTGACCACTCCACCATTTAACAGCACCCGTTGCGTCCTCATGCAGCCGTGATCAGAAAATGGCTGCGTCTCAGCAAACTCACAGCCAGGCGCTCGTCAAGCGCCAGTCTGCGAGCGATGTATCTTTGATGCCGCCGCCGCCGTTCAAGCGCATCAAGAGACCGCCCAAAGTCCTCGACGAAGACGAATACACCACCGCCCTCTCCGAAATCATCGCGCGAGACTATTTCCCAGGCCTGCTGGAGAGCCAGGCGCAGCATGAGTACCTGGCGGCGCTTGATTCCGGGAACGAATCCTGGATCGCCGAGGCTGCGCAGAAGTTGAGGAATGCCGGAGCGCCGTTCGCGGCGGCAGCAAACAAGAGGAGGTCTAGCGCTCGAAACACGAGATTCGATGACAGTTCCAGAAGCAACTTCCATACTCCTTCTGCAACGCCACGAGGGAGAAGTACTGCCACGGCGTCCGGGGTCGCAGACACGCCGGTGGGATTTTACGCGGGCAGCGAAACACCAGTGTCTGTGAGCGACATCGGGCAAGAGCAGGAAGCAGGGGACGGAGGGATAGATACTTCGAATCTCTCGCTCGGTGCGTTTCAGGCCAAATACACGTCCGAGGACAACGAGTCGTTCAACACCCTTCTCGACAAACAGAACCTGAAACGCCGCCAGAAGCACGCCTACATGTGGACGCAGGACCAGCGGGTCCCGTCGGCGCGGTTGATTGCCTATCGAGCGCATAAAGAAGCGCGGTTGCTCAAACAACGTGGGGAGGATGGGATAGACCAACAAGAAACAGGAGACGCTACCGCTGCAGCAGGGACTGGAAGTGGAAGTGGAAATGGAGGCATTGCTAACATTGCATCAACAGACAACGGAGCGGACAAACAAACGACGACGACCATGAAAGACATGGTTATTCCCTCCATGACGACAGGTGCGACTGATGCCCGTCCTGCAAGACCGGACGCCTGGCGCATCAAGCGCCCCGACAACACCTTCATGTTCCCCGCGACGTCGATCGACGAGGATGTGCCCGGTCTCCAGACCGTCCAGGAAGCCAAAGAGCAGCTGTCCAAGATAGGGCCGAAACATGTGATGCACGCCAACACCCGCTTTCCACCCGTCCACTATCTGGACGACGGACCTGTCCCGCCATCGCCCTCGCTGAACACAGACATCATTGCGCGTCGAGATGCCGCCAAGACGAAGAAGAAGGGCACCGCCGCCGCCTCTGAGTCTGAGTCCGACCTGGAGACTGCAACGGGGATGGGCGGCGAAACTCCCCGCGTCAATGGATACGCGTTCGTCGACGAAGACGAGCCTGAAAACATCAAGGACCCCGACACGACCCATCCAAGCTATCGCGACCTCCTGGCCGGACAGTTCGACGGCAATGCGATGCCGAATCCATTCAAGATCGGCGAGATCCGCAAACGCGAGGAACTGCATTTGCGCATGGTCGAGAACCAGGCCAAGCTGAAACGTGCCAAGGACAGAGACACAGTCCGACCTGTCCCTGGTGGTGTTGGTGTTGGCGGATCGACTTCGACGTCTGGACCTCGAACTCGAAATGACAACGCTACAAATATGACTCCTACTCCTACTGCAGCTGCTGCTGCTGCGGGAAACATGACTCCCGCGGCGAGGAGGTTGATGGAAAAGCTGGGCGGTCGCACACCCCTGAGGGCTGCTGCTGGTAATGATGACGATCGCACTGGTGGTGGCATCACTGCTAGTACTCCAAGAAATATGTGGACGCCTGTCAGGACGCCGAGACGGAAGAAGTGAAAGAACGACTACAACACAGCTCAAAAGGCCAACCGGATGTGCTTTTGCAACCATCCCTCACTCTTCTGGTATCGTTCACGCATCAGCGCATGCAGACAACATGGCGGAGAGACAAAGACAAGCCTTGCAGCGACCAGATATTGGCAATTCATGACAGAGAGTAGGATCATGGTTGATACACGGCGCCTTTATATGTTGTTAGACAGGGCAATCAGAACTGGTCTCGATCAACAGTGGCGCTACGGGTCTCATCATCCATGCACAAAGGGGGGTGGAAGGGATGGAAGTATTTGATTATGACCATGAGTATATCAATCAATACTTTATCTGGTGTTGTACAGTCCCCTCCGATTCTATAACCCTCGATGTGTCGGAGTATCAAAGGATAAATATATCTAAGCTTCTATGCATTCCTTACAGTGCCGGAACATCAAGCACTGTCCTGTACTGCATGTCCCATTCTTCTTCCTGAACGCCGAGTCGCTCGCTTGCATTAAACTCAATCATTGAATCAAAACACCGCCACTAATGGGCCAGAAGAAGACAGCCACGGCCGCCGGCGGTCCCGAGCCCTTCATGACCAGCCCCCTTTTGGTGGATCCGACTCCGAAATCTTCATGACCGTCGGTCTAGAACAGGTTCATTAGTAGAACAGCAAACACCAGTAGTGCAACATTTCTCATGGCACCAGGTGCCATGGTTTCTGCACCGCTGAGATAGTACGCCGCACCAAGGTAACTGCAGCTGATGACACCCGAGTCATTACTTCGGCTGCCATAGCTGTCCTCCAGTCCCGCACGCTCCAAGGGACAAGCGAATCCCAACGCCGCGGGACAACTTTGGACCAGATCGTAACACAGATCCTTGCAAGGAAGGACTTCCTTGTACGGCCCCGGCTGGATGGAGTTGTCGATCATAGGATTGCGTGAGGAGTTGGTCGCTACGGCGTTAAGCAGTGCTTGGTCGATGTTTAACTGAGACGCGGAAATGCTGGAGCCGTTCGCAAACGGCCGGCCGAGATTGCGCGGTTTGAGCCACGGATCGTTGCTGGAGAAATCGCTGCATCGAGGAATGGTCACGGCGCAGAGCCACTGTTTGTAGGCCCGGGCGCAGTCGTCGCAGTTCCGGGCCAAGGAATACTGTGCGCTCGAGGTGGTGTTGCATGGAATCTGCTGGAGAGAATAGTTGAAGTATTGGTACATCTGCGCCGCGTTAGAATCGTACAATGCGGCCAATTCGGGCAAGCCGGTCGTAGGAGCGAATCTGTTCGGGTTGGTGGGGACGGCATAGGCGACTTCGGAACAGAAGGAGAGGTTGTACATCAAGGCGCAGTTGTCCTCCGTTTTGGTCTGGAAGTTGATCGCTTGCCAGACGGTGCCTCCGCCTCCTACAACACCATTTCCATACGCCGTCGAGTTGCCGTTCATGACGAGGAACCCCCAGTATCGAGAAGTGGCATTGAGTCCTGTGATGTAGAACTGCTCTTTTGGTTTGCCTCCCAGCCCTCGATTGGTCATCTTGGCAACGTTCTGGCTTTCAAAACCGGGCACGTTGGCGGCTATGCGGGCCGTGTTCTTCAATCCGCAAAACGAGTTCTTGACTCCGAGGATGGCCGTCTCGTTCTGGTTGGCAGCAAACACTCCCCATGGAGGGGTGAGATCCATCCATTCCTGGTATAGGGTCTCATTCGGTTGTGCCTGAGTCGTGTCGTTGGTGATGAGTAGTGCCGCGTGGTTGTCGCTGTCAACGAAATGTAGATTCGCCACATTGGGCTTGGAGCCGTGGTAAGGGGCGTCGATGGAAGCAGCTATCTCGTAGTTCCAGATGCCAGTGAAGTCTGTCGTGTTGGGTCCAGACACCCCAATGTAGACATCGCTGGTAGCATCCACCTCATAAAGGGCATATCCTCCATCCACATCGACGGTGTCGCCGGACCCTGGCCCGGGTCTCTGGTCCCTTTCAGACAGAGAGATGTACATCTGCAATTGCGGCGGGATTGACTTGTTTGGCCCATCGCCGGTGGTGTTCGAAGAAGGTTGCAAGCACGTATTGATTGTAATATACACTCTCTTCCCGTCTTGTCGCTTCCTAAGGCCATGCAGGTTTTGATCTAGGTCCCGCTCTTCCACATTCTCTGACGGCAGGCCAGGACCAATGGCACCTCCTGGTCCGTCAATAGACTCCTGAGGAAAGACCCAATGCTGTGTCTCGCCAATGTTGATGTTCCTGTTCTGAGGATCATTGTTGGCCAACGCCGACACACCGGCCTCCGCTCGCGCTACAAGACTGGCTTCCTCTTGCTCGCAGTACGTTCCGTCACCAAATAGGTCACTGTCTCCCTCGTCGAGTATCAGATAGTGGTTATGGTCTTCTCGGGGTATCCGGGCATCGAGTTCGACAGCATAGGCGAAGTGAGGTTTCGTCAGGAATACGTAGACCGCTAATAGGACCAAGGATGCTACCAACGACGCAGCAAACCTGGATTGGAGAGGTGAGAGTTTAGGAGGGAAGGTCATGGTTGAAGGTCTGCTTCGGAATCGGACTGCGATGAAGGCAACGCAGGACGAGACGATCTGCGGTTGAGTAACTTCTATAACGACATCGTCGACATAGCATTCGAGCGGCCGGGAAGTATCAGTCCAGAAGCCCACGATGGACAGGTGAATATTAATAGTCGAGGTGTTGTTCTTCGAGGTTGGTCAATTTGAATATCATCAGCGTCGCGGCCTGGAAGGAAGGGTACGTGGAAATAGAAGAATAGAGGTGTTTCGCAGGCTGGACGATGATTTGCTGGCGACTTCCTTTTACGGGGAAATCAGCCACATTTCTCCAGCCACAATACATTCAGCCTCGATCAGGTGAAATGACATTCCCTTCCGCCCATTCACTCTTCAACGTCCAAGATACAAAGCCAACAACTTCTCCTTCCTATCTGATTTCTATCGTACGACGGTCGCCTACTGGGGTTTTAATACGATGGCCGAACTGTGCGAGCACAAGCCCATTATCGGCTGTGCTCTAGCGGCTCTTCCAGGATGTTGCGCCTGTGCCGATAAGAGACCACTGGCGACTGCCTATCCAGTCTATATCGACGGGCAAGGAATGAGGCTTCAAGGCAAGCGCTGGCAACGCTACTGCTGGAAGTGTCGAGGTAGGTCTACAACAGTGTTTTGCTATCTTCCACGGGACCTTCGACAACATCTACATCTTGCCACCGAGGGTCTCATGCATTCGCTCATTGACATATTGTTAATCTACCTACCATTAGATTATTGGAATCTACAGTCACAGTCTACTCCCTCTCACTCGTTACCCGTCATGTCACGTAACACTGGTCTTCCCGGTGGCCAACAACCGATCGAAGAAGGCCAAGAAGGCAACACGAACCGTCTCTTTCATCTGCCGAATGCTCCCTTATCAATCTCTCAACCTTGGTCTTTCGACGCAGTGCCCAATCCGCAGCAGTCTGATCGCCCGGAGTCGTCTCGGACCATGATGTGGCGCGATACACATCGGCCACGGAGTGCTACTCCGGGACCGCCATCTGGGAACATGCATCGCCAAGCTGAAAGCGCAGGACGCCATGGCTACGACCGACGACGAGAACGTGAGGACCGACCGAACTCCACCACCAGCCTCAGTAACCCGGAAGCCGATCGAAGGAGACGGCGACCCATGACCAACCCGTTCGGCACGAGAGAAGAAGTTGAATCGGAAAGCTACCAAAGCCCCGTTGCGGATCTGTTTGGCAGAGCATGGAATCGCTATAGAGAGGCTCAGGAAGCTAACCGAACACCGCGAAATCGAGCTGAAAATGAAAGGCCGACGGCTGGTGATGTTAGCATCCTAGGCACCGGACCGCCACGCTCCGACGCGATTGACCTGGATAGGGCCATGGCTTTCAACCGCATGGGAGACATCAATGATGAACGGTCGTTGCTGATGGCCTTGGAAATGTCACTCATAGCGCGTCAGAGAGAGCAACTCCATGCACATCCAAGAGCCAACCCTATCGATCAACAGTCAACCCGACCGCCTCCGCTCGGGAGCGAGGAAATGACCATCAGTGTTGCATGTAGGATCTGCTGTGAACAGAGGGTCGACACTCTCCTGGAACCGTGCATGCATGTCGCAATATGCCATTGGTGCTCAGAGCTGGTCCGCGAAGCTGCTCGCCGACGTCGAACCGAGCGGGTCCTGAGACCAGACGACGAGGATAGATGGAGGTGTCCTATCTGCCGACGCGATGTCATCCAATCGAGGAGGGTCTATTTGACATGAAAGGCCCCCAACGAGTGCCATTGATTTCGCCAAACCATTGCGTTCATCCGGATTGCGGTATTGTGCTCGCAAATCGTGAAGCGTTCATGATTTATGGTGGACCTGATGATGGCTGGCACGGTCATAAAACGAATGAAATGCACCAACCCCGAAGCTGCTTAACAGGTTCATAGAGGGGACCGGATAATGTGATATGGTTGAGAATTTTAGTATTGTCCCGCGGACAATACTACAAGGAAAATGAGTACCGAGCACATCTCTGCTCATAATGGACACCAGTCTGTATCTGGGCGATCTTTCAACGTCGAGGCTGCGACTCGATATCGTAAATTCACTTCTATGATGCATATCCAGGGCACATGGCCCCATTTCCTCGCGAAAAGGAAACTCCACGCAATGCTCGATGTGTTTTTGACACCATGTACGTACCGTACAGTGAAGTATGAGTCAACATTTCCATGAGATTTGAGATGGCTGCAGGCCGCCGGTGCTCTGGAGAAGGGGTACCTCCCAGCGAGCATGGAATCTGTGCAGCACATAAGGAATGAACTGGCTTACCGTTGTCATGTTCTGTTCGAACACAGCCATATCGGGGGTTTCTTTGAGGGCTGGCGGCATATGCATCCCCGAGAAGAACCTGGTGCACCACGACACCTACCGTAAAAGTGACCCTTGTGGTCTTGCCTTTCCCTTCTGAATGCCGTTCATGCAGCCATTCATTCAGATGGCATATGATTTGGCACCTACTCGAGCGGCAGAAGGGATCGAAGGACAGATGTCGGAGAGCCAGCACTCTCTAGCTAGATAGTGCTTTGTAGGAGACACGAAAAGGTAGGTGTGCTAGAGGTCAAGATTCAAGAGCTTCAGAGGCAGTAAAGAAGGCACAATGCATCAAGCGTGGAGCGACGTTGAAGGCAACAAAGGGTCAAAGAGGCGGTGGACTTGTAAGGCTAGGACTTTGATCAGCATCACTTCGTCAAGAAGGAGGAAACGACCCCCAAATCAGCGCAAATTACTGCAGAATTGACCGCAGTGGAAACACTTCGCTGTTCAGGAAAAGGCGTCCTTGCATCAGCAACTCGAACAGATAATGCCGCCAGAATTGGTGGATCCGAGAGACGCCGACGGGGACGTTGAAGGGCATTATTGTTTCGAAATCCTGATAAGCTATTTTGCAATAGGCACGACTGTCTGTCTGTTTGCCTTGTCGGGCCCCCTGATTGCTTCAACGCTGGCCCAGTCGTGGCTCGTGGGGGAGGTGGTGCTGGACAAGCCGGAATGGCCATTATTGAACCCCAAATGCTGACTAGGACGGGCCTCTACCTGGGCTCGCTGGAAAAATGAGGAGTCTGTGCACGGCGGTGGATTCAGGAGATCAAATGACTCCGGGCTCAGAATCCTACTAGGCGTCAGCATTCCCGGGAACGTCGAGGCGAAAACACACCGGTCCAGTGCCTATACGTAAGGGAGTAAGCTTGACCCACCGTACCAGACAAAGCTCGAACTTGGTTGACCTACCACAGTCCTTTGTCCGTATCTCTCTGTACAGCAACTTCCAGGTCGTAGTTAGGCAAAACTTTGACCAGGGGTCGTCCTTTCAAGCTGTCCACACTCACGTCTGCCTCGCAGTCTAGGCCGCTGGGTTCGGTAGCGACAAGAAAGTGTAAGTGCTCCGAAACAAGTGGAGCCACTTGCTGCGCATCAAGACGGGACCGACCCCTAGTCCAGGACCATCCAGGATCGAATCAAGGACCAGAGATGGAAAGGCAAACAGTTGCATATCGTAAGTACATCGTCCGTCTCACCAAGTTCGGGCACCGATGCGTATGCACGGTACGTACTGGATTTCTGGCCCAGGCGCACACAGGCACCAAGGGGCCTTGATCCCTCCGCCTGCCGTTGCATGGTTGGATCCTCTTTCTGACCGGTCTCGGTTGCCTGTCTTGACAACCGAATCACGACATTGAAATGGAGGCATATCAATCGTTGTCGTAACCAGGTCATTAAGAACGAGACAACAGCCGGGTATCCCATGGCAAAAGAAACAGTGGTCTCCGGTCAGGCAGGCATCATCAGCATGGGATGGCAGGATGGCACCTTGGAGACAATTGCCTTGCTAGGTCCAAGGCCAGAGTGGGTCTCAGGTATGGTGACAACATGGCGGTGTACTGTCTGTGTACGCGGTCTCCCTGGAACCACGAACGAAGGTGCTTCTCGTCCATATCATGTGAGTATTTCGTGCTCCTAACCGGTCCGGCAGGCAGCAGCAACGTCAGGCAGGGGAGTCGCTTTGGTTATTGCCTCGCTCTCGACGGCAAGATTTGTTGGCGCTTTGTTGGCGCCACCACCACAGGGAACGCAAGCTGAGGTCCAGGGCTTACTCGAAGCTGGTGCGCGCAGAACCACTCGCGTCTTTAGAAGAGCAGTCAGAATTGGGCTGTGGTGCAAATGTAGGGAGGTCTGTCGACTTCAACTCGTAGGCCATGTTTGTGCACGCTCATTGGCGTCTCGTCGGGGCTTTGCTGCCAACTTGATGCTCTGGATCTTGCCGCCAGTTCTGCCATCATGGACGTGTTCGATGCAAGTCCTTTGCCACAGGTTGACTCGGTCCTGCTGGAGAGAGGCAATGGTCCGGATCTCTCTGAATGGTACAGCAAATCATGTCTCAGACGGCGATAGATCTACCACTGTCGCCTTCTTTCTCCGACTTTCCGGCAAGTGGCCACATCCATCTCAGAAACACAAGATGGAAATCATGAGTGCCACAGGAAGAGCCATGCTTGCATCCAAACCCGCGAGAGCCCAGACTTGGGGCTGTGCAATTCGCCACAGGTCGATCCAGAGCCTTTGCGTGGCGAGCATGCGGTGACTATCTTGTTTTCTCACAATCTTGCAGGTATTCGAACAGGACAACAATGGCGGCGTAGTGGTGATCAGCGAAGTCAGTGGATTGAGATTCGTGAGGCTGAGGGACGTTTTCGGCTGCGTCTAGGATCGAGGATTCGGAGGACAAACGCGGAAAGCGCCGCGAATCCCGTAGTGTCCAAGGGTCGGCTATACCAGTCCCGACGACTGTTCTTCAGCTTTGCTTCCGAGGGAATAGCCGACACTGACGGCTGCTGGTAATGGTGGCGAAGAGACATATGGTGAAGCTGAGCGGCTGGTAAGGAGTGAGCACAGCTGATACCTACCTACCCACCTGTAGGTATCTTTTTGCCTGCCCCTTCTAAGGCTGGTCGACCCCGTCTGATACGACAAAAGTACAACTTGAACTTGACGCACGTGCCAGACGTCAGCCCCATTCAGCCTTATGTAATCTGCGCCACATCTCGGGCCGTGCCACCCGGTAGCCACTTCCGCTCGTTGGCGCCAATTTCGACGTCGCTTCGACTCCATTTGGACCGGATGTCTCCACCATCCAAACTCCCCTACCCCCTCCGGGCCATTTGCTCTACACTGCCATGGCTGTCATCCGAATTGACCCTCAGATCAGTTGGATTTTGTTGGATTTTGTTGAGTTTATGGTACATTCAAGACAGGCCTGATTGGATTTCTCTTCTTGTATTACTATTAGAGTTTTGCTCGTTCAGACTTCTATGTGCTTTTCATTTGTACGCCATGAAAAACAGCAAACGGGAAGGTGAAAAAAGGGAAAAGCCGTGCCCTTCCTGCACGCATGTCCCCTCTAGATTCTAAGTCAGTCCAGTCAGGATACAGGCGCGCCGTTGTTCACGAGTCTGTGAGCATCGACTTCGTCCGCCATGATGTTCGCGGTCACTCGTGCTCATTCCGGCCCAGGCCAGACAAGGTGTCTGAGTTTGCAGCAAGGAGCGCTATTGCCCTTCAGCCCGCTGTCCCGATGGGGCCCGCGCCCATCAGGCTCATCGTGCAAATGGCCATAGGTGGTACGCATGACTGAGCGTCATACAGAGCGCTGTCGCCCGAGGTGGAGCTCATGCTCGAGAGGAGACTGGCTCTTCTGAGTCAAACCTGACGCAGGAACAGGGAGAAGAATCTGCCCTGCCCGTTCCTCCCTCGGTTTGTCATCCTGCATCGTGTAGTAGTGGATGTGGTGATGAAAGCGGTCGCTGCCAGTTGCCAGTGCCTTGGCTGGTCAGTCGACTCAGCTCTCGGACTGAGCCATTGAGAGGAGGAGCTTGTTTGAAACGTGCATGGTGTTGACCTGCCGCTTTGAGTCATCACAACACAAGACTATAGATGATCAAAACCCCATAGCCACTGGGCAGAAAGATGTTGGGCAAAATATTCCAAAAGCACTTCGTCTCATCAAGGAACCTGAAAATGTGGAAGGCGGTATTGAAATGAGGCACCTAAGTAGGATTCTCCCGAGTAATCGAACTTCGCTCGGTATTGACCTCGATGTACAAAAATGGCGGACAGCCATAACTCACACCACGTCCACCATTTGTGCATCGAAGTCCAGACCGAGCGATGTCTGAGGACGCACGCAATCCAAGAGAGAAGGAATCTCCAGGGACGTGGCGAATTCCGTGCAGGAGAATTGCTTCGATTTCAGGTCATAAATGAGATACCGGTTCAACTAAACAAATGATCAGCCACTGATGACAACATGGCGGCTGACAAACATACCTGTGCAAGCTTGACACCCAGCCAAAGGCATCGCTCGGCGCGAGGTGCTGCATGGCTTGGTAGTTCCAGAGTGCGCTCATCTTCATCAACCACTTGACCTTCGAAGAAGTCGGCAGGGAAATAATAATAGGCCCATTCGAATCCTCGAATGAGAAAGTCTTCCGGGAGCTGACGGCCTGTGCCAGATTGGTGTTGCGGGAATTCCTTGGCCTCGAATCGCGCATCGACGACCCCGGAGCGGCTCAACGTATTCAGACAAAGTGCCAGCCTGCCCCACGGGATATACCTTTCGAGGTATATAAGAGCTCCTGGCACGTATGACAGACTCCAAATGAAGGCTAACGTTAGGTGCATGAACGGCAATATGTTCCGATCACCCACTTTTCCGGCTACTATAGATATGGACGTGGCCCAAACCGGAACAACATATGCAGTCACTTCCTCGGCCGAGGTCAATTTAGCCCCTGGCCGGTCACCAGCTGCAGGCGATGCTTGATGAGACGCGATAACATTGGCGGAACCATCTCCCCAGATTTCCTGGTGGATGTCCTCCTTGATTTGTGCATCTTCAACCTGCCCAGTGTTTGTGACGGGGTCCAGCTGCTTCTCAGCTCGGCTCGCTTTGATATTATCCGCGTTCGATCGAAGTCCGTTCCAAAGGAAGCTTTCGTCCGTACCAAAGTCGACCAGCCAGGCAGTGAATGTGAGCGCGATTTCCGAACCTTGAACCTTCCAGTTGGAGCCAGTTCTGGAAATGTGGTTATCCAATTCGGACAGGTATTGTGTGCCATGTACACAATACTCGTGGATTTCTCCTCGTGTGAACAAGAGCCCGCCAGCGGTGACAAAGGAACTCTCAAACTTGGGATACTTTTGGATCGTTGAGACCGACTTCTCTAAGAACGGCGAGAACAGGAGCATGATCGAATCGCGTGCATTGGCAAATGGAATTCCACTGGTCAGAGCTTTGGAGTAGTGGAACTGCTGGCGCACAATGTTAGGTCGGGCCAAGACGGCGAGATGATGTTGAATCCTCCCAGTGGTGGGCGAGCGATCAGCAGCGCGATTGTACCACATACGCGCCACGTTAGCCCACGTCTCCCTATCTCGCATGTCGGTCTCTTCGATGGCCATTCTGTAGCGAGCCAGGTCACCCAGGCATTCGATCCAGGTCTCATGGAAAGCAGGAACATATTCCAAGAGCAGCCCCATCATCTGATAGGCGAGATAGACGAAGCTTAGCATATGCTCAAGGGAATGTGGTAAACGATGGCGAAGTAATTCGAGGAACGAATGGATGCCGTGCCTCCACATTCGCGCGGGCATGGCGTATTTAACGGGTAAGCGTCGTAAAGCCGGGGAAGCAGCGGGGTGCTGTGTGGCCTGGAAAAAGTCCAAATGCTCATGCAGCAGGGTCCGATGTAATGCGATCAGGGCCTGCCATTGTTCGTTGGACAGTTTCGTGGTAGACTGGGACTGTTGCAGGCAGACTTCAACACATTTCTTCTCCACCATGACTAGGCCGGCGTAGAGACCTTTGATCTCATTCACGAGTTGTTCGTGGGTCACAGGCCGCGTCTCTGGCTGAAGCTTGATCTTGGTGATGTGATCGAGGGCTGCTTCGAGATTAGAATTCACAGGAGATAGGGTGTAGCCAAAGGCTACCTTTTCTCCGTCGTGACTCTGCAACGAATGGCGGGGGTTGGGCTGAGCCGCCGGCACGGGCACGGGCACCGGTAGGGGCAGTGGGGGAGCTAGCTTGGGCGACGAGAGTGGCGTTCTCTGCACTGACCGCTGCCCGGCGGATAACGAGTGTGTCCTGACGGAGCCGACGGCAGGTGAGGGCGTGTGGGAAATTGCCTGTTCATGACGAGGTGAGTAAGGCGACGCAGTACTGTTTCGATCTTGGGGGCGGACTTTGGTGCTAGGCCGTAAGTCTTGATCGAGAGCCGGGCGTTTGCAAGCTCGTAAAGGGTCCGCTGTAGATACCATGGTTGATCGACTTGGGTCGGCAGAGTACAGTTTGTCAAGATAGTGACCCAATTCCTGTTTAAGAGTTGGTTGTGATGGTGCATGTTGCAGAAGAGTCTGCTGGAAGCTCAAGGGGTCTTGCTGCGGTGAAGAGTCATTCCAGCCCGGCCGTGACTGGGGTTTGCTGTCGGTTCTAGGCAGCCACGAGTCAGTTCAGAATGAGGCTGGGAGACAGAAGAGAGGTATTTCCGTGATGGCCCAGGAGGCTGATGTGTTGGAGGTGACGGTGGCGGTGGCGGTAGTGGCTGTGGCCACGCAAGGGATCCGAGCATACAGAGAGTATACTCACTTTGGACTCGTGGAACGTGGCCGCCTGAGCCAGCCTGGTTTCTCAGCAGGACTGGGCGGAGCCGGCCTGTCCGACTCGAACTCGTAGGTGCGGCTCTCGTTGCTGCTGGGCCTGAGATCTAGATGTCTCCTGGCATTGATTGCTGAGGGATTTTGGGAAGCCATTGCTGGGATGATATATGCCCGCGGCGAACAAACTGCGCTTCCAGGTGTCGTGATCGTGATGACAAAAGGCAAGATGGGCGCAGTCGGAGCCAAGTTGATCCGATCCGGCAGGCGGGGGTTGAATGAAGCCTGGAGCCTGACGAGTGACGCAGAACCGCAGGCTACTGGACACGACTTCGACTCTCGCAACCCTCAAACCACCAACAAATCCTGCTGCAGCTCGTCAACGCTGTCTGTCATAACACCATTTCCTTATCGTGTAGACCCTGCTGGACAGCCAGGCCTCCGAGTTCGATAAATGGCACGAGTGCAGAACATACTTCTTCGCGGCGCTTGAGGCAGAGCGATAAGCCAGGGACGTGGGATAAACGAGGGACGGCGGCGGTCTCAAGGTTGGAGTCCAGCCCAACGACGGCGACGTGACAAAATCCCAAGTCCAAACGAGTACGCCAGACCGCCTGATCGCTCTGCCTCAAGCTGGTTGGAGTTGATGCCGCATTCGGAATCCATGAAGGAGAAAAATTGCCACATGAGCGCCGGCCTGTGATGTTTTATAGTACAACTCGACGGTCTGCAAAGGAGCTGCAGTGTAGGACCGGTGTGCGATCAGGCTGTCAAGCTTTTCGATCAAAGGAGATGCCAAAGTCGAAATGGGCGGATGCTGACCATTGCGGACCTGCAAGGCAACCATGAGGCTCTTTTTCCTGGCCTAGGGGGCCAATCAGGGACACTTTCTAATCAAACAGGGTCCGACTCTGCTACTCGCTCGGACATCAACGACGCGCGCGCTTCTAAGAAACAAGTACCGAACATAAGTCTCAGCCTGGCTGCTGGAGAGATCCTTGCTCAACTGCATACTTTACGATTGTAGAGAATCTCTACCCCGGATGGCCCCTGTGTCCATACCTAGGTAACTTCCCTGGATACGAGATCGAAATGTCATTGATGGCCCCCAACAGGCTTGATTGTTACCCCCTAGCTGGATCTCTCGAAGTCTCCAGTCTCGAACGCCATCGCTGCCTTTCATATATGTTATCTCGATTCCTTAGGCTCGACTGCATTGATCTGTTCCTTTTTTCTGTCACAACTCCCGTCTCGAGGCAGCCTCCACTGGCCCCCGGGTCACGCAGGCTTTCGGCCCCAGGATCTTTCAGCTATCACATCTCTCCACATTGCGGATCCGGTCATATTTCTGGGAAAAGTACATGATCCCTACGAAGAAATGAGACAGCCTAACCGACACCCAAGCCTTGATGGAAATCGGCTATGGAAATCGGCTATTCAGGCTGCGTTCTTGCTTAGGATAAGAGGAAACCGCTTGAATATCGACCACGCAAACTGGGGTGGGACATGGTTATCGGCCCAACGAATGAAGCTGCCATCCACAGAGCTCACCCATCCTTGTTGTTCAGATGTTACCCGGGCATGGACACGCATGACGATGAACGCTCCCTCACACCATTCAATACAGTGTTTCCCAGTCGTCTCATGACAGTTGTCAGGTCACATCAAGTGACTGATGGCTTTCTTCAAACCTCCCTCCCGGCAGAACTGGCTAAGGCTCTGATCCTTCTACACCTCGACCATATAATGATACACCATCCTTGTTACCGGCCGGATGGACGGACCGGTTGATGCGCTGTTGTTTTCTCCGTCAACAAACCCCGCTAGACGAGGCGTTGGTCTCGTGCTGTGTCGAGTGTTTCCCCCAATATTTCCTTCCACTGCTTCAGTAGGTCACACTATCAAAAAGTATGCGCCCTCAACGGAGAGGCAGCCATGAGTAAGGTAAGATGTCTTGAAAATTGAGCTCTCGCTTCCGCCTGATTTGGTGGTTCGCAGACGGATCACCTCAACCTTGCAACAATTCGCTCTGGCATCACGAATGATCACTCAGAAATTGGCACGTGTTCTAATACTCTATCGGGCCTCGAATGAGAGTGTCATTCGTATCAGATCGATCCCTGGCAGCTGCGATGATCCTTGGGTCGAACTCGTGGACAAATGTACAGCCAGAATCACTCGAATTCTCCAATGGATAAGCACAGATGACCTATCCGTACCAAATCAACATGGCTACGCAAGTGTTGTCAACCTCTACCAACAAGGTGTTCCTTCGGCAGACACCGGTCAAAATATCCCTATTGGCGACCCCCGGATTCTCCAAATTCATGACTGGCTTCTTGGAAGCGGAACGACGCCTTAGACAAATGTAGGTGGCCGAAGGGCAGGATCTTTCTGATAGAGAAGGATTCTCCATGACAAACCGACGTCGTTTAAGCGAACAGGCTAGCAAATAGGTTGTATTATGGTAAGGCTCCCCAAGGTACGAACGGTACACGAGGAAATCTGTCAATTGAGGTCGTTGCCTCTTCTGCTGATCGAGTTGCTCCCCTGCCAGCAATGTCACGCCCCGGATGCAGAAGTCCTGAGCCTGCGGAGGTAGCGGTCTTCAAACTGACTGCCAGGCAAAATGATAGACTCAGATGCGCAAGCCACACTGAAGGTAACCCTTGACGTCCAGCAAGGTACAGTTGCAGCCTGCACCCACCGTGTCTGGATGCAGCTTTCTCAAGTCAGAGAGACACTCCAGGCCTCGCGGATTCCAATCTCTGTTAGCAAGGGCATAGCCTTTCGACCAATCAATTGGCCCCTGCCCCTGAGCGAAGGACCTTGGAACTCGCTTAGCTCGCGAGGCAACGAGGCAACCAAAAACCCCGATCGACGAGTACCAGCTCTCTACCAACTCTCTTCAACCGATCAATTTCTCGAAAAGTCGATGCGGCTCTGCCGATGCGGGCCTCATGGGAGTCAGAGCTTTCGACTTGAATCCGGCTGGATCATCTCCACATTCTACAACTTCTGATTCATTATCAGGCAAGTTCTGCCTTACGGTTTCCGGCAACGTTCGCTCCGGATATAGTAACCTCTTTTCTTCCTGCCACCGGAGGATCGAGCTGATCAGGCTGACCGGGAAGCGACCATCGGACATCATGCTGCATGGACAACCTATGCGGAGGACTTTCCTACCACAGCAGAGAAGAATCCCACGACAAAGTCCACTCGTGCTATATTCTATCATCAATATGATATGCAATATCGCTGCAAGGCGACCCGTCTTTACCTGGATATTAAAGCCACGCTGGATGATCATTTGCTCAACATATGCTGGCCTCCAAGTCTTCCGACCGTATGGCGCAAAGAAGAACCTATCCAACCCCCGCGAGTGCGCAGTGTCGACGACCAGACCAGATCGGCCTTTTTCACAATGCTGAAGTTGCAAGCCCCCTTCGACCCCTCTGTGAAACGGGAATCAAATGGTGGGGACGACGCCCCGTCAGGTACCGATACTTGGTAGCCAACCGCATCAGTACGCTGCCAGTCCCGTCACTATTTCATTCGGTTTTGTATCGTTACCCCATGCATACCAGCTGATTCAATGTGGAGCGAACTATCACTAGGTAGGTATCTGGATGGAGGTTCTTCTTTGCTTCTGATGCCAAACCCCTGCGACTATGACATCTAACGCCCGACTACAGCGTTGGCGAGCGCGGCATATGCCACAGAGCGGACTCTTCTCTTCTTTTGGCCAGTCGACTTGCCTTGCAGTCTGCTCTCGTGACATTCCTCCTCCTTCCAGCACTGGACGTGACTTTCCCCAACAATGTTACCACATGCCAATACTGCGATGGTGGTGGTACAGTCAGCATCTTCTTCAGCCTACGGGGACCTGGGTCGTCATCAGTCCCAAAGAAACCCACCCGAACATACGACTATCCGTCTTGTTGTCTATCACCTCATCCGTACTTGCCTCGACTATGGATACTGTCTCAGCCCTAATGTGATGCCTACTCGTCATCACGGCCTTAATCCTTCAGCTGACGCTGCCCAGCTTGGTCGAGGGAATGGATAACCGTTCACAAAGAAACCATTGGTCTCGGAGATCACCAATACTGGTTGCCTTTTCATTATCCCCCCTTCTTGTCCCTTTTCCCCTCTCATACACCACTACGTGGACGTATTCGATGCCGGAGAAGCACTGCCAAACAATCCTCAGACATGTGTAAGAGGGGCCGTGTTACAAAATACATGGCAGATGTACATACTGTCAGCCTACGACACAGCTAGCAAGCTACGGTCCTGGCAGATGCAATGCAATGCACGTTAAGGTCCTCGCTTTCTCGTGCTCGTCTCCTTTGCCCCTCAGTCCTGACCACGGAGATGAAATGGAATAACTCGAGATGCATCGTGGTTTCTGGAGCGCTCAGCCGACAACTGAACGGTTGGCAATACCGTGCTCACTCTGACATCGATTTCCTTTCTCATATCATGCACATATGCAACAACCACTTGGCCCCTTTCATCAGAGTTGCCCGGTTCAAGTTCAAACGGTTCCGAATGTCTTGTGTTGACCTATTTGAAACAAACGGACAAGTCAGAGTTCAAGTTGAACGCAACGAGGTAGGGCGACGCCGTCGCGTCAATGTTGTCCAATCTGCACGTGGCGCATGACTCTCGGGCCTTGATGCCCTTCACTCAAGTCGCCCAAAAGGCAGTACGCAAAAGGACGGGCAGAAAAGAAAAACGTTGCATTGCGAAGTGTACGACTGGAACTTGGAAGAAGCGAAACAGCTCAAGAACAGTGAGAAAAATCTCCTTTGCTCTGTCACACATCTGGGTCCTTCAGCCTGATCGGCTGAACTGGGCGTTCAATTCGTTTGTATCCAGACATTGCATCAGGCTGAGAGAGGCAAACATATCCCTTGCCATGACTTGAGCGAGATGGTGTGGGTCCCGAGGTAGCTATTGTTACCAATCCTGCTGGTTGACGAGGTCACAGGGCTACCGAATAGAATCGTTGACCGGTTACTCTGACTCAACCACCCATTCGAGAAGATGCGGCAACAGGCAAAAGAAAGACTGCGCGAAATACATTATCCAAGGATCAGATGATGTGAATTTGCCCGAAAGACACATATTTCGTTTTCTGCTATCTATTCCTTCTCCGGTGGTGAGGCTCGGTGGATTGTTACGTCGCCTCGTCGACTCTTTGATCATCAGATTTGTGTATACGTCCCCACCACATGTACGATGCATCCTGTCCCTTCTTCATGAACAACCACCACATATCCCCCCTAGCCTGGTCACTTGGTGGCTAATATGCTGCCCTAAACAGGCTGCACTATGGCCATCAAGCAATAGAGCCACCAGGAAGAGAGAGCCTGCGTTGCGCTGCGCTAATCTGACTCATGTTCTAGCAATCACAAGGATTCTCAACAGTCCAGTCCATCAGCAGGTTTCGATGATTCTGCCACGGCTGGCATTCCCCCTGTCAGGGCCATATTTGGTACACTGTGCGTTGTTACTCCACGCCTCACGCATGACAAAAGAGGTGATCGCTTTGGTCTTTCCTGCCACGCATCTCCTCCACTAGCTCAGAGAACAGACGCGGAATGGAAGGGTACTAGACTTGAAACAACGAGATCATTCGTTCTTGATTTTTTGGAGATAGGACACGCTATTGCTTCTTCTTTCCCACATCCGAGCTTTTGCCCTCAACATTCATCGATGCTGGTCTGAAAGCAGACCTCAACTTGAACAACACCCACAAGAAACCAAGTGCTATCGAGACTACCGTCAAGTATTCAATCGTGGTTGGACTCGCTGTGTCCGTGTCGAGTACGGGCACCGCGATCCGTTCCACCATCATGCCATTCTGAGGTGCGGGATTTAGGTGATAAAACATGGTCCTTGGACCAAACAGTCCATCGTAGCCCAGCTGTGTTCGGTCAAATGGGTTGACGGGAAATTTGGTCCCGTCTTCAGCCGTACATGCCCAAAAGACAATCGGCCACGGTACTTCTATCTCCGAAGTTCCACCTGCTTTAGGCTCCAGATATCGAAGATGGAGAGGAACAGTGACATCCCAGGGCCCATCGACAGAGCCTTTGTGATTAGTGACAGTGCTGTTGGGAGTCTGAAGCTCTAGAAGCACGGTTGAACCCCATTTCTTGACCACGTAGTCGGGAGCTTCCAGATCTGTCTCGCCGATGATAGACCGCAGTTGGCCCAGATTGTGGGATTTTTGGAACAGCGGATCGTTGCTGAGAAAGGCATACTTGTCCGCGAAAATATGCGATGGGAGGGTCAGATATGTTTGCAGCGCACAGACACTCCCTGAAGGTTTATTTTCCGGCTCTGTCAACAGGTTTGCGGAGGGAAAAGAGATTCTCAAGATAGGATGTAGACCGGTGGGCTTGTCGAAAGAGACATTGTAGCGTTGCTGTTTGGCTTGGTCTCGACTCAGCGCATGGTGGCGAGATGGGAAGCTGAACAGTGTCGCTTTGGGATGGTCGTCTTCTCCAACAACAGTCAGAAAGCCTGACAGTTGAAGGTCGGATGGTTCCAGCCCGGGGCCTGGGCTAAGGATGCCGACCTCGACCTTGTCGGAGCCTTTCTGCTCGATGTCCAGGTTCCATGCGTCGAGGGTGGTGAACTCGCCGATGGGATCGTAAATGATATCCGGCTGTCTCGACCACATCACAGTCAGCGTCAGCGTGTGGGAGATGCTGTCATAGTCCAAGTCCACCGAGTCCGCTATGTTCAGCAGCGTCGCCGTATGCAGACAAACGAGGTCGGACGGCGTGCAGACATTACGTTGCAGATATGCCGCGAGCGGCCTCAGGGAAGAAAGAAGTGAGTAGTATTGCAAGGAGGCCGTCTGGGCGAAGCGCTCCGAGATCAACGGAGGACTGGTGAATGTCGACTGTGGCGACTCGCATCGCAGGTTCTGCCCGAACACTTTGTGGATCAGATCGCAGAGGTGGCCGGGCTGCTTCTCTTTCAAGGGCGTGTACTGGACGTGCAGGCCGGGCGAGATTCTCGACAGGAACGGAACCGTCGTGTTGTAGGGGTGCTCGGGGGCCCATCGAACATGCAATTCGTGAGACTCCTTCAAGACCTCTACCACCTCCTGAGGGAGCTCTTGGAGGCCCAAAGTCAACCGTTCTTCTCGTGCCGCCTTCAAGGCTCCCAGAAGGAGCTGGTTCTTGTAGACCTGGATGTCAGCTGGATTGACAGCCCGGCTGGGATGAGTGATGTAGGTCGAGCGTCTGCGCATGTTGGTGAAGAGGCGCTCTGGTTGGAATAGGTCAACGGGTTCTGCGACAGTTAGGATGCGATTGATCTGGTCACAACATTGGAGTTGATTGATGGTCGTTGAGGTTGAAGTGCAGTAGTACACAATACGCAATACGAGATACGAGACACTCTTATCGATAAGAGCCTTGTCACATGGCCGCGTCGCAGCATCGTGAATCTTTCTTTCTTTGACTTCATCATCAATTAATTCCACAAACGTCACTCTGTCAACAAACTGGAACTTGGTGTCAGATCCTCAAATTCGTTCCTACCAACAGATCACTCTCCAACGCCATTTTCTGATGTATACTTCTTTGGCCTATTGGCATTAGATCTGGATCTATACTGTCACCATCTCGAGCCCCTTCCTCTCCGATCTTGTCTCTCACCGCAGCCATGGCGCCAACCGTGTCCTCTTCGCAAACGAAATTGTCCTACCCTCTCTATGCCGCGGACTTCGACCCCTTCAACCCCGATTTCCTTCTTGTCGGTGGCGGTGGCGGCTCGTCCTCGACGGGCGTTCCCAACAAGATTTCCCTGATCGATGCCTCTCGCCGAGACCAACTGGCCGAGGTGGTCGACGTCGAACTTGTCAAAGGCGAAGATTCCGTCACAAGTCTGGGGGTCGTAGAGTCCTCTGAGTCAAGCCTGACTGCTTTTGCGGGCATCAACAGCTCCATCGCCGATCAGAACGCCGGAAAGAATGAACATCTCAGGTCGTTTCGGATCGGGCTACCAGCAAAGAAGAGAAGGGCGGATGGTAGCACTGTGGACAGTGGAGAGAAGTCGACGGCCCCAACACAAGGCTCACAGGCGCTTGGCCGGACTGCGCTGTTCAGGTCTGCATCAGGCACCAAAAATGAAACCTATCAACGGGTCCTGCGTCTTTCCCCGGCCACATCTCCCGACCAACCTCGACTTGCGGCCATTGCCTCAGGTCTGGCTCCGGAAAACGAGATCATTGTCTTCCGGCCAACTCCAAACCCAGTTGCAGAAGACGAAGTGTCTCGCATTAGCCTTGGGGGATGTGAGGCAGCAGATCTGGATCTGATCTCTGACGGCGACGAGACGGCTGGTCATCTTCTCGCATATTGCACAGATGGTGAAGTGTTTGTGCAGCTACTTGCCACCGCCTCGAAGCCCGGGAAACCAATTTCTTTATACCGGAGTCCGGAGTCTACAACGTCGCTACCGCCGTCGAAGAGGCCGAAATTCCGCTCTATACGATTTCTCACGCCTCGATATCTGTTGCTCCTGCAGAACCGACCCGGACGGACGGGGGCAGACCTTTTGGTCCTCCGAGTCAGCAAAGACTTATCTCAGGCACGCATCTCACTCCGGAAACGACTGCATAAATCGACCAAGGCGGCTGTAGGGTTGGAAGTATGTCCCTTGACAGAATCCGACCTGGGCGAACGACAATTTGTCATTGCTGTCGCCGGACAAAGCGGTGATGACAGCTCCATAGAGCTCTTGACGATTGACTACACACCCAACACCGGCCTGGGAAGATTCCGCCCATACACGTTCCTCAGAAGCGTGCATAAGGGCCCACTCACCAAACTGGTTTTTTCGAATTTCATCGGGCCAGCACTGCCAGTCACAAAAGACGTTGGCCCGCAGTTCATACGCCTGGCTTCGGTCGGAGTCGACCAGATCGTCGTGGTGCACCATCTCCCTCTCCGACCGTTCCCCGCGACCTACACCAAGCGGCCACGATACGTCCTCACCCCGCCCGGCCGATCTGAAGCCATGCAGACGACCTTCAGTGTGTTCTTCGCGCTGGTGGTTGTCGGGATCGTCGCGTTCCTCATGCAAGTCTACTGCGAGATCCGCGGCGCCGTGCCGCCTGTCCTCGGCGCCACGGACTGGCTTTCACCACGAATGCGCGAGCTGGTGGCGCAGCCATACATTCTCGCCGAGACTGCTCGGTCAGAACTCCCCATTGCCGCACACAGCGCCACAGAGAAACTCAAAGACGCCGCATCCCAGATTCCCAGTGTGGATCAGATCCAGGCCGGCATCGAAGACGCCGCGGCGGGAATGAAGCAGAAACTCTACGATTTGGTTCGGGAGAACTCGGAGCTCGAAACGCCCAAGGCGATCATCGTGCGCGAAGAGGCTGGCTCGGGCGACATCTCGACGGAACTGGCGCACGATGCGACACTCGTCCAGCAAGAAACACTCAGGAGGTGGGATGAGCTGTCCGAGACGCAGAAGACGAGCTGGAAACGCCGACTTGTCGATGCGGGCCATTGGGCTGAGGACCAGGGCGAGAATATCCTCAAGGGCGTTTTCTTCTCGCAGCTGGCTGATGCCGTGGGAAATATGGTTGGAGGATGAGACTGCGAGACAGGAGCCGAAAATGGGTTCTGACATATAACAAGCAAAGAAACAAAAGAAAAAAAGAAACGAAGTCCTCGGGTACTTGACAGATGTGTGGCTTGGATACTAACTGTTCCTCGGGATATTCTCGTCCCCGTTGTCTGCTACCTTATATACCATCAATCATTGTATGGGAGTCACCTCAAACCTACTAGTACGACACAGGTAAGGCGAGGAGGGCTATGATATATCGTCCAGGGCCAGACCATGCCGTGTGGACATCCATGCCCATGCAAATACCACAGACATGGCTGCATGCGTAGCCCGTGGATATATGTGTAAACGTGTGTATATAGATATATGTGAGCCGTTTCTGTAAGGGTTGCAGTGATATACGCGATACAGGTTACGCCATATATGGGTGACGGGAGAGAAGAGAGGCAGGAGAGACGGAGACGATCTACGAGTCAAGAGGAACAAGAGGAGCAGAACAAAACAGAACAAAACATGGCCAAAGAGAAGCAAGAAGCAGAAGCAAGAAGCACAACCAAGATTTTTGTCGCATTTCAGGTCTCGCATGCATGCAATTCGAAGATCCACCGGCGTGTTCCCATCAATCATCATCGTAGAAGAGGAAGAAGATCGTCTTCGTTCTTTTGGCGCCTCTCTGGCCCGGATCCATGCTCACCCATTCCAGCTCCAGAAAAAACCCCCGCAGCCGCGTCGTCTCGAGGGACGTAGATGCAGCTCTGGCTGGTCGAAAACCACATGAGCACTCTCGAGTCTGTAGCAGCTCGCCTTGGATATGCATGCCGCATGCTGCAGCGGTTGCGGATGATCGGCATACACTCAGTAGGGAAACCACATGCTCTTGCGACCTAGCCCTTGGGGTGTTGGCTGGTCCAGCACTGCTTCTCATTGAACAACCACAGGCAGTCTCGGCCGGGCCATCAATCTCATTCTGTCTTCCGTTCGCGGCTAAGTCATGAATGTTGTACCACTTGGATAGAGTCCATCACGTATCCAAGCTGATGGACGGAGAGAGAGGAAGTGCGTACCAGCGCTGGTACGGCGCCCTGTGGAGATTGCCGTGTCGTCTCACCACCACCCAACGCCGAAAAAGAAATTTCGGATTTCTGGCCGCCGCTCCTGCCCACGTCCGTGCCGACTCTTTCTGGCAGCCAACAAAAGACGAACGCTTATTGGCGACCCTTTTCCCGCCATTTGAGCAGTTCACTCAGACTGGCAAGACTGCACCCCATGCGCATAAACTCGTTGCGTAACAGTTCGTCTGCGCTGGCGCGGCTTCTAACATCGACGCACAGACAAACGCTCAGGAATGCTTTGAGTTCTCGTGACAGCTTGTTGGGATTCTTCAGGCGAGGGGTGCCGTTGGTTGCAATCAGGAAGAGTGCCTTCAACGGTTCCTCGTTCAGATATGGCGGCTCGGATTCGATCATCTCAATAGCCATGATACCAAGCGACCAGATGTCAACTTTGGGACCATATTCTTTTTGCTTCACAACCTCGGGCGCCATCCAGTAAGGTGTGCCAACCATGGTTGCGCGCTTGCTCTTCGATTCGGTGAGCTTAGCACAGAATCCGAAATCCGCTGAAGATTGCAGGTTAGCTGATGATATCTTTGAGTTCCGAGAGCCCAAAACGACTTACTGATCTTGACATTTCCCACACGGTCGAGCAACACATTGTCACTCTTGATGTCTCGGTGGATGATGTCCTGGGAATGCAAATGAGCAAGGCCTTTGCAGGTCTCGAAGCAGATTGTCGCAATCTGGTCTTCTGTGATCACTGGATTGTTGTCAATGATGTCGGTGAGTGCGCCACCTTCCATGAATTCCATCACCACCCAGAGTTCGTTGTTCTGTTCCTGCAGAAAGGAGTCAAGGAAGTTGACGATGTTCGGGTGCTTCGAGTCCTTCATGACGATGATCTCATTGACGATGAGCTCTTTGCGTGGCTGATTTCGAAGATCCATCTGCTTGATAGCAACCTGACCCTTGGGGCCGTGTGTACGGTAGATTTCCCGTGCGACAGGAGAGTTGGCGCTTTCCTTGACTCTGGCGACGTAAACCGAACCGGAAGCCCCCTGGCCGATCTTCTTCTGCTTGCTGTAGGAGTCCATAGGGTTGTCCTTGGAGACGACCTGCTTGAGCTTGGCCATGACCTCGCTCTCAGTCATGCTTGACATGCGAACCTCCTTTGCTCGTTCCTCAACGGGCTTCTTGGCAGTCAACGCGATCTCGGCATCTTTGCGCGGATCGGTCGCAGTTTTGGCTTGCGCTTGCTTTGCAACATTCAGGGGCTTTGGTTGCTGCACAGATCCTGGCGTGCGGCTTGGCCCTTGTCCATTGATGCCGTTAGGTTGCTGTTTCAGCGCTCCGTCCTTGCGCGGCGCCTCTCGTTCTGGTTGGTATCGCGCATTCGGTGAAGGCTGTCGCTCTCGACCTCTACTGTCTGGTGAGCGGAGGGAACTCTGACCCGCTGAGGATTGAGGAATCGATCTTTGAGAGTTGCTGGTCGGAGGTGCAGAGGGCGCCGGTCTCTGCGCAACAGGTTGTTGTCGGAGACCACCGGAGGGTGACTGCTGAGGAGCACTTGGCGCCGCTCTTGCAGGATTGTATCTGGGGTCTTGTCTATTTGGTGTACGCTCAGGACCACCTGTGAAGCCTCCAACCTCTTGTTGAGCCAGCGGTGGGCGGGCCTTGGGCAAGGACGCATTGTATGCTTCTTGTTCTCGACGACTTCGCTCTGCTGCTTCTTCTCGTTCCTGCTCCCGCTGTCTCTCCACATCCCGAGTTCGTTTGGCCTCGGCCTCCAGTTGACGGCGCTTCTGTTCTTGCACGGCGATTTCTTTGATTCGTGTAGCATCGGCCTCCATGTCGTAAGAGCCCTTGTCGGTCTGCGTTCGTTGCAACTGGGGCTTGAGAGGCGGCGTACCCGACCGGCCCTGGCCATCCTGGTATTTGTTCATAAACTGGTTCGCATTGTATCGCTGTGCATCTGATGGGGGAGCCGGCCTCGGAGGAACAACACTGTTACCGCTGGCGGGATAACCAAGCTGCTTATTGGGTTGAGACGCTGGAGGAGTGACCATGCCATGGGAATACATTTCTGGATGCTGCTCCCGCATTTTCTGGTCGGAAACGAACTGGAGCACTTCAATGACCGCTTGAGGATTCTTCTTGTAGTCGTCTCTCGTGATAGCCGAGTTGTTTAAAAGCTTCTCCCACTCTTGAGGCAGTCCAGTGAAGCCACCGGTTTGTGAATCGAAGCCGACATGGATGCGATGGCTGAAATTGGTCGGGTTGCTGACACCCCCCATGCCTGGGCATCTTTCGTAGATCTTGTCAATCCAGTCGTAGATTTCGTCGTCATTATGGACTTCACACGTTATGGTCCGGGTGGGTAAGTCTCGGCTCATGATGATCTTGCCGTTCGCTTCTTTGGGATTGGAGATCCTGGTGATTTCGAAGGCCATCCGAGTATCTTCCGATCGTGTAACGCCGGTGATGGTGTTCAAATTGATGGTCTGCATCACTTTTCCATTTTCATTCTTGAGGAAATCCAATCTGAACTCTCGAAGAATCAGGTATCGTTGGTTCCATTGTGCCAGGAACTTGTCTTCTTTGCAGCGCACATAGCCCTCTTTAATGATTGTAATGGATGTTGACGATTTCCCAGGCCCTACAAGCGACAGAGAACTGTTGTTGGCGAAGTATGGCGCACTGGGGGTACTGATCGCTGGGGAGACGGGGGTGCCCAGAGACATAGAGTCAAAGGTAGTGGTCGCTAGAGAGGTGTTGGATCGCTGGAGGTCGATGTGTCGAGGCCGATCGGTAGGGGGACGAGGGGCCGGGCCTGGATTCATGAACTGGCCAGCACTGTAGAAGCTGATTGCAATTAGCAGTAGTACATTGCATGTCAAAGACAGATTGGTATGGGCTGTAGAAATAGATTGTGTGCCTTGAGATGAGTGGCGGAGACAATGCTTACTTATTCTCCTGCGTTGAGGCCATTGTCCGAGTTCTCCACAGATGACCGTGTAGTATGTTTCAGAAGAAAGGAAAGGAGATGTCGAGCGCCGAAGGGGGAGATGAGGAGGAGCAGGACGGGTGCTCAGCGGAGGGAGTCTGTCAACCGAGCAAAACTGAACCAAGACAGCATGCGTGCGGCGGCGACGACAGGAGGTAGAGGTGTAAGATCGAGAAGCCGACGACGTGAAGTGCGGTGCAAGGTTCCTCAGTATGATTGAAAGAGTGCAGGTCTGTCAATCGGTCTGCCTGTCGATCTGTAACCGCGCTGGTGTGTCGGCGGTGAGAGTGAAGTGTGAGAGATATCAGATCACGATCACGACCCCCCTCGGACTCGTGATTGTCCGGTAGCAACACTCCGCGCACTCTAGCCGCGTACAATGGGGGTTCTCTGCACGATAGACGATAGACGAGAGAGGGTGAGGAATGGACAAAGGGTACTAGGACAATGTACTGGAGGAACTTGATCAGGCTGAGACAATGAATGAATGGATCAAGTTGAACCTGGCGGCAGATCGAGGTGTAGCGTGTAGTCTGTAGTACTACTTGAATGATAGGGGGCCGAGGGGGCTTAGGGGGGGTTAATGAGGCTAATAAGGCTAATAAGGCCTAGTGTCAGGATGATTGGCACTTTACACGTTATCTTAGGTACTAACTACACCGACTAACCACTATTAGTCGAAACGCGTGCCATAACAACACCTTCGATTCTACTCTTCAGTATCTTCCCTACGAACACCAATTGAGCGGCTTCTGGCGTCAGTGGAAGGGGCAGAGTGGCTTGTTCAGGTGATTCAAGAATTCAACAATCTATCTCTGGACTCATCTGAAAGAAGGGAGGCGCATAGGCAAACAAATGGCAACGAACTCACCGTCATCCCTCCCGGTACTTCTCCTGGGAGCAAGTAGAAGAACGGAGAGCTTCAGGGAAAGCTTCGGCAGGGAACCAAGTTCCCATGCAATCCATTGTTGAAAAATGGCCCCAACATGGGTAGAGTATGTCCTCGAGCGGTCCAATTACTTGTACCCGAGACAGCGGATTTCGAAGCTGTCCCGAATCCAAAGCGATCTGGTTACCGCGGGCTTACAATACCCCAATCATTGCGCAACAAGCACTCCTGAGGCGGATCCCGCCACTCGCCTAGGTATCAAACTCAAATTCAAGTCCGTGTCAGACAGGGAGATGAAGAAGTTCTAGGCGGCACTGGGTGGAAAGGATAATACTCAGAAGCTGAATGTGTTTGTCGATATTCTGGCCGGAAACGATGGGGAATGGATTGAGCAGCCTAGATCTGAATAAAAATAATAGTCGGGGGAGGACGAAACATTCATACACAAGCTACCTACCTTTCCTAGGTAGGTAGTCTTCGGTATTGTTAGTCATACTGGAAATCAAATCGCCGTCTGTAAAGTAGTGTAAGTTGAAAGATAAGTTGAAAGACTCTGCTCCATTGTTCCTAGGATTGTCAAAACATTGTCCATATAGATGCATCAATCTGTATATTGTGAATTGTAATGATAGCATCCCTATCTCAGCCAGTATTCTGAGGCTTGGTGGTAGGTAGTCTGTGCTAAGCATAGGGCATTACTAATCCACCTCTCAATTACTTGGCACTATTAATTGAGCTGATTATATTCAATAATGTCCAAAATTGTTTCAACAAAGTCGTCTTAGCTCAGCTGGGAGAGCGTCGTAAGTGGCCGTCTCCTATTGTATAACTAATCTGAACACCTGCTAATTCTCTCACAGAGACTGAAGTTCACAATCGGTCATTAAATCTGAAGGTCGAGTGTTCGATCCACTCAGACGACAATCTTTTTTTGCACTTTTAAAAGATCGATCTCCCAAACCAAGGGTTGCAACTCGCTTCCAGCCTTGATCTCCACATTGTGAATCTGTAGCCGCTTGGTGCTCGTACTGTACTGTTCACAAAGACCCCGCAGAGGCTATCATTTTGTTCAGTGTACCTGGGCAAAGGTGACAGGGCAATTGTGGCAGCAACGTAAGGATCCCTAAAGGAAGCAGCCAGGTTTCCCTGACATCCTTCTGTAACAAGTACTACTTCGATCGTTGACTTGTCCGGTGCCAATTATTGTTCTCTGATGCCGACTGCAGCATTTCACCATCTGAAACACTTGCAGGAGGCGTTGGACATTTACCGAAGAGATCAACCAGCGACGCCTCAAATAGCAGCCCTGGAATTTGAACTATTGATTCACAAAGTCTTCGCTTAGATTTCCGCCTCGGCCAGGTCCCACTGCATATACAGCCTGGCGTCAGGCCTCCTTAGCCGCTTCATCCCTTCTAGAACTTGAGGACGAAACAGCCACTTTGCGAGTTTACTGGCTGCGGTCGGGGTGTCAGGCTGTTTCGCGAGTAAGATAGCCGCCCAGAGGCTTGTGGGTGGCCATCACCTCCGCCATCCCCAATGGGAGTAATACCCTGTTCATGGCCATATCTCTTGAGCCTGACAGACAACCTGGAAAGCAAGGCTTGACCAAAATGCCCGATATTCTTACACTCCGGGCATGTACAGACGTATTCTGGCAAAATCAGAGGCGAATTCGAATGTAGTTACTGACTAATCCTGCGTACGATGCTCCAGTTCAGACGAGGCTGAGAATCCCGTGACGAGGCTGAGCACCTTGAATGGATGATGTCATACTACCATTATTGGACGCAGTCAAAAAGTTCGAAGCCTCAGGCTCTGGGGACAAAATAATTTCTAAGCCATTTCGCCTGCGAGACAACATTCGACGCCCATATAGTGACACTCTCTCCTACATCTCACGCGAGCGTGTACTTGTCTTTCTCGTCATCATCTCGCTCTCTACTAGAGTTCTCCTCTCAACCTCCCACCATGTCCACCTCCGAACCCCACCAAATTCCCGAGGGTTTAGAAGAGGGTGACATCCTCGACGCCGACGATGCCGCTGAAGAGATCTCCAAAGATGACGACCAGCCGATGGACGACGACGAAGGAGACTTTGAAGATGAGGAGGAGATACAATTACAAAACGACTCGGTTGCACACTTTGACGCCCACACAGACAGCATCTTCTGCATCGCGCAACATCCCACCAACCCCTCCATCATAGTCACTGGAGGCGGAGACGACACCGCATACATTTTTGACGCATCCGTTTCTCAAGCAGTCACTCCAGCAGGCAGTGAACGGCAGAGTTTGGCCCCAGTACAAAAACTGGACGGACACACCGATTCGGTCAACGCCGTGTCCTTTACGCTGCCGCGGGGTGAGTACGTGGTGACGGCTGGCTTGGACGGGAAGCTGCGGGCGTGGAAGAGCGAGGATTCGTCGGCGAAGAAATGGAGATTTGTTGCAGAGGCCTCTGAGGTACAGGAGATCAATTGGGTGGCCGCGTCGCCGAATGCCGAGCACGAAAATGTCATTGCGCTCGGCGCGAATGATGGCTCCGTTTGGGTGTACCAGATCAACGCTGCCGACCAGGGGAGCCCATTGACCATCGTCCAGGCATACTACCTACATACCGCATCTTGCACGGCAGGCGCATGGACACCTGATGGAAGTCTCCTGGCGACTGTGTCTGAAGATGGGAGTCTATACGTGTGGGACGTCTTTTCGACCGGCCAGGCAGTGGTGACTTGCACCGCTGCTGATGCGCGCTTTGAGGTTGAAGGCGGGCTTTACAGCGTTGCGTGCACTTCGTCTATCGTTGCCGTTGGAGGTGCAGGCGGCAACATCAAAGTAGTCGGTCTACCGCAACCGGCGGATCAAGCGAAGAAGACTGCCAAAGGAGCTGGCGCTTCTCGGCAACAGGCCTCATCCGCCGGACAGCTTCTTGCCTCGTTACAAGCCCAGACCGACGGGGTGGAGACCCTCTCGTTTTCCTCCCCACCACTGACTATTCTGGCGGCCGGCAGTGTCGATGGCTCGATAGCACTGTTCGATACGGCCCATCGGTTCGCCCTCCGACGACACATCAAAGAAGCGCACGAAGATTATGCCGTAGTCAAGGTGGACTTTGTGCGCAACCCGCAGCGCGGAGGCTGGATCTTGACCAGCGTGGGTATGGATGGAGTGGTGAGACGATGGGACGTCCGCGGCGGAACCACAGCTGCAGGGCAGGGATTCCTACAAGAGTGGAGGGGCCATCGAGGAGAAGGAGAAGGCGGAGGCATCTTGGGCTTCGTACAAGGCGGACAAGGCACGAGGCTTGTCACTGCTGGCGACGATGGCGTTGCACTGGTTTTCGAAGCAGACATTTCATGATAAGAGCATGCTATCGTGCGTTTGGACAATCCAGAGTAAGGTAAAGCATTATGAGGGCTTTCTAGCTAGGAGTTTTCTCGGCGATCCTCTGCGTATTCATGTGAGAAGAAGTTTTGACGGTGGAATGCCATTGACATTTCGCTGCAGTTATTTCACAATGTCAGCCTCATATCTCGTCCGTCACAGCTTCGTTTATTCCATCGTCATTCTGTTCATTTCTAGAAGCGCGCCCTATTCGAAAAGATGCCCGGATTTAGCGATTGATTCTTCGTTCCTCCACACGGCAATAATGCGGAGACGGGAGTCGCCTGCAGGGGAACGAGGATGAAGGCGACCTTCAAGTTGGTGATGGCGATACCGATGAGGATGACGTGGGTCCATGAGAACGCAACATTCCCAAGCAGATGCTGCGTCTCTTCATTCCAGCTCATCTCGTCCTTCAGCTCCATCAACGTGCTTACTGTCAGACGAGATCCGACTATGGCTTTTCCTTCCTCTCCGGCCATTCCCCGTGTGCAAAATGACCCCGGCTTCCTTTCGACAGAGATACCATGAACAGTGCCGTAGCACCGACTGTCATGATTACGGAGATAAAGATAAAAAGAGCCGGAGAAAGACACGATGAAGAGAGGGATCATGATATATGGTGGCAGTGTAAGGCCTCCTTGTCCTTGCCCAAGCGCACCTTCCAGAGCTTTGCGAGATTGATACTGTGTTGAGTCGGAGGGCATTCGTCAAGTCGGACAAGGACCACTCTTCGAACACCCTCTTGATTCTATCTCCCTCCGAAACATATCGATCTCGCTCTCTTCTCGAACGATGTCTCCCTCCCAATTCACCGACAAACTTGCAGGCCAACGCGTGCTGTTAGTGGGCGGAACAGGCGGCGTCGGAGTCAGCGTTGCCCAAGCCCTGCTCGAGTTCGGAGCAACCATCGTCCTATCATCGTCCCACGAGTCCAAAGTCAAAGACGTCCGTGCAGCACTACTCCAGGACTACCCGGAAGCAAAGGACAGGATATCCGGCTATCCATGTGATCTGGCCAGTCCCGACGTCGAATCCAACATCGAGCAACTCTTCAACCAGGCCGGAAACGTGGATCACATCGTCTACATGGCCGGCGATCGACTGCCCATGGTTCCACTGGAAGAAGTCACCTTGGAGAATTGGCAGAAATACAATCAAGTTCGGACTATTGCGGCCATCCTTGTCATCAAAGTCGGTGTCAGGCACATGAAGAAGGACCGACACTCGTCCATCGTCTTGACTGGCGGTTCGATTTCCGAGAAGCCGATTGCTGGTGGCTGGTCTATGCTGGCTCTGATGGGCGCTGGTCTCAATGGTCTCGGCCGACAGCTGGCCTATGATCTGGCACCCATCCGAGTTAACATCGTCGCACCAGGGGTCATCGAGACTGATCTGTGGCAGAGGATGGGCGAGGATGGGAAAAGAGCATTCTTCGCTGAGCATGAAGGCAAGATCCCCACGGGCAAGGTTGGACAGCCTGTGGATTTGGCAGAGGCGTACCTGTACTGTCTGAAGGATACGAATGCCACGGGCGTGGTCGTGCACTCAAACAGTGGAACGTTTCTGGTGTGACGGGCCGACAGAGACGAGCAATAAATAAGGCTGTTGCAATACTATCAGCGGACAGCAGACAGTAGACGGATGCGGTCAGAGCTGTTTATATTATCAATCGTATACCAGTTTCCTATGGCGTATAGTATCACTTACCTACCCGACTGCTCAACCTCTTGGGAATTCTTCCTTTGGCCCACTTTTAGTATATATAGAAGCCTCGTCGGTCGCCGTGATCAGCCGATCACGTGGGCATGTCAGCCTCCTCGATTCAATGGCTCGTTGTTGTTTCTCTACTTCTACTTTCTTCCTCTTCCTCTTCCTCTTCCAATGCATGCCTCGCCACGTCTGAAGTCGGATTGAAAATCAGACTCACGTTGACTTACTACCAGCCTCGCAAGACCAGAAATTCAAGCAGCTGGACGCATTGCCGTTGCGACGGACACACCCGAGCTGAAACAACATAAGCAACGCTCTCAGCAAGAAACAAGCTGAACCGAGTCTTACGACAGACTCTTTTCGTCACAATCAACGACGGTCGACACGTATGATAATAGCGCCGCGTCATTCACCCTTCACCATTCACCATTACTTCCGTCTCGTGAGCCACTCCAACAACCTACAGAGTACAATATAGAATTAACAGACAAGCCACTTGATCTGTCTATCACCCCAGCCCAAAGAAAGATATAAACCAGTCAACCAGTCAACCAGCGAGGTAGTGAGGCAGCGGAACAGCGCAGCCTGTCAAGCAGTCATGACCTCTACATCAACATCTACATCTACGCCTCCTTCGACAACGACAATACCCAAATCCACGCGTCCAACGCACGACAGCAACGGCCAACTCCTCCCCGCAATTCTCTGCCTACACGGCGGCGGCTCGAACGCGACGGTATTCAAGATCCAAGCGCGCCGCCTGATCTGGAACCTGGAGAAACAATTCCGCTTCGTGTTCGCCGAGGCCGAGATCGAAGGCACCCCGGGCTTCGGCATGCTGCCGGTCTTTGCGTCGTGCGCCCCCTTCTACCGCTGGGTCAGCCGGCGGTTCGTGGCGGGTGAGAGCGACGTGGAGCCGACGCCCACAGAAGAAATCGCCGCCGTGGACGAGTCGTTGCGCAAACTCATGGACGCCAATGGCGGCGTCGACTCGTTCCGGGGTGTCCTGGGGTTCAGCCAGGGCGCGCGGCTGGCAGCTGGGTTGTTGCTGAGACAGAAGATTGAAGAACGAGACCGGCAGGGCGATAGTCCGTGGAAGTTCGCCTTCGGCGTCATGTTGGGCGGTCCGTATCCGCCCATTGCGTTGTCCGAACACGTCGATCCAGCAGACTATGCGCTGCTTAAGAGTGTGCCGTCCGTGCATGGCTGGGGCAGGGACGACCATGTCAAGCAAGGGTGTGAGAAGCTGGTGGCGGTGTTTGAGAGCGATCATTGTTTCCAGATGGAGTATGATGGCGGCCATCACTTGCCGTTGAAGGATGTCGAGGCTAAGGATCTTTGTGATTTGATTATGGCTGCTTGGTATGCTGGCGGTGGGAAGTTTGGCGTTGCTGCTGATGAGAGATATTAGATTTTTGAGAAGAGAGAAGAGAAAAGAGAAAGAGAAAAGAAAAGAGGAAAGAAGAGAGGAAAGAAAAGAGGAAAGAAGAGAGGAAAGAAAAGAGGAAAAGCAGCGACTGATATCTTGTTTCGAGGTTGAGAGGGGTTGGGGAGTGCTGTCGTCTTGATAAAGGGGATCCTCTACTCTACTCTCCTGGTATTGGTATGAGGGAGTCTAAGTATACTGCTCTGCTCTGCTCAAGGTTAAGGAGTCTGAAACAACAAACCATGTCGACCTGGGCACGGAAATACCCATGGTCTACGAGGTGTGACTACGTACATCGGCACGAAAGGGTTGGTGTTGCCAGGAACAGACCGTGTCGCGACGATATGGAATGAGATGAGACCAAAACCATACAACACGACACGAAACGAAACGCATGCATGCATGCATGCATGCATGAACCAGCTCGCTGCTCTATCACTCGTCTCAACTCAACGAGACCCAGAAGGGTGGTGATTCTACGAGTCAAGAGACCTGCTTTTCGGCATTACAGTATTGATGGCCCGTCTGACTTCAAGATAGAGATTGGAACGCGGGGGATATCATATACATTCAGTTTCGCAGTCGCCTTTCCATGAGTTATGACAAACACAAGAAGACAGGACAACGGACAACACCAAGACGAGGCTGAAGGACGCTTCAAACGTTCGATATGGTCCGAAAAGATACCACAGCACGCTCGACTCTTTCACAGATCAGAAATGAAGCTGAACGGGACTGGCGGACCGGACATGCAGATGCGGGAAATGAGACACATGGTGTAGCTGATAAATGATAGAACAGACAAGACAAGACAAGACCACAATTTCCAGATTCACATTGGTACAAGGATATCTAAATGCCGTCCCATCCCATCCCATCCGTACCTTGTTATTATATACCATTCAAACATGCAAGGTAGTCGACATGCAAGGTAGTCTACGACGGCCGTGACACCGCATCTCTCAGAGCCAACTCCCAAGGCCTCCATTTCGGAAACTCGAAATCATCATCGACGTGACCGGGACTTCTCAGTCGAGTCCACCACAATCTTCTTCCCAGGTAGAACATTTCAGGTGTCAGCAGGGCCTTCTGCTTGCCCTTGGCCGACCCGATGCAAATATAGGTGACGATGTTGAGACAGAAGGAGAAATCCAGCGTCCACTTGATATGCCGGGACGAGTCCACCACGGCCCACAAGACCGTCGAGGCGGCCTTGACGGACCCGAGCGTGGTCACCACTTGGAGCCATTTGACGAAGATGTCGTTGTCGAACGGAACACCCTGCATGCCTTGGACATACTCGCTCTCGTAGATCTGCTCGATGAGAGTCAGCGCGTCCGCTGGATTCTCCAGAACCACTTTGTCAATGAGGTATTTGAGCACTGCATGGTCAAGTGGCAATCCGTGCTTGGTGCGAGCTGCGTAGAAGTTCATGACCGCCGCTGATAACTCCTTGTATCCGGGTAATTTGTCTTGCTTGAGGACATCGGGAAAGGTCGAATCGAAGGCTGGTGGCCTCGTCTCGGAGATCTGGCTGCGTCGAGTCGGGACACGCTGAGATTCTTCATTGTCTGCGACGTCGGGAAGGTCAGGCATGAAAACGTCGCCACGGAAAACCCTGGTCAGTTCTTCAACTGCGTCGAGCTGCACGGCAAGGTCGCGCTTCACGTTTTCGATTGTGGTCGCTTTGATATCGTCCGGTGTGGGCGAGGTGCAGAAGCGCCGAGCTTCTTGGAGAAGCTGGTCCATGGTCATCAGAGGAGTACCGTCACGAGAGAACAGAACTTCTGATGATAGGGCTGAAGAGGCCTCCAGACGGCGGCTCAAGTCCAGCTTCACCAAGTCCACCAGCAGCGGTCTGAGGTAGTGAGGAAATGGGTCGTCGTAACATCCATGCGCGATTGCCCGGCATGTATCTGCAATGTCCCTACAGCTGGCACCGGCCTTCTGTAAGGCATGCGCAAGCTGCCAGGCGCCATTGGCAGTCATGAACCCCGAGGTCAATCTTGGGAAAGCTTCGCTGACGAGACGCGACCATTCATAGACCAAATCGTACCGATGTTCCCGAATGCATGCACATATGATTGTCCTTGATGTCCGCCCCGTCGGGATCAAGCCTGTGTACTTGATAGCGTTTATGGCAAAGCCAAAGGTTCGATGGGCAGTATTTTTGGATAGATAGTGCAATAACATCCGGTGGAAGATGGAAGCGTACTGCTCCGGTTGATGTCTGGAATAGCCCGTCTCCTGCATGCGGTCCAGGATCCATTGCGCCTCTTCCCAATTTCCGGCCCCTGCATTCCAGACGGCATATTCACCCCATAGACGCTGGGTGTTGCGCAGTTCATAAATCGAGTCAAGCTCGTCCAGAAGCGAACGTGCCGCCTCGATGTCCCCTGCGCGGACTATTGCTCGTAGAACAGGCATGGCAAACTGTTCGCTTGGCTCCTGCCCACTGCGCTGTGCAATCTTGATGACTTTCGCCATTTCTTCGATACAGACAGAATAGTCCTGGACCTGCTCACAGAATAATGTGAGATACTTGGTGGGCAAGTCAGTGGCATGGTCCTTCGCATGTCGCCCAGCCACACCGTTGTCCCATGCGAGTCTATCGGTAGGGAAGAGAATTGCGCGAGCCCGCTCATAGCTTGCCTCGGTGGAGAGTAGGTGTCTGAGAAGATCGAAAACAGGTCGGCTTAGTGCATCGCCAGGACTGAAAAGACCTCGAGCTGCATGGAACACGGCTTCTGCCATAAGCCAGTCTGGTGAACCGTCTTTCTGGATTTCATGTCTCAGTACAGCAGTCCATCTGCGAAATTGAGCGAGCTTGCTCAGCCGGCGAGTTGATGGGTGTATGAAGTTCATCAACCGTGACAATGTTTCCTGATCCACCGTTTGTGTGGCGTCATTCGCAGCCGAAGATGCAGGTGGCAAGCTGCTGGGCCGTGGAGCTCCCTTTATTGCACCGAGGTAGTCACGTAGCGCTTGTTCCATTGGTTCATCTGCATCACTCATTACCAGATGATGCGGTATCGAGAATCCCGAGACTTGGTCTTCGGACCTTTTGTTTTTGGTTTCAGAGAGGTAACGTTTGAGATCTAGATCACTCGGTCCTGCTTGGTGGTGAGAGCCGTTTGGTGATTCGTCGACTGCAGCTCCGAAGGGATAAAGCAAAGGAGTCCAACTCAAACCATGCTTATGTACCCGCGACTGATCTGCTGACTTACTAGCAACAACCTTTGGACGATTTGGCCGGCGATGCGCCGAAGGGGGTGTGTGCAGGGAAACACCTGCCGGAGATGATGCAGAGGCGTTTCGCTGCGAAGAATGAGAATCTTGAGACCGCAGCTTCTCGACTGATACCCGGAACTCGTTCGGAGGAGGCTGGAGGTTTCCTGAAATTCTTGAAAGGGGTACATCTGAGGCAGGATGGCCTGGTAGAGACGCAGTCGACCGCCTCGAGACACCACGGCTTGCTTCAAGAGTATCGTCTGTAGAAACTTTCGGCGATCGTGTGTTGTAGGATTGTGCGGCGTTTTGAGCCTTAGATACCAAGTTGTTGATAGACACAGTATCCTGACAGTTCTCCGTCGCATTGTACCCATCATCAGGCTCGACTGCCACAGACGTCGATACTTGGTTCGACGCAGCAGACACTCCCGGAACCACCTTGTCTCCCTTGCTCTCTGCTGTGCCTTGAGTCAACCATCTCTCCACACAACCTGGAAAATTCTTCGCCTTCGCTTGGTCGGGCGATGTGGGGTGGTTGTAAACTCGCTGATGGGGACGGCCATGCTCTTCTTTACTGGCAATGGCAACCTTTCTAAAGGTTGGGCCCGGCACCCGCCGAGTCGTTATAGTCGCCGCCTTGTAGGCTTGATCGGAGCTGACATGTCCTCCTAATGCAGACTGATGTCGGGGATAATGTACAGATTGATTGTCAGGCTCCGTGACAATGTCATGGGGCCGTGACTTGTAGTTGTCGTCCGAGTGGTGAGGCGCAGCAGCGGTTGAAAGAGATCTGACTCCCGGTTTCCGCCTCTTTTTCCTTGTGCTTCTTGATTGTAGAGTGAAGTCTTCCCCTCGCTCCGCAGCTTCAAAAAGAGCGTCAAGTTGCGCTGGACCTCTGCCACTCGACACCGATCTTAGAATCCGCTTCGTTTCGACGATTTTTTCGGCCACGCGAACTCGACGGCATGTTTCGTAACTCAGGGCGGCCACGCCGCATATGCTTCCTACGGTGCCGACAAGGACGGAAGGGGTAGACAGAGCTAGATGGCGAAGAGCTCGCAACGCATTCTTGGAGGGTACGAGGGTGGTGGGAGGCGGCATGAGGGAGACCGTTCATGCGCAAGACTCGGACCCTTTCTGCGAAGCCATCAAGGGTTGGTTCCTGATTGAGCGGTCGGGCTCAGAAACCGAACAGCTTGAGGCTGACCTAGTCAGAGTCTGCCGGTGGGGAGTTCTGCTGTTGTGTCTTCGAAGCCTTCTATGGTAGAACTCGACTCAATTAAAGAGGGCTGTCACGCAACCTCGAATTGTACGTAGATTGAACGTTCTCCACACGTGACACTCAATCTTCTGCCGAGAGGAGCTGCATTCCTGTTTAGGCAAGAAAGTGATGCCGCTTTACGATTACCCCTGACTCTCGCTGGATTACCTTGTCGGAACCCCTACTCCTACCTTGGATGATGAGGAATAAGTGAATGAGACTGATGGTAGAATGATAATAACGAAACGAAATTCTATAAGCGGCTGGGTCACCATGGGGGCAGTCTATCGGAAAAGCCCTATACCTTGAACCAATATCGAGCGTCAACCCAGCCGAATGGAGGTCGTGATTCGTGATCTTCGAAGCGAGCACCCACAAAGAAGGAATGTACTCGTTGACGGGAGTTGGAGCGTGGTGAACGCCACGAAATTCGACCAGGATTGAAGTGCACTGACTGAGGCATCAAACACGCTGCGACTGAGAGTTACTCTGATGACCCGGTGAAGATTCCCGCTGACATACTAGTGTTTCTTGCTCGTGTGGGTATAATGCTGTAGATTTGCGCCCGCCTGTACTGCGGTACGCTCGCTAGTCGGTGCTATGACTTAGGTGTGCAGGGACAAATACATCTCCAAAAGATCCGACAACGCCGCCATATATAGACAAGACCTGACACAAAATCTCAAGTTCAAGGAGGCGCAGGAACATCCACCTCTGACTCTTCTTCTTCTTCTCCGAGATCAAGGCTAGAACTCTCCTTCAAATACACTGAGGAGAAGTTAGCCAGTGCGCGGACGGAGTGTGGCAGGTTGGACATACCATTGGGCTTCAGAAACCAGCTGAACATGAAGACAATGACAAAGATCGAGGCCAAACAAACGAAGACGATGCCCGCATAGATCCCCACGGTCTGGCTGTAGATCAGGTTGAAGATTGTTGGAGCCACCACACGTGCTAGGGCATGTAGAAGACCGGATGCACCGAGAATCTGCCCGGTGCGATCTGCAGGGATGTGTTTGGTAAGAGATGACTGTAGCGTTGGCGAACCCATTCCACCGAGAGAAGCCACCATCCCGGAGATGACCATGATCGCACCGGACGGAGTAAAGGCGTATCCAACATAGCCAATAAGGTCGAACAGGATGGTGCCTCGGATGATATTGATGTCCAGCATGTCCGAGCCCTTGTGTCCGGCCGAGTGTGCCTGCGCAGGTCCACGAAATATCCGTGTGAGCAGAGGCAGGATGCCAATCAGACCTAAAACCCGACAGATGTTGACCGCCGATAGGAAGATGCTTGAATCCACCGCTGTCCAGCCGAAACGATACTCGGCATAGATGATGATGATCTGCATGGTTCCCATAGCCACACCAAACATCATGGTGTCAATGGCAGCGAGAACGAACAGATTCCTGCGCAGCTTCGGGCTAGAGCCTTCTCCCGTAGGTCGTAGCACCCAGAGTGGCTCGAAGATATTGTAGTTCTTGAGCCTGGCGATCCAATCTTTATGCGGTGATTGAAGATTTGCGAGATGTCGCTTCTCCTGCGCCAGGAGCTGTCGTTCCTTGGATAGGGACTCTGGTACAACAAACGTGACGAAAAGGATGAAGAAGGCGTGGCATGCAAGAGCGAAATAGAAAACCACAATGACAGCGTCCGTGAGTTTGATGAGCCATCCTGCCAGGATTGGACCTAGTGCGATGCCGGTGAATAGAGTGCCGTGGAAATAGCCAAAAGCGACATTCCTTCGCTCCGGAGTCGAGCAGTCGGAGGCGTAGGCAAAGGCCAACGCCATGGCTGTTGTAAAAGACCCGCAAAGGCCATCAAAGAGAGCCCCAAGCAGTATCCAATACACGGAGACCTTGCCGGGATTTGTCCCGACGATGATGGTGATGACTTCAGAGGCCAATGCGCCCAAGGACGCGCAGACAATGACCTTCTTCCGTCCGTGGAGGTCAGAGAGGGAGCCGAGGTAAGGAGCGATGAGGGCGGAAAACACTCCGGACAGGAGGTTGGAATACAAGTTGAATCTGGCCACGAGTGACTGAACATGAGGATCTCTGCACTGCGGATTCTCCGAGCCCATGAGCACGGGCAGGAACTTGAAGGTGGGATCCTTTGCAGCACGATCCGATAGATATCCATCACAGATCAGGTTGAGGATCAGGTATGTTTTCGGAACGATGATGCCTCCGAAAGCGATGCAGAATGGGAAGAAAGCAGGAAGCAGCCAAAAGATCTAGGAGCATGAGCAAGATCGTCCAGTATGGGAGACGGGCAGTCAGGAGCATACAGATGGCTTCTTGTACCACGGTTGGCCTGTTGATCCCTGAGCACCGTGCCAGGGCTCGTTAATGGCCCTCTCATAACTCGACCTTGCCCTCGAGTATGGTGTTTTGTGTGGCCGTCGACGGCGCGGTGATATCAATGGACTGTTTTCATCCTCGGAATCTTCATCCTCTCCTCTCAGGTCGACCTGTGCCTCGATCCCAGGAGTGGGAGGTATCGTCTCTGCCAGGAGTGCCTCCTCTTGAGCTTCCTCTGCAAAGGCCTCTTCAGGATCCATATGGTCGTTCGCACAGGGGACTCGGGGTTGGAAGGATAGAATGGCCTGAGAGGCAGGTGATCGGAACCGACTGCGAGGTTATCAAGGGGTCGTGCTATCGCATCTGCACAATCGCGTATGGGCTTCTGACTGCAACAATATTATTAATACATGGAGATCGACTTTCAATCAAGTCTCAAGGCAGCCATCAACTCGACCGAGGACCAAAGAATGCAGGCTGTCCTGTATCATAGTAGTAGATAAGATGGCCTGTCTTGACGTAATCTTCGAGATGGAGGGTGGAGATGATGCCTATTCTGGTATTGACTTGAACCGCGATCGGAGACTGTCCAAGCCGAATGATAAACGAAGACAGCGATATACACGGCGAGACGGGCTCGACGGCATACACGAGGAATGGGGCCACGTACTAGTTGTTGTTTGGCGAGTCTGGCATTGCATTGCATCCTATCGCCAGACAAGCTACAGACAAGCTATTGATTGGGGGCAGGAAAAGCGCGGACCTGCGTAGTGCATTTGGTGACAGCCGGAGATTGTAAGGGGAGGGGCCAGGATGCCAGTAAGGGGGCTCCTTGGGCACCCCAGGCCCCATGGGTGTACAGACAAGCGGTTGCTCCAGTGGCATACTAGTAATACGAGTGGCCAGACGTGGTACGGTCCGTGATTGTTAACCGTGATATGCCTCTCCCTACCTGACACAGTACTACGTAGTAGGAAATTGATAACCAGTATCATCACCTCTTTATCAGTGCCAATGGTGGAAAGATCTTCATAGTATAGCTGAGATCTACCTTGTAGCGTCCAGGAAAAGCAGGTTATGCATGGAATGCCCAGTGATGAGAGAGGAGTCCTCATGCTTTTGATTACCGCTGTATGGCACATGCCTGCCTCCCTGATCCTCTTATCGTACAGTTGGAAGAATTTTGGCTTGTTCCCCGGCAAAGAACTTCTTCTGCTCCAAACATCTCTCGCTCTTGCAGCCCTGGCATCGCAACCCCATCTGTCGGGAACAGCTGTCACCACTTTGAAGATGGGCATGGGCGATATCTGCCAATGCCTGGATGAAGACCGGGTTCCCATTGAGGCTTTCCGCTCGCTTGACGCCTGGATGGCCTTTTGCATCCTCATGCATCACCTCCTTGTCTATTTCGTAGAGGGTTTCGATGTGATCGCTGGTGAAGGCAATCGGTACCAGAACCAGATCAGTCTGGCCTCGTTCAACATAAGACCTGACCGTGTCACTCGTTTGAGCACCGAGCCATGCAGAAGGCCCGACCTGGGACTGCCAACAGAGTCGGTATGGATTAGAGAACTTGAGCCGCTGCATCACCGCATACACCGTGGCAGCGACCTCGGCGGGATATGGGTCGCCCCGATTGACCACACTCATTGGAAGGCTGTGTGCCGAGAACAAAAGAACGACGTCTTTCCTCCGCTCTTCGGGATATTCCGCAAGCTTGGCTTCAATGTTTCTTGCAAAGGCTTCGATCAATCCGGGATGCGTGGGCCATCGGTCAATGACACTCCAGGTAATGGCACCTGACGGGTGTGTTTCCCCAGTGGATTTTTTGCTCTCGAGCCTGTTCCGCCACTTCCACAATTCATTCAGCGAGCTTCCTGTTGTAGAACAACTGTATTGCGGGTATTGTGTGAATGCCACCGCCCGGCCGCCATTACCACCACCAAAGCCATCCTTCAGAAGCTGTTCATACATATGCTCGGTCAAGGGATCGGCGTAGCGGAATGCGACATAGGGACGATGGGGTGCGGTCTCGGGTGATATCTTGTCTAGTATCTTGCACATCTCGGTGCATTGATATTCTGACCATTTCCGAATTGGAGAACCACCGCCTATGGCTGCGTACTGTTGTTGTATTTTTGGCGTCCTTCTGCGCGAGATCAAAGGGCCGAGATATGATTGTAGTCGTCCAAGTGGTATCAAGTCAGCGTCGGCAAATAATCTGCTGAGGAAGTCTCCCACTTCATCGGTTGAGGATGGACCGCCCATGTTCAAGAACACCATCGCAGTCGGTCCTTTCTTGCTAGTGGAATCTTGCGTCACTGGGGGAGCCACAGTGGCCATGGGAGACTTCTGGACGCCATAAGGACTGATTAACCTAGGGGCTAATCGGAGAGCAGGGCGAGGCTGTATCTGACGAGAGAGGTGGGCTGCCGAAGTACGTATCGACATCGTGGGAGGTGAAATGCGAGTCAGTTGCTACTACCGAGCCATTGACGTACGTTCAAAAGTGGTGCGGTTTCTGGAGGGATCCTGTCGCAAAAGGACGAACGAGAGGTGGTGGTGAACAGGTTGTATTATATTACGCTGGGTTGACTTTTTGCCGCTGGGGACATTGTACGGAGAGCTGAGGTCAGTCTGTACGCAGTCAGAACAGCAAAATGATGACGATACAGGAAGTGAGTGGCCATCGAGTATTTGCGCTGCACTGCCAGTGCTGCTGCAGCAGTGGTCGCTGCAGCCACTCATGTTTCACCTATTCCGCACTTTGTACTGACACGTGACTCCGTGTCCTGCGCTGCATCTTGACGCGCCTTCGCTGCCTTTCGCGTCACCGCGCGAGCCACTCGATTTGACCGCGCTCCAACGTCAAATGGCAAATTAAACCGACAGCCAGCCCATCCCCCACTGCAGCGTACGCAAAATGGCTGATGAATTGCCATACAGATCAAAAGGCGGCGCGGACGGAGGTGCACGAGATGATGAGAATGACGACGACGACGATGAGATCGATGAGACGGGCTACAAGACCGTCAAAGATGCCGTCCTCTTTGCCATCGAAGTCAGCGAGTCTATGCTGAGAGTGCCACCAGCATCTTCCTCCAAGAAGGGCGACAGGAGCTCTCCCCTTCTGGTAGCTCTCAAATGTGCATATCATTTGATGCAGCAGCGCATCATCTCGACGCCCCGTGATAAAATGGGTATCTTGTTGTATGGCACAGAGGCTTCCAAGTTTTATGATGAGGATGAGAACTCCCGGGGTGGCTGGTCCTTTCCGCATTGCTACTTGCTCACCGACTTGGATGTTCCAGAGGCTGATGACGTTAAGGCACTGAAGGAATTGACAGAGGCTGAGTCTCCAGAGTCTGCCGAAATCTTCAAGCCGTCGAAAGAACCGGTGCTGATGCACAATGTCCTGTTCTGCGCAAACCAGGTTTTCCAACAGAAAGCCGCCAACTTTACATCGCGGCGGCTCTTCATCGTCACCGATAACGATGATCCTGCCTCCTCCAACAAAGGGTCTCGTTCTCAAGCAACTGTGCGAGCGAAGGATCTGTACGACCTGGGTGTGACCATTGAACTATTCCCCATATCGACACCAGAACACTCTTTTGACACGTCCCTTTTCTACAACGACATAATCTACAAATCATCACCTTCCGATCCAGAAGCCATCGCGTACAATCCGGCCTCCATGGTAGGCGGTGACGGTTCCAAATTGGTGGCTGGCTCCAACGACGGGATTTCTTTGCTGCAATCTTTGCTGTCCAACATAGCATCCAAAGTCACGCCCAAACGCGCGCTGTTCTCTTCGGTTCCCCTGGAGCTGGCCCCGAACTTCCGCATTTCTGTCAAGGGCTATCTGCTGTACAAACACCAAAAACCCTCCCGCAGCTGTTACATCTACCTGGGTGGTGAGCGCCCGCAAATCGTCACTGGCTACACGGAGCAAGTCGCCTTCGAGAATTCGAAGCCCATTCAAAAGACCGAGATTCGGAAGGCCTACACATTTGGAGGACAGAAGATCACCTTTTCCGACGAAGAGGTCAAGCAACTGCGCAATTTCGGGGATCCAGTCATCAGAATCATCGGGTTTAAGCCAATGTCAAGATTACCATTATGGGCGAACATCAAGAACTCGACGTTCATCTACCCATCTGAAGAGGATTATGTTGGTAGCACACGCGTCTATAGCGCCTTGCACCAGAAACTCTTCGACGATGAGCTGTTCGCTCTCACATGGTTCGTCCCAAGGCGAAACGCGACTCCCGTCATGGCTGCCATGATCCCCACTCTTCCTGCCGAAGATATCGATGGTATGACGAGTGTGGCCGGCATGTCTGCCACCGGGGCTCCTCAAGGATTACATCTAATACCACTGCCATTCGCGGACGATGTCAGACAGAACCCCCCAACGACACACGAGAAGCCCCTGGGCGCCCCGAAGGAACTTATTGCGGCTATGAGACCCATCGTCCGTAAGTATTGTAACCTAGGCCTGCAAGATTTAGCGGTATCTGATGAAGAGGGTGTAGAGCAGCTGAATCTGCCAAAGGGCATGTATGATCCGTCAAAGTATCCCAATCCCAGCCTGCAATGGCACTATCGCATTCTCCAGGCCTTGGCTTTGGACGAAGACATTCCAGAGAAGCCCGAGGACAAAACAATCCCGAAATACAAACAGATTGACAAAAGAGTGGCAAACGAGACCATAGAGTGGGGAAGAACATTGGACAAAGTGGTCAAGGAATATCAAGCCGACAATCCTGATGCGGTTCCTACGGGCTTCAAACGCCCTACAACTACCCCCTCGGTTACGTCGAGTGCCAGCACCAAAAGAGTCAAGTCAGAGACGCACGATTCAGTTAGCGAGGAAAAGGTCAGAGAGCTATGGCAGAAGGGTCAGATCGGGCACTTGACCGTGGCCCAGTTGAAGGATTTCTGCGCGTCAAAGAAGTTGCCAGTAATGGGCAAGAAGGCAGACCTTGTTGAGAGGATTGAAGGATGGCTTGAAAGCAAATGATGAATTTGAGAGCTGCCATGGCTGGTTACATGGACAACCAGACAATATCAAGATACCCCGATCCCTACCAGGACTGTACCACCATCGCACACCGGCATGTGTGTTGAATAGGATCATCGACAAGATGAACAAAAAGTGACATTTCGTTCGAAGGGTGAGCATGTGTGGTCAATCATTGCAGTCCCAGTCATATCCAAAGGATGTGACTGGCACTGCACCCAAGATCGGCCATCGTGGTTGATCTCCATTCCATTAGACGATTTCCATACTTCATGGGCACTGTAAAGGCTACCTCGTAGGAACGCTTTTTGCAGGAACGTTGGTTTTTTGCGTTGTTCATGAAGAAGAAGAGAGGAAGAGGAAAGGAAAAACGAGGAGAAAGAAAATATTGACGCGGTGGATGGAAAACCGGCGTCACGTGGAGATTATCGGGATAGTTGCCTCACTCACACCGCTAATACACATTAGCAGCGTTATCAGATAATGACGTTACGGCGGGCAGTTGCAACACCGAATGCGACGCATTGCATCCGTTTACAGAGGAATTCAATCATTCAATTCGTCCTCGTCGCTAAACACTGGCAAGTCTGTTCATCATCGCTCGATTCCAGGCATGTGCTGTTTTGCCGCTCTCGCACCAGGCTGTAACCCTTCCCACCCCAGCTTGCATGGGACTTCCATATGTAGTTCTTTTTGACAATGGCTTTCGACGTTCAACTGGCCTGACCTCACCTATCTGTCGCCAACATTGCTCGTTCCCTGATCGGTTCGACCTCCTTGTATCAAGATGGCCAGGGTCCCCTTGATCGGCAGGCTCTTTTGGTGTGAACTCTCAAGCTCCCTTACGGCTGAATGCCCTCGTGCTGACTCACGACATTATAGGCAAGAGTATCTAGCTCTGCTTGGATCTCTCATCCTCGTCGCCCTGGAAGTCTTGGTGCGATGCATCACCCTCGGACTTCGTGAGTATGTTCTGGCTCAGGCCTTTCCTCTGGCTGACAAGAGTCGTAGCACAACCCATCATCCGCTTTTGCTATAAGACCTCCAAGAACCTCTTCAATAGCTTGTCTTCTGCGAAATCGAAACAAGCCAGGTCGGAGCAGAAGTTCACCTACAGCACCATAGCGACCTGTTCCGATTTCACCGAACTGTGCGCCCTGTTCGGATACTATGCCGAGGAACACATTGTACAGACCGGAGATGGATATCTGCTGGGTGTGCATCGGTTGCCGTTTCGCAAAGGAGAGGAAGAGACTGGGACCCGGGTCAATGCTGGGCCGGACTCGATAAAGAAACCCGTGGTATACCTGCATCATGGCCTCCTCATGAACAGCGAGGTCTGGGTGTGTCTGACAGAAGAAGAACGATGTCTTCCATTCACGTTGGTCAGCCAAGGATATGATGTATGGCTGGGCAACAATCGAGGCAACAAATACAGCAAGAAATCCACCAGAGCCTCCCCGACCTCTTCGGAGTTCTGGAATTTCTCCATTGACGAATTCGCTTTCCACGATGTCCCTAACACCATCGATTATATCCTTAACGCGACCTCGCAGACCTCGCTATCTTATATCGGGTTCAGCCAGGGCACTGCGCAAGCCTTCGCAGCGCTCTCGATACATCCTGGCCTCAATGACAAAGTAAACCTCTTTGTGGCCTTGGCTCCCGCGATGTCGCCCGCCGGCCTGAGCAACGGCATTGTGGATTCTTTGATCAAGACGAGTCCCGATGTCCTATTCCTGGCATTTGGTCGGAAATCCATCTTATCTTCAGCGACCATGTGGCAATCGATACTGTACCCGCCCATTTTCGTTCGATTGATCGACATGTCCCTGGCCTTTCTCTTCGCATGGTATGGGCGCAATATCTCGGTCCAGCAGAAGCTCGCCGCCTATCCTCACTTGTACAGTTTCACCAGTACCAAGTCGGTGGTGCACTGGTTCCAGATCATTCGCAATCGGTCGTTCCAGATGTACGACGACGATTCGGCAAGCAAGTTCAGTGTCGGAGCCCGTCGCCGGTACTACAAAGTGGCCAAGTTCCCGACGCGCAACATCAGAACGCCAATCGTTTTGGTGTATGGGGGGAGTGATTCGTTGGTCGACATCCGGGTCATGTTGAAGGAACTTCCCCGCCACACCATCGCCACAGAGATCCCGCAATATGAGCACCTGGATTTCTTGTGGGCCAAGGATGTCCATACTCATGTCTTTCCCCACGTGCTTGACGCGTTGCGATACTATGCACTGGGCCGGACATCGAACGGCATCCCGAAGAGTCTCGCTCTCTCCATAGCCGACACCGCCCATCTGTACAAACGGCAGAACAAAAGCCTGAGCACCTCGACCTCGACCTCGCCCTCGACCTGGTCTGAAGAGGAAGAGACCAGCTATTCCGATTATGACGGCGCAAACGACACGCCCAAGACGCCCAGGTCCAAGTCGTTCGCCCAGCAACTGCGCGAGAGACAGTATCAAAACCAACACCACCCTCAACAAGCAAGCCGACGGAGATCGGCGTCGTCTCCGACAACATCGAGTTTCATGACCTGGGTCGAGCAATACTACAAGAAACAATCCCGACCTTCTCAAGGAGCTCAAGCACCGGGGCCGGCCGTGGATCCTGCTGGGTCCAAAAAAGGGGGAGAGGAAGAGCAAGAACAAAGTCGTATAGATAAAAATGCACGCTCTCATGGGATCTCATCCAAGAACAAACCGCCGGGACTGGGTTCCCCGGCATCGCCGTCACCGTCACCCTCGTCCTCACCATCCGCTCATCGCCCCGCAACTCCACCACCTTCCTCGACACCGAATAACAAACATAAGTCCTCTGACGCGGTCGCGGTCGCAGTCGGAGCAGACGCAACACCAACAGCAGCAACAGCAGCAAATGGCCGTGCACCGAATCTCCAGTCCCCTCTACAATTACATCACCGTGACCATCAGAGAGACAGGGCGCGAACCACAGAAGGAAACAAACCTCGTCGACGATCACGGTCGCGTGAAACCACCAACAACTCGGACGACGAATCCAGCGACGGCCGGCGCGCTCCAGGCTCCTTCATATCGGGATCGGGGTCGGGCCGGTCCAGTCCCAACCCGATCCGCCAGCACGCGTTCACGTCCAAGGGTATCCGTATTGGGAGTTCGAAGCCCAGTGTTGGGACGGCCATGAGTTGAGAAGGGCTGAGCACCTCGACAGAGTCAGAGTGGTCTCAGTCAGCTGAATTTGGATTTGGTCGATGAGGACCTCTCGACGGACGAGCTTTCACAAATAGATGGTCAGTCTGTCCGTTCATGGAGGGCGGGGGGTGGCAGATGGGTGTGTCTACAGACGGTCGAGAATGGGGAATGATACGTCTAGACTTTCGGAATGCCCACAAACAAACGATTAGAGGATTCTGATGGATGGCCGAAGGACAATAAAATAATGTCTTGCTTCAAAGCTACTTACTTACCGGACGGAGGATACATAAAAAAGGGGTGGTGTAGCGATTACGGCCTATAACGGGAGAAAAACACATCTCCTCCTTTTACAATTCCTTTTTCCCCCGAACAGCAAGCAAGCTTGATATATGTTCATTATTAATGGCATTTACAGAACCCACAGCGGTCGTCCTCTAGTCAAGTCGAGAGAACAAAAAAAGAGTGATGCCGACGCTGGTGGACCATTGACTTCACTGATACCATTCAAATGCCCATCAACAACCCAGGCCCGCACCCGATGGAGGGATTTTACGAAGGTATCTAGGCTGTTCAAGTTGGGAAAGATATCTTAGTTCAACCCTCGCCGCTAGAGTCTGGGAATGGAATCCGACTTCGATCCCAGATGATCAACGACAAAAACGAAGATCAGATTATGCAGTAACTCCTGCACCATGCAAATGAATCCACGCCATGCAAACGCAGATGAATGAATGTAATCGGACACAATTCCAAGTTCAAGTCCAAGCAAACCGCTCGAGACCCGGCCAGAAGAAACGGGAACGCCGATCCAATGCTTGCCTAGTTCCATGCTTTCATGACTCGTTCTTTTTTCCCCCTTCCTTCTATGCCTCGTCCCATCGTGCCCTTCTGCGCCACCCATATGTTCTGATAGACCGTCACTGGTATGCCTTTGTCGACTGTTCATGTACAAGTCGAGACGAAACGGCACCGCATCACGTATCGACGATACCTTGCGGAATAGGTGCGATCGGTTCAACAAGCGGGCGCTGCAAGAATGACGATACGCCGGACGTAGTGTTTGTTGGCTGTGATGGCTCACGGCTTGATCATAACGCGGCGGCTGCTCCAGCCACCGCAGCCAGGACAGCACCGATCATCGCGCCTCGTGATGCACCCTTGCTCGGCGGTGCTGCGTTGTCTGTACCGGCGGTAGTGGTGGCACTGGAAAAGCCGGTGACGGTCGCTGTGGCACCGCCGAGCCTTGCGCCGCCCGTGCCGGCTGCGATGTCTGTGACGGGGTTTGCGACGGGGGTGGCGTTGGGGACACCATTCGCGCCCTTTGTAATTTCCCGGATGTCATCTGTAGTCGAGTTGAAGACGGTTTGGGCGAGAGAGATCTCATTGTTGGCCAGGTCGTAGACGACATATGCGGAGCGGAGGAACGTGTCTCCCAAAACGGGCGTGGATCCGGAAGCGGGCGCTACACCGAACAGGCAGGCTTGTGCGCCGTTCTCGAAAGTCAAAGGCTGACCGTACTGGTTGGTTCCGGCATCGAGAAGCAGCTCGTTGTAAGGGACCTTGATGGTCTGCCCGGAGAATGTCAAGTCGAGAGTGGCATCCGACGATGCCAAGGAGCAGTTTGCGTAGGCGGCGCCGACGCTAGAAGAATAGACGGCTTGGACTTGGTCGTAGATTTGTTGCGTGATGTCGTTCGGGAGGTAGGTGAGGGTGGCGCCCGAGTCGAGAAGCACGGCCGCGGGCAGAGAGCTGGATGTTGACAGATCTGTTCCGGCCAGGGTGACACCGGTCAAGGCGACAAGAAGTTCGTAATAGCCGCCATAGCTCTGGATGACTGGCACCGTGGCTAGATCCCCTTCGTATTTGGCCGTGTTGACACCGCCGAAGAGGATCTGACCGGTCGAGGCGTCCAGGTCGTTCAGCCACAGACTGTAGGCATTGGAGGCGATCTTGCCCGCATCGACCAGGGCAACAGGTAGGTTGGGATAGGGATCAAGACCTGCGCGGTTGACTTGGACTTCGTTGGAGGCATAGCCGATTCCCAGGACGCCCTCATCGGACGTGGAGAATTCGCCAATGCCGAATTGGAAGTCGGTCAAGGTCTCACCGCCGAAGTGGAGGGTGTCGGACACGTAGTCGCCGGAAGCGCCTGAGCCGTCGACGTAGGAGATGTTGAAGGCATTGTTGACGAGCTTGTAGGTGGAGGAGGAGGTGGGATCGTAGGTGCCGCCGTCGCATGGATCGCCGCGGGATGTACACAGCGAAGAGTTGGCCGTGTTCACCCACAGATCCGAACTGCCCGTGTCAATGTGTAATCGAATGGCTTGCTCCGGCGTGCCCAGGGAAATGTTCGCAAAGTACAGACTCTCCTGGTTGTCCAACGTCTGCTCGACTGTCCCTGCTCTTTTGCTTAACCGTGCTCGGTCGTGGGCGAGGATGTCTTTGGGCGCTCTTCTTTCGATGGGCAGGCTGAGGACTCTGGGGGTTTCGGAGCGAGGAGCCAGATGAATGGCGGATATGAGAGGGATGGTGGACGCGGCGAATGCCACTACCGCAGCGGTAGAGGATCTCATCTTGAAGCTTCAACGACGGTGGAAATCTCCCTGTCCTTCGTCTTCCTCTTTCGTCGATGCCCTCCTAGTCGCAATGAAGGGACCGTGACCGTGGATTCGATGCCTAGACAGTATTGAAAAGATACTAGTATCACTGGTGGTGCAGTACCTATGGAACAAGCACCGGAAATGAAAGTGAGGTGTGACAATAGCTTTACGAGCGATCGAAGCAAAGAAATAGACCCACGTAAAGAAATGGATAGTGGATGAGACGGGACAGAAACGGGGAAGGAAGAAGAGGCAAAGAGAGAGCAAGACGAACAAATCGTTGATATTACTCCATGCCGGTGTGTCCAGAGGATTGCAAGCTGTGGTACGTACTACTTACTGAGGCAAAGCAAAGCAAAGCAGGTCGGCGTCATCTGGCTGGCTTCGGGCTTTTTCGGTGATGGCGATGATGATGCTGATGATGGAAGTCGAGTCAGGCAGGGCCCAGTGCCACTGCAGTGGTGGAGATCTAGGCGCCATGGCGCAGCAATAGGTGCCTTATTAAATGCTTTAGGGGCCTAAGGAGCCTGGGCGCCAACGCTTCCCCCGGTGTGTGGGCGCATTGGATTGGTGCATCGGCGAGGTCGGAAGATGGTGCCAGTTCCAAGATCTTAACTCTCGGATCTGGCAGGCTTAGAGCTTGGACTAGGTTCGCACCCAAGCCTCTAACCACTTCGAATATGGACGATGACGCGGACAGGTTAGGTAAAAGACCAGTACCAGTTCGGTGCCAAGTTACTGGTGGCGGCACCTAAAATGCCACCTTGTCGGCCATGATTCTAGGCGAGGCATTACCGAGACGTATGCCCGGGGGCGCGGACGGGTGCCCTAGGTGCCTCATCCAGGTGCCTATAGCTCCAAAGGACCCCCAACGCGTAGTACAGTTCCGGGCACTCGAAACTGCGCGGCATGCTTGATCGATTCGTTACACGCTGACGTGGCGAAAGGTCATGAGGCGACAAGGTGGCGACGCGTTTCTCTATGGATTGCTCACCATTCCATCGATCTGTGTTTCAGCCTGCTTATGTGTGCAGCGCAGCGTGTGGTGGCCTCGCGGTGTGGCGCCAGGAGTTTCGTAACATCTTGTCTGCCATCTGGGAGTCAGTCTGAGTGCTCGTAGGATCGATCCTTGGCCAGGCGGCCTCAGATCTAAACTTGGAGAGACTTAGGAGGCCGAGTACCGGTCCTGGCGCCCTACCACTGCAGAGCACTCAGCCTCCTTCTGCCTCTGGCCCCAGGGCTGTGGTATGGCATTACCTAAGCAGAGCCCCTGAGCATATCAGCCTTTTAAGCCCCGTCTCAGCCTCATCTGTCCAGACCCCAACCATTCAAGACCCAGGTCTCCCATTAACAACAAAGAGATGAAACACTTCGGCCGCCGTTCTGTTTCATTCAACCCCGTCCAATGCTTCATTAGACACTGATAGGTAGGTAAGTAATACTGGATCCTCTACAAGCACATCCGTTGTCTCCCCCGTCCATGCTTCCAGTCTACAACACATACCCGCCACATCCCACATTTGACCAATGTCGAATCGGTCGCGTGTCCTCCAGTTCGACACACCACCACAGGATCTCTTTCGCCCGGTCTATTTCCCCTCCCAGTTCATGAGCCCGCGCCAATGCGAACCAGGCCTCTGGATTGTCCCAGCCTGACCCCAGCTTCGTGAGCGTCGACAGCAATCCATATGCGCGATCTCGAGCTGCCAGACGGTTGAGGTTGTCCGGCGTCTTCTTCAGTTCGTCGTCTTTGGCCCCGCTGGCAGCATTCGCTGTCGTCGACGCCGCCTCCTTGGCCGTGCTGCTGCCCGGGCCAGGCGGGCCGTCCACCAATCCCCCTTCCGAGTTCCGACTCAACTCCCGTCTGTGTCGTCGCGATCTCTCCTCCGGGGCTTCGTCCGCCTGCCCTTGCCCACCATCCACCCGTTGTGCCAATTCCACTTTGCGCTCGTAGTAGTCCAGGAGCACGTTACTCAGCCCAACGATTCCCCCGGCGTGGTTGGCAACGTACATCAGACATTGTTCGTACTGATCGACCGCCTCGCGCACGCCCTCGCTGTACCCTTGGCCTTCTTTCTCTTCTCGAGCTCGTGCAATGGCCATCGAGAGCTCGGCTCGTTCATAGTAGACGTCCGCCCAAATTTCGTCCGAACTCTTGCCGCATCCTCCCCATCCAGCATCACTGAATGCTCGCGCCGAACTCTCCACGCTGGCAATCATGCCCTCTATCTTCACTGCCACCTTGGCGGCCTCGTCGCAAGCTTCTCGAGAGTCGTCAAAAATGCTGGCCCGTCGGTACAGGGTGGCAATGACCAGCCAGATCTTGACCAACATTGTAAGCGCGTATCTCTGCGATGCCGAGGTTGGGAATCGACACGTGAGATCCGTCCGAGTTGTCCGTGATCCTGCAAGGGGCAATCGCACGTCTTGCTCCGGCGGCTGACTTTCATGGCGCGCAGGTCGTGGTAGCTCATCGTGTGCTCCAAGGTTATGGGCAATCTCTTTCAACGGCTGCTTGGCTTCTTGAATATTGTCATGATTCGCAGACACTGGCACAGCCGGCACCTTCTGCGAGTCGATGGGCTTCTCTTCCGAGCGCGCCATGTCTGTCGTCTCGTGGCTGGCCTCGACTGATTTTCTCGTGCCGTTCGTATCGCTGCCATCTTTCCTCCCTCGACTCTGCGAGAGAGAAACCCGACGCCTAGGTTTCTCCTTTGTGGCATGGTCAAGAGATAGACGAAAAATCTTATGTTTGTGCGGCGAGGGCTTCTCGTCCTCATTCGTGATTTGTATTGCCGGGGCGTCCGACGGTTGGGTATTTGGTCGTGGCTTCTCGTTCGTTGATGAAGGGGCGTCATTCGCTCTCGGCGCTCGCTCAGTATCACGCCCTGCCTTTCGTCGCGAGAAGACACTGCCTCGAACGCTCTTAACCGTACCAGCAGAGCTTTTGGGGCGTTCCACTGTCCTCGCCCTGGACTTTTCCTCTGTCCCAACAACACCCCCAAAACGTCCAAAGAGCCGAGAATACAATGCCAGTAGCTCATTGCTCCGGTTGACCGCATTTCCCGGCCCTTCCATCAGCTCCATCAGTGCAAGTTCCGTGATCCGAATTTCAATGATCTTCTGCAGTTCCTCGCATTCCATATCGTCTACCAGCCCTGACTTCTGCGCTGCAGTCGCCTGTTTCTCCCCTTCTCCAACGAAAGGGCCGAACATCACGTCAGGTGGTGGGAATTGAGCCAACGCCGCAACACAGCTCTGGCTCGCAGTTTCAAAGTCCTGCCTTGACGTGAGCAGAAGAGCCAACAGGTGCCAAAAAGGTAGTAACTGCCTAGGCATCCGGAAGGAATGGGCTGCTGTGTCTCTGGTCAGATCAGACGTCAATACCGTCTTCACGACCGCGATGGCTCCGTCGATGTCACGCGTCTCTGCGAGCAACCGACTGAGCGCATAGAGAGACTTCAGTTGCTGTTCCCGAGGCAGCATCTGTGAAACAGCCCGGTGGAAAGATTGAATGGCGTCCGACTGCAGTTCGGACCTTTGTTCGCTGACTGGCGTCCAACGAGCCCATTGGGACTTTGCGATGCCGATGGCTCGGTAAGCTATGTCCACTACGTCGGCGGAAAGAGAGAGTGGCCCAGAGCCGTTGGTTTGCAACGCTCCATTTGGCGCCTCCGATTCATTTGCTGTTGGGGTTGCCGATGGAGATTGAAGGTCTGCCATGAGATCCTCGAGTTTCGAACACAAATTGTATGCCTTCTCAGCCTCGGACCGCCGCCCGAATGCACAGAGACCCTCGATGCCCTCTGCAATGGTCGTCAGGAAAATCTCGTTGCTGTCTCTGGCCCCGATAGGATCATTGGATTTGGCTTCTCGTGCACGCGCCCTATCCATCAGCTCAATGTATGTGTCCAAAGCCTTGTAAGCAAGGTCAAAGTCCGTCAGAGCTCTATGCACCTGGAATAACCGTCTTAGGATGAGTGTAGAGTGGAAGGTCTTTGTCGCTGCCCGATACAGCATGTCAAGCACATTTCTGCCCACCGAGTTACGGCCGCCCTCTCCTAGGTCCGTATCCGACCAGTCGGGGCCACAGAGGGCCTGCCAATTGCGGATCAAATCTTCCACCCATTCTTCAACGGCGGCGTTGGTCTCGTTTGCTTTCGGGAACTGTGTATGTCGCAGCAGTTCATTCTCGCATGAGGTTTCCACACGACGCAGTTCAACTGCCAGATCAGGACGGGCCATTGAGACAGCCTGGAGTCCCATTGCGCCCTGTTGCAGGATAATTGACAGAAACCGATAGTAAGATCGCCACACCGCGAGTTTGGAGAGATGGCCCGGCCCGTTGCCGTATGTTGCAGGCGAAATGTCATTGTTCTTGACCGCCAACACTGCCCAATGACGGTATGCCTGGAGCCTGATTGGTAAAGACTCGTCGGAGCTGGCAGTTGCAGCACCGCGTTGGAGGACTGGGTCCCGGCCCAGTGCTATGCGAGCAAGAAGCTGCTGCGCCCAATACAGGAGTTGCTTCGTTGAGACCACAAGGCTGCGGTTAGAGTCGAGCCACGGCAGAATCGTGCGGTGCAATTGTCTTGCATTTGCTTCCCCACCGGCCTGCTCCAGCAGCATCCCTGTAATGTAAACACTCTTCACCACGCAGATCTTCGTCCAGACAGAAGTGGCATCGGCAGCGGTGCGAGAGGGTTCGAAGCTGAGCGGAGAGGGCGACTTGTCCCTCGGTAGGAAACCGAGCCAACGAGCCCATAGCAGGGCTGTATGTCCTTGAACCACCTCTTCAAATGGCTGTCCACTCGCGCGCAATTGTGCTTCGAGGGCGGCGACTTGGGAGTCTGGCAGGGCCGAATTGGTAGTTGCAGTGCCTGGTCTTCGACTCGCTGTGGTCGCACGATTTGCGATTTCGAGTTCGAAGCTGGCAACCTCGGTCAAGCCTGTAGCCAGAGTGAGCGTCGAACACAATTCGGATTGGGGGCCATACATTTGCGGTCGGGAGCGTGCTTCCTGACCTTTCTTATGAGTTCGGGAAGTTCTTGCCAGTTCCCAGCGACGCGCGCCGCCTCTAGAAGGCCAATGTACCGCTGGGCCTTTTCAGGATGTGCCTATCTTCAATCAGCAAAACAGTACATCTTGAGCGACGAAATGCGGGCATTGAAGTACATGGATCACAGTCATGGTGACCGTCGCGTCTGGGAGCCGTCCTGGCCCTCAGTCGCTGAAATTGGAACGGTCAGATCGACAGCATGGCTGCAATTCTATCGACGCGCAAATGCTGCGCCAACCTGATGTTTGTGCTTTGGAAGACACAAGTTGTCTGTCGCGCCCAACGTGTGCTTGCGTGTGGTTGCGACTTTGGGGTAGTAGGCAGAAGTAATGACTGTCTGACGGGAATGCCTAACATGTTTAGCTAAAGATTAGCAGCGAGATAACCACAATTACACCCTGTCTGACCGGCAATTAATGACTGCGCTGTCCTCTCGCCTCAACTGCGTTCATCGGGACAACTTCGGCAATCAATCTCAAAGACTCCAAAAAATTCCTCAACAACAACGACAAAGCAATGTTTCAATGTAGACGCTGGCACGACAATATTGCACAAGATGCAAGGCCACAGCTCTCTCCGAGCCATCACCAACCGCCTGACAGTAACACCGGCCGAAGATCTACCTCGAATCTGCGGGTTTCTGGCAAACCAACTGGCAAATTGTTCCCTTGAATCTCAATTCTCCGACCTGAAGGGCAGCAGTTCCTCTGTGGCCGCCCACAAGTTGAAGACTCGGATCAGTGCTCTGCTTCAGGACAGGACTGCTTCTGGACGACTTACCGCTGCGGTCCTCATCAAAGCTGTCGTGGAGAATGGCGGGCAAAACGTCTTGTCTGCTTCCGAGAGCTGGGCCAGAGGACTGCTTGGCTGTTTGAATAAGCCCGACGCCAACGAGATCAAGAAGCTCTATCTGGTTACCATCACCCGCATCTTCCTCCTTACACAAGACCAGCCTCATCTGGTGCGGGAGATCACAACGCCCCTACTCCCGCACTTCATCAAAACCTGCCTCGGCCTGATCAAGCCCCATGAGACCCAAATCGGTGGGCGGTCCGCACGAGTTCCTAGCCCACTGCTGGATACGGTACTGAAATGCTGGGCTCAGCTCCTGCCTCAGCATGCACCGGTTTTCCGCCCCGAGCTTGCGCGTATCAAGGCAGTTTGCCATGGCGTGGTCGGCGCTGAGGGATCGTCTATCTCGTCCAGAGATCTAGCGATCAGACTCCTGTGTCTTCTGTTGTCGTGCGCTCCTAAAAACTCCCTTCCTCAGGAATGGTCTCAAACAGCCACCAAAATCATCAATAGCGCCCACGAGACCGCTGACAACCTTTTTAGAGCGGTGCTGGAAGAATACGAATCTAATGACCCTGCTCGGCAGAAGTCAATTGGCAAACAAGATTTTTCCAAGGAACCACGTCTTGCAGGAAACGATTCAGTAGGGCTGGGTCCCTGGAACGGTATCCATCAGGGCAGCATGAGGCTTTCGGCATTGTTGACCTGGCTCGGAAGTCTCCTTTCCACCCCTACATCTCAGGCCGTGGCCGTTCCGGTCGGTGCGGTAATTGACCTGACCACCCGGATTTCAGCAATGACCGATCCTCCCAGCCCGGAGCCCTTGAGATACCACAAAGAGGCAAGTAAGGAGGAGAAGGAGGAACTCAGAATGTATCTTCCTTCGCTTCACGTCTCTTGCCTCCATCTCCTGTATGTCATGTGTAGGAAATATGGGCTGCTGGTACTGCCTATGCATCGGTCTATTGCCAGCCAAGCCATAGGCTTGCTTCAGGCGCTACCTTCCCATGAAGGCATCAGACAAGGCGTATACGACATATTTGGCTATCTGATGGAAGATTCCAATCCGAATGAATTGGCGCTGTCTCGCGATCAGGTTGCGGTATCGGTTACAGAATGCTGCCACGATTTGAGAAGGGGGATCCCGGGCTTAGACACCCACACCGATGCAAATGACGCCACGGACGGCGCACTGAGGGTGAAACCTGATCACACCAGGAGCAGTGCACAGGAGAAAAGCACAAGAGATACGCGCACCTCTCCCTGGGATTGTGGTGTACAGGCGAGCGCTTGGAGCCTCTTGCCGAAGCTCCTGAAGCGCGCACCGACATCTTTGATACCGCGTCAGCTGAGGGCTGAGATGGACAGGCTGTCCGTATTGCTCGATCATCGAGAAGCTATGCTCTCAAGTGTGATGCGCCCTGTGCTATCAAAGGGCGGCAAAGCCAGCACCCCTAGCCTGCTGCCATTTCTGGCCAGATCTGCGGGCAACGATCTCGCTGTCGAGGCACTATTCAGGCCTCGAATGCCTGTCATACAGATAGGAGCGTCTGCCGGGCCCGATCCTTCGGTGTCTCAGCTCTCAACAGATCAAAGAAGCGAAGAACGTGATCCTGATCATGCTGACGATGCATCGTCCCAAAGCGACGACTCTATGAGCGAACAAGGCTCCAGCTCACTCAAAGACGATGGTGACCATGAGACAGGGGAAGGAGTTAAGAACACAGAGGACCGTGGACCGGTGCCGGATATTGGTACCAAGAAACGCACATTCGTCGATATCGCCGAGACTCCCGAAGAAGCTGTCCCCGCAGAAGAAGCTGCTGATAGACGGGAGGTCAAACGGCCGCGCCCAGAGGAGACGGCGATGCAGGTGCGGCCTTCAGCGCCGCAAGGGGACTCTATGGTAGAAGAGGAGGCCACCGAACCAAAGCTGACCAGCTCTCGAATCGGTGGTGTGAGTCAAGCGCAGGCGAGACTCTCAGCTTCACAGACAGTCTTTGAGCCATCTGCAACCAGGCTGCCTGCTGCAGATCATGATGGCGAAGACAGCGACGACTCCGAAATCCCCTCGATCGATGCTGGGTTTGATACTGACGAAGAGGAGGAAGAGGATGACGATGAGGAGCAGTGATAGTTTTACGTAAACATATCAAAATGCTGTAGCTGTCCGTTCTTGAGAAATATACATTGAGCGGCTGGCTGCTCTGTCGACCGCCGCTTTCCAATCCATCTGCCTAGAACAACCTCCCGCTGGTATTAAAACATCGCGTAGGTAGGTTACCAGCTCGCCAGGTACTTCTATCCATGCTAGCACCTTCACTCGAAAAAGGATTCTGCCTGACAATATAATCTGCCTGACTCTATGGGATCAAGCGCTGCCAGCGTGATAATGGACTGTCTGACAGGACCTGCTGCCTTCAACATGAAGTTTGCCTGCGCTGCGGATGACCGTAGTAGCGTGTTTCAAGATCTTCGCGAACTTGAAATAGTAAACAACGAGTCTCATCTCAACTTCACACACGTCAAGCTACTTCCAGCACAAAGGGAGAACACTCATAAGTCTGCCTTGATCTCTTTGCCTTCACTGTTCACCCATGATGTCCATGAAATCCAGCCCAGAAGCATCAAAGGCTCTTAAACCCGTCAAAAGTTGCCACTACTCTCCACTCTCCACTCTCCCTTTGACTTGAACCGTTTGACATCTGGCCACCCATCATCTGCAGAACCCAAAAGTCCCCATCGTTTGAACCCCTGCAAAAAAAAAAAGGAGCTTCAATATGTCCAAAGCAAAACGGAAAGCCGTGGAAGTGGTTGACCTCACTGGCGACGATGGTTTCCGCTCAGCAGGACCCGCGCGCTCCAAAGTTCCCCGATCGAACTCGTCCTTCTCATCCTCGCAGAATCGTGCATCTCTCCCGACACCGCCATCATCCAGCCAGACTAGGCGTGAACATGGACATGGATACACTCCTGGTCTTCGATCTAGTCAAGGCTACAACAACAACAACAACAATTACTCTTCCTCATACAGTCAATCCACGCCGACACACAGCAAAGCCGAGCGCGCCAGCTGGCTCGCCTCCACGCAGGAGGAAGAAGCCGACATTGCCCGCGAGATCGACCTGACCGAGGACTTCGACGACGACGTGTACGAGAACTACCAGCTCTACGGGATTCTTGACACCAAGATCGTAGGATGTCGGTTCTACGACGGCCGAGCCACGGTGGGCGAATACGTGCGCGTGCGGCGCGAACCCAGCAATCCCTACGACAGCAATGCGATTCGCATTGACAATGTTCTACGCGACCAGATTGGCCATATCGGTCGTCAGGTCGCGGCCAAGCTGGCGCCCCTGATGGACTCGGGCTCGCTGCTGATCGAAGGCGCGCTGACTGGACCCAAGACCTTCTATGACTGTCCGATCGGTTTGAAGTTGTTCGGCACTAGTGATCCCGTGGCTGGGGCGGCGCTGTGTCGCCAGATGCAGGATCTACGCTTACCGGTGACTCTGTATGTGCGGGCAGAAAAGGAGAGAAAGAAACGAACCCAGGAGCTGGAGAAGCAGATGAAAGCCAGGGAGAAGGCAGCCGCGGCCATGCAGAAACGCGGTAATGCTGTGATCGACCTGGCCGGCCCGAATAGATACAGTAACCTGGGCATGCTGGCTGGGATGGGGAGCAGTCAGCCGCCGGAATCTATGGACCAGCTCCTCGACGGCACGGCTATGTTCAATCCGCGCGATGTGCAGGACGTCGTGAACAGACTGGGAGCCGGTGAGGATGTGTTGGCGAAGATGCCCATGGCAGAGCAGCCCAATGAACTGGCGACCGTTTTGCTGCCGTACCAGAGACAAGGACTGAAATGGATGCTGGACCACGAGTCGCCACAGCTGCCTAAGGACCGTGACGATGTTGTTCAAATGTGGAAGAAGGCAGGAAATGTCTACACCAACATCGCCACGAACTTCTCCTTTACCAAAGCGCCGGAGCTTGCCAGTGGTGGTCTGCTGGCAGATGACATGGGTCTGGGTAAGTTGGATATCGCAGCGATTTCGTCACCCTCTTGCTAACATGGGGCCTCTTTTGCAGGTAAAACAATCCAGATCATCTCCTTGATCATGGCTGATCCTCGTAAAAATGGACAGCCGACTCTGATCATTGCACCGCTCTCTGTCATGAGCAATTGGAGCCAGCAAGCTGCCCTTCATGTGAAGAACAAATACACTCCACGAATTCTGACATACCACGGCCAGGGCAACACAGACCTGTCCCCGAAGCAGTTACAAGAGTACGACATTGTCATCACGACTTACCAAACGATGACCCGGGAGCTGTTTGCCTACGGCGCGCCGAAGCCGCTGCCCACGCCCGCGGCGAAAGGGTTGTTCTCTGTGACCTGGCGACGGATCGTCCTTGATGAAGGCCATCAAATCCGCAATCCCAAGGCAAAAATGGCCCAGGCTGCGTGCGCACTTGTCGCTCAATCTCGATGGGTGCTGACTGGGACGCCTATCGTCAACAACCTCAAAGATCTGTACTCGCACGTCAAGTTTTTGCGTCTCAAAGGAGGCCTGGCCGAATTTGAGATTTTCAACTCTACCTTGATCCGACCCTTGAAGAACGGTGAGAATGGGGCTCGCTTGCTATTGCAAGCTCTGATGTCAACGCTGTCTCTTCGTCGCATGAAGGATATGAAGTTCATCGACCTCAAGCTTCCGGAGATCACCTTCCACAAATACGCAGTCAAATTCCTACCTCACGAACAGGAACGATACGACGCCTTCAAGAGTGAGGCCAAAGGACTGGTGGAGGCCGCAAAGGCGAAGAAGGGTGACAATACTATGACAAACCTTCTGGAAGTTCTCCTTCGTCTTCGCCAGACTTGCAACCATTGGAAGATGTGTGGCGAGGACCGAGTCAAGAAACTACTCGAACTGGTGGAAGGCGAGACGCTGGTGGACGTAATGAAGCCTGAGAATCGAAAGGCTCTACAGGATCTCTTGCAGCTTCAAATCGATTCTCAGGAAGACTGCTGCGTTTGCCTCGACTCTTTGAAAGCGCCTGTCATCACCGCCTGTGCCCACGCATTCTGTCGAGATTGCATAGAACGAGTCATCGAAACGCAGCACAAATGTCCCATGTGTCGTGCGCAATTGGCAAGCAATGATCAACTGGTCGAACCGGCGGCAGGATTTGGCGAAGGCGATAGACCTGATCTTGACATAGACCCAGACGTGACCAGCAGCAAGATCGAGGCTCTCGTCAAGGTCCTGAGGGCATCAGAAGCTGATCCAGACGTCAAAACGGTGGTCTTCTCGCAATGGACGTCATTCCTGGATCTTGTGCAATCCCAGCTTCTACGACACGGGTTGAGTTTCACTCGGCTGGATGGCAAGATGAACTCGGCGCGCCGGGACGCGGCAATCGATTCCCTCGACTCGGACCCCTCGTGCAAGATCATGCTCGCCTCTCTTTCAGTCTGCTCTGTTGGACTCAATCTTGTTGCGGCCAACCAAGTCATCCTCGCGGATTCTTGGTGGGCGCCCGCGATTGAGGATCAAGCAGTCGACCGAGTCCATCGGCTGGGTCAGATCAGAGATTGCAAAGTCATCCGCTTGGTCGTTGAGGGGACGATTGAAGATGAGGTGCTAGAAAATCAAGCCAAGAAGAGAAAGCTCGCCAGCGACGCGTTCGGAGATAGAAATGCAGGGAAACAGCGCAAAGAGATGCGTGCAGGGACGCTGGGTGATATTGAGAGACTGCTTGGTTGAGAAGATGAGGATTCTTTCGGTGGAGAATGTTGATTGTTTGAGAAAAGAGATGTCCGTGGCTTGACAACAGTCAATCTGGGGAGAGACCTCTCTCAAGAAAATGCTCTTTCCCGTGTTGACACCCCGGCGACAAATCCTCAAAGAGGGAGATTTGATCGAAGGACCGGTACAACATGGTACTTTTCGAATGTGTCATTAGACCCTGCATCTGAAGGGTGTTGAGATTGATCGAAGCAATCGGATGCGAATAGCGCGCCCTGGCCAACACAGTCTTCTGGTCCCGGAATCGATCGGCAGGTGTCATTTATGTGTCCCGTAACTAAGGCGCCGTCATGAGGCTCTTGCTCTGGAAGCTCATATTTCCCGGATGCTCTAAGCTGGAACCGTGTTGGCGGCGCAGTCTCCATGCGCTCGGTGTCGCCATCTTCATAGCCGATGAACGGCGAACAGCGTGGTCGGAAAGGCTCGAGACATCTACCTGGCCGACTTTGATAAGCAAATGTGGAAAAGGTGCTGCAAGAATGGTCTGATGTTGTCTCTAGTTTTGCACATAGTTTGAGGCTTGTTTAGGCCGTGGGGGCGCCATAGCAACCCGGTAGTGAAAACATCATCATCGGAAAGGACAGGGAAAGGCTGGATGCCCCGAGAAATGGGCATTATTGGGCAATGCCTGCCGACCAGGGAGCCTAAGCCCCAGTATTAGGAAGCCTAAAGTCGCCCAAGCTTAACCACCCGCAGAACGATGGGGCGGTCGTTGAAATTGGACAACAGGCCGCCTTTCGGGGCTTATCGCCGGTGGAATTGGACGGCGTGAGGCTAGGGCATCTTGTTCCTGTGGCTGGTCTCGCACATGTGTTTCCACTCTCTTGTGTGTCTTAGATTTCCCTTCTTTTCATCTGTCCGGCAGGCCGTTGTCTATTGGCGGATCCGCGAGACGCTTCGAGGGTCGAGGAGGGTCGAGCAGGGTCGAGAGAGGAGAGAGGAAACGAGCGAAGAGATGAGAGAAGCTCCGCGCAGTCGATGTTCACTACCATTGGATCAGCCATTCCTTCACCGCATTCACATCGATCTCGTGAACAATTCCATCACTGAAGGAAGCACTGAAGCATCTCCAAGTCGACGTCACCAGGATGGTGGAAGTGCTGTGGGTGGTCAAACTCGGTGGGCTTGCAAGGAGCGAGAAGTCGTCTGTTTGGCTGGGTCCCGGGGGGTCTCCTTAGCCTCTTTAGCCACGGTGTTTGGTGAAGCTAAGGAAGAAGCTCGCAGCTGGCAGCTCCAACGACTCCGCCTGTAGAAATAGACAGCTTGGATATCGCGGGTGTGCGGGGGGAAAGAAGGGAAGAAGTGAAGAAGTAACACCGAGCCAACCCTTGCTAACTTACCTGCCTACAGAGTAAACGCCTGATGCAGTGAGCCACTGACTGGCTGACTGACATACCGACCTGTTACCTCACACTGCACCTCACACCTGCTTCCTCCTCGACTCCAACATCTCGACCATTTCTTCCCAGCTTTGCTGGAGATGACATGACTACTACGTAGCAGCTTGTATTATACGTATTCCTTATTATTATGATCCTCATTCTTTCCATTCGCTCCTTGATCGTTCCTCACCTAGTCTCTCCTTGAACACTCCTCCTCGCCGCCATGGCGCCCATCGGTGCGGCTGTCTTTGCGACGGTGAGCTCTCTATCCATCCCTTTGACACGCTTCCCCGCACAAATCTACTCAGGACTGACACAGATTACAGCTGCTCATGAACGATGCCTATCTACCAGGTTTGTCCCCCAGATGGTCCGCTCGCGGGTCCAAGAGCTGATGTTGGTCCAGGTGCCATGGTTCTCGGCCATTCCCTCAAAGACAGAGGCGCAAAGGCTCCTCTGGTAGCTTTCATTCTTGTCGACAAACTATCCTCAGACACCATCACTGAACTCCGAGTTCGACCTCCTTCTCCCGAAGACCTCTGATCGGGTCACTAACTTCTCCCAGACAGTCTACGATGAGATCGTTCCCGTGCAGGAGATCGTCAACACCAAACCGGCCAACTTGTATGTCATGGGCCGACCGGACCTAGTATCCACCTTCACAAAGATCGAGCTATGGAGGCAGACACAGTACAAGAGGATAGTCTACATGGATGCGGATATGGTGGCCATCAGAGCGCCGAACGAACTTCTCCGACTCGACACAGAGTTCGCTGCGGTCCCGGATATTGGCTGGCCAGATTGCTTCAACAGTGGCATGCTCGTCCTCAACCCGAACATGGCGGATTATTATGCACTGCACGCGTTGGCGCAGCGAGGGATCAGTTTCGATGGTGCCGATCAAGGTCTGCTGAACATGCATTTCCGGGACTGGGAGAGGCTGAGCTTCGTGTACAATTGTACCCCCAGTGGCAATTATCAATACGAACCTGCCTATCGACATTTCTCGAGCAGCATCGCACTGGTCCATTTCATAGGCGCGGACAAACCTTGGACTTTAGGGAGAGAGAACAGGTTTAGTACAGGCGTCTATGGCGAACTGCTAGGAATGTGGTGGGCCGTGTACGACAAGCACTATCGGCCAAAGGTCTGTGAGCGAGCTGACCGAGAAGCCACCGTTGCTGACCTTCCTAGACAATCACCCGGTATGATGGTCGAACCTACGACTCCAGGAAGAAGGTGCAGGACTATGTCCGTGGTGAAGAACCGTTATATGTCGCACAGCAGCAACCCTCGCCTCCTCATCAAGGACAGATACCCCTTCCACCACAGATCACGATCTCTCAATCTGGGTCGAACAAACCTGCTTCGGTGGAACTACCTCTTGGAGATGCCCCTACACCCACGGTTCAGGGAGACTTTCACCCAACACCCACGGTCGAGCAAAGACGCTTCTCAGCCCCTCATGTGGATTGGCAGCCTACCAGGTAAGAACATTGGTTTGAGCGAGTTTTGGAGTGCTTATTTCGTACAGGGAACCCCCACCCATGCATTCGAAACCTGAAGCCTCGAACTTCCCAACCCAGACCTACGACATGTCAAGCGATACTCAACTGTTCCAGCCCCCCGCTCAGTACCCGGAAGCACCGAAGGACATGTGGTATCAGGTACCCGAAAAGGTTCCCGAGCCGGCCAAGCCCAAACCCATTTTCCCCTGGGAGGCGAGAGCTCCGAAGCCCACGCGTGTTTTCGCCCAACCCAAAGCACCTAGCCCGCCACCTCCGCCGGCACCGATGTCTCCAGATGAGCCCGCGGCTCCCTCCCCGGCTACTGACATTACTGATGTCACTGATATCACTGAAGGAAGTGTTCCCACTCCAATGGCTCTTTCTACGGACCCCTGGGCAGCATTCCAGCAGCGGACGAATGCTTGGGATGACATGCCAGAAATCGAACGATACATGCATGCGTTTAGCCATGGACGGAAAGGAAACATACAGGTCTTGCACCATACACCATCTCAACCTTCCCCGGGTAGCTCGACTGTTACCTCCCCTCCAACAAACGATGCACGACGATTTAGCTCAAGAATAACTGATTTCCCGACCGAAGTCGAACGTCCGAGCTTGCCTGTGACTCCAGCACCGATCCGAAGACCGAGCTTTTGGGGAGAAGAGAGAGACGAAGAAGGGAACTTACCGGCGGCTGAAGGAGTGCCGCAACAAGAAGAATGGGTGCGTCCATCTCTCTCCCAATCCAATCGTGCGTTGTCTGTTTTGCAAGCCTTGTTACCCGATTTGCATGATCTGCATGAGTTCCGTGGCGTTTTATACTGGAGATGCCAATTTTGTGGGAAACAGAACCCGGCCGCCAAACTTGAAGAACTACAACGACGTCAAAGCGAGGTGTTGCTGTCGGCGACAGGTACACGCCACCTAGGAGAGGTGCCGGATCGTCCGAGAAGAGAGATGCCAGAAAGTCACAGCAAGGAGGCGGTCATCGAGAAGACGAATCTAGCAATATCGCCGACCAAAGTGCCTAAAGTACCGAAGCCGATTTTGAAAGCCCCTCACTTTGAACTAGGCCAAGGCGTGATCAAATCAGGGATAGGGGAGAACGGTGAAGACTCGGTTGATCCGTCTTCGTAACGTTGCTGAGCTGGACAAGGACGCTGTCCTGGGGTAATCAGATCCAAAGATTACCCCAAGTTTGGGTTACAAGCTCACGAAGACGGTTTGACACGCTTGGCTTGGTTGATGCGGCGAAAACGACAGTGACCTTTCAGGGTAATATTTGGTTAACAGCATGTTGAGGCATCTTTCCCATCTGTTGTTGTTTCTTATGGCGTTTCTTCTTTCCGGCTCCTGGGGAGGTCTCGTTGACGGTGGCGTTTCTGAATACAACCTTTGTCATTGCCGCCACACTTGTGGTGTTGTTTTTGACCTGTAGCCTACTGTCATAGCATAGCAAGCGCCTTGTTGTCCGCTTTGCTGCATCATCTCTTTCTGTCGAGAATATGGGCCTAATTGATATGCCGGTGCTGTTATGACCGGATGTGTTCTTGACCATCTTTTGATATAAAAGGTCTTGCGGATGATTTGAACAAGGGGTGGCCTTTACAGGAGTCGACGACTTTACGGCTGCACTTCATATCCCAGCGGTTCCCCCTCTTAGATTTTCCACTGAATGAACTTCCTCGATCGATGCTCTACGTCGTATTCCAATACATACCGATAATCTGAGAACCCCGAGTACTTGTAGAAACCCCTTTCAAACCGGGTTCAAACCGGGCCCTCCTCGGCTTCCTGTTCCGTCCAGGGGCCTCAGCCTTGCCTTGGCATCTGATATGCTTAGTAAGCTGCTTCCTCCTCGACTTCTCCTTTGTTCGCACTTCTCTTATCTACCTCTTCCATATTATATCTCGGAAAACGACGAACGTAGAGCCATCATCGGCGACTCCAGCCGACCACTATCTTTTTTTGGTCAGTCGCTATACATATCGGGTTTGAGTCAACCTCTTCAAGGCCTTGGGTTCGTCCAGTTCGACCGTAGGCGGGACACAGAGCATACAGACGTCCACGGCCGTGATACGTCTCTCAACTCCACTCTCGTTGATCGGGTTCCCATACACACCACGAAATAACCACTCAGTCGAGGGAGACCTGACCTTGCATATATACGTATGTATACATTTACGGGCATAACACACATATACTGTATACGTTGGGTGGCATCCTGTTTAAAGCAAGGATACCAAAAAGGAAGGATATAAAGAATCATCAACAAGGTCGCCTTTGCGTGCCTTGGAGGAAGACATGGGTCCTTATTCATTCGTCAGCCTCACGCCTGCTGAAGTCGAAGAGCGACGACACCAACTTGACCTTGCGGGGTTCCATGCCTGGCTGACGCCTATCGTCCTCCTGATCACCAGTTACATCTATCGGCGCTTCCTTCAAACGCAATCCTACCGAGCTGACGGCACTCAACAGCCCTCATCCCCTTCAGCTTTACGAACCCTCATCCGCCGCACAAAATGGATCCTGAACAGCACCTACATCCCCGAATTCGGGCCCTTGCACACCCAACTCCTCGGCCTGATCTACTTCGGCTGGCTGCTCTACCTCGTTTTCCGCGCCACGGGAAACGACTATATGCACTTGACCAAATCATTCGGGCATGTCGCCGTATCCCAGCTCCCGCTGCACTATCTGTTGTCTCTAAAACCGGCAAATTCGCCCATCACTCTGGCCACGGGCCTGACGCATGAACGGCTCAACGCGTTCCATCGGCTGTTTGGACGGATCATCCATTTCTTACTCGCCGTCCATGCGGTTCTGTATATTCGATTCTTCGTCAAGCTGGACATTCTGGCCAAACGCGTGCGAGACCGTGACGTGAGGCTCGGGCTTGCGGCGTTCTGGACGTTCAATTTCTTGGCGCTGTTGGCGGTCCCCGGTGTGAGGAGACGGGTGTATCATTCTGTCTTCTACAGAAGTCATGTCGTGTTGAGTGCGTTGGCGGTGCCGCTGCTGTTCTTTCACGTTCCGTATACGAGGGTCTATCTTGCCCAGGCGGGCGTCTTTTGGGTCTTGGGGGCGCTTGTCCGGCGCGGACGGAGTCAAAGGGTCACTGCGCGCTGTGCATTGCTGGATAAGACAAATCCTAAGGAGGATGAGCTGGTCAGTGTTCGGTTCAGAGTTGCCCAAGGGAGTCCTCTGGCGCAGGCACAGGCGGGACAGCATGTTTATGTTCGTCGTGGGGGAGTGATGGGGCCGAAGAACCCGTTTACTGTTGCGAATGTTAGGCCTGTTGAGGAGGGCATGGACGAGATGGATGAGAAGGTGGACAAGATGGCTGTCAAAGCTGTGCGGAACGAGGTGGAGATCCAGCTCGTGTTGAGGAATACCGGCGGCCCGCAGACATCGTATCTTGCCGGCGTCGCGAAGAACGCTGGTCACAGCAAGACTAACACGCATAGAAATGGCAGGGAAGAAAGCAGAAGCGGGAGCGGGACCGAGACGGAACCCACAACTTCGGGTTCGTCGATCGTCGGACTCGACATTGAAGGCCCCTACGGTGATTCCGGGATCTACATTCCCCCACTGCTCGACGAGGCCACCCGGTCTGGCTCCGGTGGTGGGCCTGTCTTGTTGTTTGCAGGCGGTGTTGGTGCTACTTATACACTTCCGATTTATATGTCTCTTCTCGCTTCACAGGGAACAAAGACTCGACCTGGCACTGGCCCTGGAAGTGGAAGTGGAAATGGAAATGGAAGTGGAAGTGGAAGTGGAAGTGGAAATGGAAATGGAAATGGAAATGGAAATGGAAATGGAAATGGAAATGGAAATGGAAATGGAAATGGAAATGGAAATGGAAATGGAAATGGAAATGG